TATACAAAGAAACGTGTTTCCAGATGGCATCTAAACCTACCTATCCGTCAATTGGAGCGAGAGAAGGATTTAAATTATTTTATGTAGTGCCTCGAAAAATTTCCAAAGCTCTGGTTAGTTTAAGTTGTCAGTGTGTTTAACCAAAGTCAAGAGTTCGAGAGAATTAAATATTCCACAAATTTTCGTTTAGAGGCGCTCAGTAATTATGAATGATCTGAAGCCACAAGCCCTTTAAAATATTGTTGGGGAAAGTCTTGTTTTTTCAGTTCGATTTTATTTTGATCCAAAACTCTCTCAGTAAGATGTTATTTGGAGGGACTGGATTAATGGTGCAAGTTAATCTTTTCATCGGGAAAACAGTTGCCTGCGATAACTGAATCAAAAACAAGTTGAGAACCAACGCTGCATACAGGCTCTTGCATATCTTGATCTTGTAAGCCATTGAGAGAATCTACCGCCAGACCATAAGAGCAGAAACCGAAATGAAACTGGGAAAATCTTTTGATATCGCAAAAATGGAGAGAACTTTAAAAATATCTGTAAACGCATTGCTGAGAAAAAAATTTGTCGCTGTATAATTCTGAAGAGGATAAATTTCTCATGTTAGGTGGTTGTGCTAGTCTCATCCTTCAGAACAGTATTCTGTGACATTGTTAGCATTCACTGATCCTACATTTTTATCCTCCATGGACGATGTAAATAGTAAAACACATTTGCCGGCTACTTTTATCCGTCATTGCGCAAAAAAAGCATTTCTGGCAAAACAGGTTAGAATTATATGACTAATACGCAATTATTATTGTTCAAGGCAATGATTTAGTTCCTGTCAAGGATTTGATCATTGGCGTGGAAAATTTCGAAGACGATCGAGGTCGAATGATGTTCGCATGCCACCGGAAAAACCGAAAAAGATAAATGGTGACGCGAAGTTTTGTTTACATACATGATCAATAATTTGTTATCAATATGGTATTTTAGGGTTAAATTTTTCACTTTTGTTAGATCTTTTTGACGTTACCCTAATTTACCCTCTATTATTATATTTTCCTGTGTAGTGAGACCCACGAGCGAGCAAAACGAATCTTGTGATCGGCTATCCTAAAGGGTAAAATGTGCTTTCTCTGGACTTCCAGAAATGAACTCGCAAAAAAGAAATAATTTGCTTGTAACCGGTCCAATACTTTGTAATTTTGTAACCAGACGTTTGTTTGCCATTAAAAAAAAGGGTTTTGCAGCAGTTTTAGCTACAACGGGGCCGAAATTTTGTCTCCTTGTTAGTCAAAATAAAGACAACCATAACGAGTACATATGTTACAACCTCTTGGTTTGTATAATTTTTCTATGCAATAAATCCTTTATTGACAAAGCCTTTGTCTCCCTCTTTAACAATGCAGAGAAGGAACTTGGCCGATATACAGCCTTCTTACGTTCGGGCTCGAAGAGTAGCGTGACTATAGGGGTATACGTGTAATGAACTTCAATATAGATGTTTTTTAGTACCTGTTAAACTGCCATCCTCTGAATCCGTTTATCCTCCAAAATATGTCATTTTTATTTTTGCATGCCTAAAAATATCAAGAATAATATGTTTTGCTTTATTACAATTTCGATGAAAATATGAAAGATTTCATATTCACGAGTAAATACCAAATTCCTTCTAATGTCTAGTTTAGAGATTAAGATTGCTCTTCTACTTCACGCAAGTTCGTTTAATTGCTTGTTTCTTCGTTTTGGTCTTGTTTGATACTATATATATATGTATCTACATATTTTAATATTTTTGTATTCTGATTAGTTCATCCTGCGATTTAGTCATTTATCTTTCGGTGGAGAGCACTCGCTATTCGCAGTTCAAAATCCCCTTTCTTCTCTTAGCAGTATAGACTCCACCAAAGGCAAATGAAATTGAATCGAGAAGGATGAAGACAACCCTCGAGTCATATTATTTTTGTACCAAGAGCACATGTTCTTTTGATTGCACAGATTTATTTTATAAGAATAATTTCACCCATAAAACCACAACAATATTACAAGTGCTTCCCTTGTTTTTCTAATGAATTTTCTCGCAAAGATCCCAACCCATTAATCTAATTCTCACCTTCAGCTCTGACTTGTGAAAATGTGATTTCCCTCACAGGTGTGTAACAAAATGATAAACTTGGTAACAAGAGCAGTTTCGAAGAAGCTGAATATTATTATGAGCTTGTCGAACTGGAAACAGAAAATGATGCATTACTCGTCATGGATTTATTTTGTGGGCATCGTATTTCACTTTTCAATCGCCAAGTTGGGACTGGACGTCAAATAAATTTATAGCTTTTCATTTTCGTCAGAGGGGAGTATGGCACAAATATAAATGTAACGCTGTGTGTAAATGCCCGGCAGCCAAGCCCTGTCTTATGGACTAAATGTCTGACACTCAGAAATGCTATCGAAAGGTTCTTTTAAGCTTCTTAAGAGTATCGCACCTTAATCCATGCAGATGTTTATTTAGAAATGTTAACGGATATCAAAAGTTGTTATTTCTTTTTTAGCAAGCGAATCTTAGTCGAGTCTCACGTGCAGAGCGTTTGATGCGCTCGTGAAGTCATTCCTAAACCGTTTCCGGTTTACTGTCACGTGCTCGTTACAATCAACATCAAGGAGGCATCAAGAGCCGTCACGCGACAAGCAAGAGCTGCCAGTAGCTACTGTTAAGAATAACAAGCAGAAATAAAACCCCTCGAGAGAGGCTCAAGCGCATATTATTAAGTTAACACGGACCAAGAATTGCGATAATTTTTTCATGTGCACCAAATTAAAAATAATCACCTGATGGCAAGCAAACGTGAAGCACACTTGAAATAGAAATCTCTCCGTGACTTGATTTTACTTCATACCTTAAAGACATCGAAACAATTTTTTTACAAATCTTCAAATGAAGAATTCAGGAAGTTAGAAGTGAACCCTATATTAGAGAAAACAGTCTCATTTGTTTCATTTTTTGAGGTGTTTTATCAATTCCAATGTAATTCTCTCAACAGAAATAAAGGACTAAGTATTAACAAGAGAATGTAAATTATTTTATTCTCGTAACATTACAAATAAATTGGTATAATTTAGGTTGCTTACGTTAAAAATTTTAAATGGCAGCGGCAGAAGAATCTGTCACAAGCGACAACTTGAGGACGCAATAAATTCATAAATATAGGCCTGCTACTCGTGTAAGAGTTATATTTTAGGATGGGGGGGGGGGGTTGGGTGGAGAAAGAACACTGAGAAGCTAATTTTCCACTGTTTCATCTGTGGGATCTGGGACAATTTTCCGTCATTCCGTCTTCTAAGATTTGGGGCACTGTTACCTGCCAGTCCATCTTCTAGGATTTGAGACAATTTTTCCGCCATTCCGTCATTTCGCCGTTTCTGCTTTTAGGGACGCCCATCAGGGAATTGTTCAGACTAGACAATTTCTTCGAACTCGTAATTTTTGGCCCGGTATGGATGGAGCAACGGAAACTATGGTGAAAAATTGTTAAACGTGCGTTGTTGATCAGCCTCATAGGAGTCACTGAGCGTAAATATCGAGAATCCGTCGACAGTTGCAAAATTTTGGTATTCATTGGCCGTTTTCCCTCCCCCCCTCTCCGGTAAAACTATCAAAAATTATTTAACTTCGGCAACTTCCTACGCCACAACACAATGCTGTGCTTGTATATATATTCTTTAGATAAATATTCTTTCTTAGCCCAAGTTCAAAGAAGACAAGGAAGAGTCGTAAAACAGGCTGTTACAAGATATGGTGATTGACATGATTCTTTTTGGCTAATAGATATTTATTTTTACTGAACAAGGTTACAATCCTTGACAAAATTGTTGAAACTTTTCCCCCTCACCCTTCTTAAACGCCTTGTCGATTTCGGTGACGGAAAAAAATTGGACCGTCCTACAGAAATACGAAAAAATTATACTCAACATCGAGAGGTGTTGGGGTGTTTTAATAAAGCGTGATGTGGGTTGCAAACGCAAGTTGACCAATAGCTAACGTTCACGGAAGACTGAAGTGAGATCTTTAATCATCGGATTAGATCGACGGGAGCTCGTGGTATCATGTGCTTGTCTGCTGTTTAAAGTTATATTTATATACGAGGCGTTCAAGATGTTCGAGCGCAATCAAAATTACTTCCTTCTCATATCAGGGAAAAATGAAACTTTCTGATGAGCGTTCCCGTGATTGTAACTCTCTCGAAATTGAAATTAAGCGGTTTGTAAACATTAGCCTCGTTCCGTGTAATGAACACAATTAGATCGTCGATGCGCGGAAATATTCAGCCACATATCAGCTGGCATTTCGATAAATTCAATTATATTTCATGATAAAATTGGTAAATCTTTGGCTGTAACACATTTCTTTGTTATATTCGACAGGACCTGAAAAACAGCATTCAGAGGGCAGCCGTCGGTGACACTAGTTTATATTGTTTATATTAACTTTCGATGACTGTCTATTCTGAGATCGTCCCAATACATGCAAAACCGAGTAATATATCACTACAGCTCCAGAGGCGAAAACAGAAGCACTCAAGCAGAGATTAACAAGTACACAATTCTCAGCGTCATTTGTGCAGTACCTCTCACTCAAAAGCTACACGGAATTTATGCTCATTGCAAGTTCGTTTTAGGATTATCAATCGTAAACTGTTCGTCCTATTGAGTCCTGTATATTAAATCAATATGTGTACACAAAGCCGAAACTCTCTAGGTCGTGAGATGTTTAAATAAGCTTTCTCAAGAAAATTCCCGTTTTAGATGTGTATATCGGTATGCTCATCACCAGTACTGGTCCACGTCGCTACATTTGCGAACCAGTGGCGAGTCCATCCGGTCATGGCGTAAGAACACATTTCGATTAAACATTACTAGAAATTAACGACATTCTGCTCCCGCAAATAAGAGGGCATGCGGTTGCACGCAAAGGCTAATTGACATGCTCATTGGCATCAAGTTTTCAATATGACGGCTTCTGTTTCAGTGAGACCAAGCGCGATTAAAAGTAAAGTACAAAATACTGAACGAGCTGAGTTGTTCAGATCTTTTGTGCGAGCCACTGAAGCTACGAAGAAAAACGAAATCTAAGGTCTACACAGTTGAAAGAGTGATCAGTGAAAGGAAGGGAAAAAAGGTGTATTAAGTTATGTTTTTGTGACTTAATTCTCATGAAAACAAACATTTGCATTCAGTTTTGACCATGAATGATAGAAAAATTCAAACTGAATTTCTGTTACTTATTTCTAATGGCAGGGAACTGAGTACTTGATAAAATGGAAGGGTTGGCCTAAGTGGACATGTAGCTTGGAGCCAGCTGAGCACTTAAATTTTCATGCTGTCAGGTAAATTAATTTTGAAACGTACGGCACTGTCTCTTCTCAGTTGTAATAAGGAGTACAAGGTGCTAAAGGAGTAATAGAATTTCAGGAGAAAATATTTTTTTGTTTGTTTGTAAAGTGACCAGCTTCTCAATATCAGCTTCCCTATTGTGTTTCTTCTGTCATTTTGATTCTGTAGAATAAGACGGTGGCACTTCAGGGATAAATGCAATCTCCTTGCCTTTTTATTGTAACAAATTTGAAACCCTTCTTGGTTACTCCAAAGACTTCCTCACACCTTTGTAACAAAGCTGGACTGCAATCACAAAAATTTAATATGGTGCCTCGTGAATCGGAGTGCATTGCCCCATGTGATCAACCAGGTATTGAAACGCAATCTCAATACTACTTTTTAAAAGGGTTTTGAGGACTGTTGTTATTGCCTGCAACAAAAATTGAGCTTTGTTACAAAGATGTGCATTTGGCACATATGTGTTACTTGCAATAGACCTTTTTACAGTTCCTGGCACCATATTGGATTAATAACCACACACACACAATAAGAAGGCTGGGCTTGACTTGATAGTTCTTTCAAACAGCTGATCTGCTGAAATTTCACATTCTAATGCACTTTTCAATGCAATTTCTCCCTTCAAAATGGTTCTTTAATAAACCAATATGGAAATTTTGTCATAAGATGACACCCAGAAACTCAAAGCAAAAAATCCCAGGGAGATTTTAAAATCTAATTCAAAATGCTTACCAGTCATTTTGTACCCGTGGATCTTTCATACCCAGACAATTTGTACCCAGGCTCAGGTGTTTCGTACCCACTTTTGATCAGTTCATACCCAACCCTCTGGTCGATTCATACCCAACAAATTATGACACAAAATGTTGAAAACAATCATAAACATTTATTTTATTTATCTTAGAAATCACAAGAAAGCTAATTTCTAAAATCACAGGAACATTGAAAAGTTATCTTTCAGTTAATACTCGGCTAAGAATATATGAAAGTCATATATTTGAACTGTGGATAAAGACGTGAATGAAAGTGATCCTCTCAGTAATGTGCACTACTGGAGCAGTGGTGAAAATAAGGCCTGAAAAAAATTCAGGCCTGTACGGGATTTGAACCCATGCACCGGTATCGCAGAGGTCAAACTGTGCTGTGTATCCATGCACCGGTATCACAGAGGTCAAACTGTGCTGTGTATCCAGTTTTCCTTGATGGTGTATTAACAATAGGAAAGTAAATAACAGCTATCTTTTGCGGGCCACTCACACAAGTATAAACCAATGAAATAAATGTTTATGTTTATTTTAAAGATTTTGTGTCATAATTTGTTGGGTATGAATTGACCAGAGGGTTGGGTGCGAAACGTCTGAGCCTGAGTACGAATTGGCTGGGTATGAAAGATCCATGGGTATGAAACGACTGGATACCATTCAAAATCATCGGGTGGAATTAGAGCCGACTTAGTGTTGAAAGTTTATGCTTTGCAGATGTGACGCGTCCTTCCATCGAGTAGTGGAGAAAACCAAGAACTTCTTACAGATGTCCAGGACCTAGAACAAAACCAGAGGGACTTCAAATATGAAGCAGCTATGGTAAGGATTTCAGCCCTTTGATGGTCAAGCGATCTCCATAATTTACCTGAGATGAATTTCATTCAGCTGCACAATTGCCCCGTTGTTGCATGAGAATATCGCCACATTGTGTTGAAAGGAACGCATTACAGGAAGTACCACAGAAGCTGTTTAGTATGGTTTAGAAAGCGAGGCAAAGGCTGTAGCCCTCCAGGTAGAGGAGATTTGTTATTACTGCTGTTGTTGATGTGGTACTTGTTGTTGCACCATATTCTTCAGTTAAAGTTGTTTCCATGACGTACTTTAGTTTGCCATTTGTACATTATCTTATGGGAAACTATACAATAGAGCCTGTAGAACCACTTGATTATAACCCTTCTTTCTATCAACCCATGAGGGAAACTGTAACTAACAGATGTCATAATATTTTGAAATCCATCTGGCCCAGGACAACTTATGCTCATGATACATTGAAAACCATTTCAGTTTGCAACTCATGGTAATTTATTAGGTGGCAAGACAGCATAGAAAGAATCAGACCCAAATATTAGACAATTTAAAAACTCCCAAAAGTGACTGATTCATGTAACTTCTCCATAATATCAAAACACTATCTAGCAAACAGATAATGATGATACTGAAACTTATCTGGTAGAAGTTATCTTGATCTTACATCAAATTCTCATAACTTATTTACAAGTAAATGTGTAGCAACTAGAAGGGAGAATTAACAATCAGATCTTAGGTATTTAAGGGTTAAAGGAACAGAACAGAAATGCTTCCTGTCAGCTACTGATCTCAACCATGCTAGTCCTTTACACACATTTAAGTTTCTGTCACTGATAAACGTTCAGTGAATTGATATTCCCATTCTCAGCAGTCAGAGGCCTTCTGATACAAAGGTTTGCTATACTAGTTCTTATTGCATTGTGTTAACCAATGTTATGATAATATAATTTTGAGGTGTAAAGAAGATATGTAAAAGATTGAGAAATATATCTAAATCAATATATTTATTTTATACTGTTACAGTTACCATAAGATTTGTTTGAAAGAGAATCTTTCAGACCATTGAATTGTATGAGAAATTACTTTTTGTGAGACTTCTATCAAACTTTTTATTATGAGGACAATTTTGTGAATAATAAAATTTAGTGTCATAGTTCATCTTTGTGTTGAGAACTCTTTTAGTTGGTGAAACTCGCTTTTTCTTCTTTTCAATTTGAAGCATCAAATTGATTGATACATAAAGCACACAAAATATTTTTTGAGAGTTCCATGTGGCATCCATAGTGGTTACTATGCTATCATTAAAAAACAAAAACAACAACTACTGAAAACTGCTTTTGTCACAATTGCTTCTAAATTTGTGTCAGTTTTCTTGGTCTGCCATGATAATTGAAAACTCTGATGATACAGTGTCTTGGTTATTTTATTAAAAGCAATTACTTTCCAAGAGTTCTAAGAGTCTCTCTGCAAGGAGTGTTTTAGTTGAGGCATGTAGTAAACAGGTGAGCAGTACTGAACTTATTGACTTACTGCCGGAATAAAAAAAGTCTATTGAACTTAAAACAATTCAAGTACCTAATAGAAAATTTGCACTAATTTTGCAACAATAGTTACCCTCATCCATAATTCACAGAGAATAAGATAAGTATAGAACGATAAATACTTAGCAAAAATGCATGCCCTTGTCCATAAACTTAAAGAAGTGAAAGCCTGTAGGCAAACCATTGGGGCCATAAAATGTATTTGAACAACCAAAAGTGGCACACTGCTTCCCTTTCTTTTTGGGAGAAAAGTCATCTTTATTGAGATTTCGGCTAAGACCATCCATTTTCCTTAAAAATCGAACAATTTTACTGCCCACATATGAATTTCACCAAAAGTGCTCACAGAGATTTAACATGAGTCAACCCCAGCCTCGTTCTCATGCGTGCACTGTTGCATGTCCAATATGGCGCTGGGAACTGTAAAATGGTCTATTAATTTTCTTTCACTGTGTAAATAGGGTAAAGAAATGTATATATAATTTTTTCAGGAGTTATGCTCCACCAAACATAACTGATTATAGATTGGAGACAGCAGCTAAAAGGGAGGCAGACATAACCTACAAAAATTGTCCTTTTCATATAACATATAATTGTTGGGGCCAATTATACTCTTATTCCTAAAAATGTATCTCACTATGTCATGATCAACATTTATGGAGGCTGTGAAACTGATGCGGGTAGACTTGCACTTCAGTAGACCAAGTATGGCTTCCACAAATGTTGCAGTGGTATTACTTTGATGAATTTGGCCAAGGTGTTGCCATTGATTTCCCTTTCAAATTAAAGACAAAGTTAGCTTTTCATTCCAAGTGTTTTATTGCAAATAAAGGTGGTTCCCTCAGAAAAGGACCACTGATTCCCTCTGAAAAAGTTATTGTTATTATTAACCAGAAAGCCTGCTCTCAGAATATAATCACTTAATGTAAATATTTTAGTTATGTGAATACTTAATCACCAAAAGGAATAAATATATATATATATATATATATATATATTTTTTTTTTTATAAGAAGAGTCATTTTCTTCTTCACAATAATTCATTAATTCATTTATTTTTGAGGTGACTTGAATATTATCCACAGTGGTCAATCATTGTTCTTTAAAACCTCTATCAGTTCTTCTATCTTTAATTTTGATTTTCCATTCACTTGCAAATTTGGTGATTTGATTTCTTGCATGAATTGTTTGACTGTCATTTTTTTCATAATTTGTAGTTGGTACTTCAGCACTGTTTACAACAGATGCTTCACTTTCAGGTTCACCTGCACTTGCACCATCCCTAGAATGCATTCTTTTTTTACGTGACTCAACAATTCCACTATCCCAGTGTTCATTGTTTTGTTTTTCGTATTTTCTCTTTTCCCTTTCACAGTGATGGAGGGCTTGCTGTTGCACCTCCAACTGCAGCGCATCCTTAGCTGCATCCCATTTATTTGACTTTTGAAAAAAAATTCTTTTTGCATCATCACTGTTTTTCTCAACACCCTGGCCAGTGAATTGCTTGAATGTCTTTTGATTTTTGATTAAAAGTGGAACATGGTAGGAGAGTGCATGCATGTATGGGGTAACTTGAAATTTGTTGTACCCAACTCTGGTTCCTCCAAGGGAACAAAAGAATTCAATAAATTCCTCTGATTTTTCTGAAACATCAAGGACAAGGTTTTCATTTTCCTCAGGGTCAGCATTAATCAAGTGGTAAAGAGATTCAAAACCCCTCCATAGCTTCACAACAGTTTCCTTTGTTTCAGGCTAAAGGATATCTCTTGACTCCAGCTGGGAAGGAAGCAGATGACAGAGTTTCTTTTTGTCTGAACCCATTAGGCTGGTCCAATCATACAAACAACTTCCTTTGCCATCTGCATTAGTTTTTTCCCACACTAAAAAGGTTATTCCAAGGTCATTTATTACACTGATCAATCGTTTGAAGTAAATTCCTTTGTCCTCTCCTCTTTCTTTCAAGAAATCAGCTTTGCTGTCCCTTTCCATGACTTCAGTGATTATGTTCTCAGTAAGTCTGTCAGTGATCCTCATCATTAAATAAAGTTCATCCAGAACAACATGGTCAAGTTCAATGTTAAACAGGGGGGATGGATGCAGCAAAACTTTTTTCGAACCATGAAAATATCTGATTTCCTGTGAGGTCCTCTTTAATTCCCCTGAGTTGTAAAAGTCCAGGTCTTTGGTCATGTCCCACCTTTGGATCTTGTGAATCTTGCACCACACACAAGCATAATCAGAGGTTGCCCCTTTGAGGCTCATTATCATAAGCAAAAATTGTCCCCCCCTCAAAACATCTCTATTTTGACTTCTTTTCCATCAACCTCTATTTTGCCATTTTTTATGATGCGGTTTATATCACTGATGACACTGCCCAATGATGTTTTCAGTGTGTCCTATTTCTCTGGACCATTTACTATGCATGTGTTCTGTTCCCTTTAGAGGACATCACCCTGTCCCCAGTTTGTAAAAGGGAAAAGGACAAAATCATAAAATTGGTTGTTCGGGACATCTTGGCTCCATAACCACTTATTTTGACCTTTACAGGCTCTTCCAGTGGATGGTCTGGGTGTGACTGGAAATATTCCCTTATGTGACCCTGGAGTGTATCTGTAAATGATATCTGTGCTCCTGGGTACTTTCCTGGGTCTCTTTCAATGTGGGAAAGTTTGTTGAGATCAGATCTCTACTGTTTGATTAAACATGACCTTGGCAAGTCATTGTATAATATGGTGAGTTCATGGTATGGTTCATCACTGACTCAAATTTGTCCAACAAAAATAAAAGCTGTTCTAAATTCTCTTTATCCTCTTGGGTGACTTTCTCTTTTACAAAGTCAAATGTATGTTCTCTCCTTGAATCAGACTCCCTGACTTTAAGACAGGTTAATTTTAAACCATGACTCTCAAGGAACCACAATGCTAGGTCAGCTCTTCCTTTCAGTTCGGTAATTCTTCTTAGCCTCTGCCTTTCTGATAGCTGTTCAATTGTTTTTCCATAATTTGGTGTGCTAGTCTCATTTAATTCTGCCATTTGCTGGATGTATTCTGATAGCTCTCTGTTAAGACTATCTATCTCTGTATCTCTCTTTTCTTTAGCCTCATCCATTTCCTTTAACAGACTCTCTTTCTCTTGCTGTAAATCTCTACACTTCTTATGTCACTCCTCTAAAGCTAAATTAGCTGTTTGTAAATAGTCATCCATCTTTCCAATAGACACTAACTCAGTAACTAAAATGCTCAGTGTAAAAACAGTTATTGAGCTCTTGCTTTCTCCTACTACCAGTTGCTCTCTTATATTTTGAGGCAACTGAGCTTGCCTCGCGTCGGAGTCTTCCCTGGATCCGAAATCCTGTCTCCCTGCTAATCTGGAACCATTTGTTTGGGATCGAGCTATTCAACAGATCAAGGTAATCTGCAGAAGTACCTTGATCAGCTTCGGTTTTGTGACTGACTGTTATACCGTAGCTGTAACAAAGGGTAAGGAATCTGCACAGCTAAAGCTATTGAAAAGCGATCAACATTTTGCTGTCTTACGTAAGAAAGCGGAGGATTAATGACATTTAATTTTTGGTCGATCGTTAACTTTTCACGCTCACTAGGGAAAGAAGGCATTTTTCGCTAAGGAAACACCGGATTATAAATAAGGAGTCCACGTTACAGCTATCCAGCGTTCTTCCAATAAAAAGGTTAGGTTATCAGCCAAAATGGCGGCTGAAGTCATTGAAATCGAAGCGAAAGCCTTGTTTATGGGGACGATTTCCAAGCAGAAATGGTGGTTTCCGTTCACTTTGGATAAAGACAGTAATCTTGAATTTATGCTCTTTTCAAGTAAATTTGGCAGAACAGCGGAAAGCTTATACAACCGGAATTTTTTTTAGTCTTGGAAAGTGTAAACATCTGGCAATGTTTTTCGAGGTCGGCTCCAGGGAACCGACGTGAACAAAGTCTACAGGACGGTCGAGAAGGTAAGCAATTCATCCCGTTTGTGAGGAAATTATAGAGTTTGTTTTATGACCTCTGTAAACGTGGAGTTGGCAGACCGTGTGATGCTCAAATTTATTTTAAAATGACTGTTATGAATACTGCAGTAAATGTTCTTTCCATTGAGAGGTCGGCAAGTAGTGCCCCGTACATTTTACCATTATATGGGCAGTCATCTTTAAAGCGCCGATAGAATTCCTGTCCGCCATTTTGTCGGCAATTTCTGATAATGATGCCTACAAACTGAAATCCAAATATTCACAGCATACTACATCGAGAGCCTCAATGTGGTGAGCGGTTGGCGTTCAAACAACCTTAACTTGACAACTGTTAAAGGGCAATGTTTTACCGTAAACCGTCAAAAAAAAAAAGAGCAGCGCGATATTTGCTGTCAAAATATATCACGGTCCTTCAAATCCTACAATTAAGAGCTGCTTGTCGCGGACAGTTTATATCTCGAAAAAATCCTTGAACTGGTAAATCCGTTTCCACGTTTCCAAATCAAAACTAATTTTTATGGTCATTTTCACTAACTTCGATATTTTTCAATCACTAAACGGCGTCAAAACGAATATTGCAATCAGCTTCTATCCAAATATACTTCTAGTAGGTTAAAAAAATTCAAACAGATTCTCAATGGATAACTTGTTCACGTTGTGACCACGCCATGCTGCATACACCATACACCCGCAATCACAAGTTGCAAGTTGAGAGCATGTCCGGAAAGTTCTGAAACCACACACACTTGTGGTGTAAAGCAGAGTAGGAATCAATCGATTGAAAGGAAACCAAAAACATCATCATTGTAAATTTGAGAGGACATGGTATTGATTTCTACGACAACTTTGGCTGGAGCTCATTTGAGGTCGAGCTATACACACCAATAAGTATTGTATGGAAAATTAAAAATTCCTATAAAGACACGGACAAAAATTTTGAGAAAGTCCCTCTAACAATATTTTCAAAGTTTGCAATTACTAAACCAGAGAACTCAAATTGGGAAAGGAGTTGACAGCTACGTAGATATTGCTTATGGTTTTAAGTTTTCATTTCATTTAACTGCGATTATTGAAAGACCAAAATCACCTCTGAAAAAGATAGTTCGTATCAAAAACTATGGAATCAATATCAAGTGAGTCTCTATCTATTTCTTCCTCACAATTATCAGCCGTCAAAAGCCCTAAATTTCAATCGTCAATCGTCAACCGTCAAAGTTCCTTCCCTATTACATGCAACCAACATTGAGCTTTGAAAAGCGCCAGAGTAAGGTCATCATAATATTTTTTCCTTGTCACTACAACTGTTTGCCTAGTGGTACGAGTTTTCTAAACTGACCGTAGAGTAAAATGCAGCAAAGCCAAATTAAAGCATTCCCGGATTTCTTTCGGAAGGGAATTTAACATTGCTCCACTGAAAAGCTTTTGACAGAATTTTTTAGCTCCCCTATAACCTCATTATATCCATGGCTTGCACAATTGCTGTAACGGACGATTGCCAATTTTTATACATTTTAAATCACAACTTTGGATTAACCTGTTTTACTCGCACCAGCGGACACCAGCTCACTGGCCTTTTTCATCTAAGTACAGCCGGACCAAAAATAAGCCTTCGTCTGAGTACTATAATATCTCTCGTTTAGCTTATGTTTTTTGTATTTGTACTTGAAATACGGAATCTAATTGACAAAAATTGTATTTTTTTCCAAAGCTTTACCTTACCACTGAGTAAAATAAATTTGGTTCAAAATTCAGCCTTTAGGAGCTTGTACAATCATATGGATTTGATTCCCTCCTTTTTTCAGTTGAATGTCCAGTCCTTACAGTTGGTCGTCTTGCCAAAACCACACCAAACAATTGTGTGACATCACCGAACAGACTTGACAAATCGTGGGAAAACTTGAGTAGGAGATACCGAAAAAAAAATGTATGGAAGTCCTTTCTTCTTCATCCTTTTCCTTTACCAAACAAAATAATGCACATTTCGATGGAATCTCTAAATATCATAACCGCTGGATGATGAAAGTTGAAATAACCAGACTTTACCTTTTCGGGAGCAAGAAAAAGAGTCATTACACCAAACCCAGCAAGGCTTCTTCATGGCGGACTTAACAGTGTAAGAAGATTTAAAAATTATCATGCAAACGTAACGATGTTATTTCTAAGCAAATAAAACCTTAAACTGATTTTCTTGCTGTAGTTAATCGTGTTTTATACCAAAGGACTAAACACGAGCGCGTTTTAATTTTGTGGTGCGTATTGGAAGCCTGGTCAAACGTTTTTAGGACACTTTCATTTATTTGACTTCTAGGTTAAAATTATTTTCACAAGTGACCCCTTTCCCCTCCCCTAGCATTGTTAAAAGTAATGTAGCGTTTCTGAATATTTCCAGCATTTTTATGAACATTGCAAATAGCCTTTAGTGTCCAAAAAAGATGTCAAAGGTTTAACATCTCTTTGCTAGTCTGCTAAAACTCAATTCAATCAAATCAAATGGAAGACAAGTACCCTAAAAATAGACAAGGAATTAAAACAAACTTTGCATGCGGACTCTCACCTTTGTGCGGTGAACTCAAAGCTGCTATTGGTTAGTTCGTTACCACAGTTTTCAACTAAGGTAGTTTGGCCGTCGCATAGGGAGGGGGTACTAATGCACGCCTTTTTTCAGGAAAGTGTCCCCTTCCTTTAGAAATAAATAGGAAGAAAACACAAAAACTACGATTACCTAAATCGTTAGAATCGACTTTAAAGCCATAACTAAGACACAGAAGGGCACGAGAGAGGAAATGAAAAGATTTGGACATTTTTTGTTTCCCAAATGCAACTGTTTTCCTCATATAGCTACTTCTACTTCAACTGTTATGGAGAAATTCAAATTATTCCATCTGGCCTCAATTAATGCTGTGCACCGAGCATGCCCAACATGAATTCGAAGCAATTATTTTCATGGCAACATGACATCACAATGAATGAAACAGAAATCCTTGGAGTTCGTCTGAGAGATTTTGTGAGAAGCAGCAATGGCTTGTGTTCTCAGACCGTTCCGACGGGAAAAAGTTAGGGCGGATAGTTTTTTTATCACAGCATCTGTTTCACTATTGAATATTGAATTACGCAAGAAAAGGTGGTGAGGAACACGATTAAGTATTTTCTTTCTCTCTTTTCTATAAAGAGTTTAGTCTTCGAAGCTGCTTATCTCTCTAGAGTCAGACTTTTTTTTTTTGCTTATCTGGTTGAAAATGATCAAAAGTTAAACTCCGACGAGGCAAACAATTTCGAAAACAATATTAATTTAACTATGATTAATTGAGTTGAGGAAAAAATGATACGTTTTCGAATTTGGTTGAGTTCGATTTGACTGTTGAATACCACGTGAGACTAAAGCAACAGAAACGAAGGGTCATTCCCCAAACTGAATATTGTTTGCCCTTTGAAGTTGCAAGACTCGGTGAAAAACAAGTACTAAGCTAATTCGTAGTGACAAATTTTCACAGCAGTGCTGTGAGAGGTTTGTAGATGACAGAGTTGACATGAAACAATAGAGAGCAAATAGACAAAAGAGCGAAGAAAACAAGAGAACAATAGGTTATGACGTGGTGTTCTATATTGTGACGCGTCCTTTGTCTTATACAATAAGAAATAGCTATTAAAATTTTTCACTGAAAGATGTCATATGACACCAAAATAGCCAATGAGGGCGTGCGCAGTTGAGATAAACAAACAAACAAACAAACAATATCTTAAACTCCAGCCAGAGAAGAGAGGGTCACAAATTATTCGTTAAATTTGACCGTGATCCTTATCAATCTCTTCAGTTCTTCCAGATGAAGTTCTTATTCGTGTTTTTCCAGTAACGTTGCTCATGATAGCTACGTAGGCGCTACTTATAAATAGAGTTGAACCTCGGCAAAGTACTTTGTTGATACATTTTAGTTAGTTCTAGTTGCTTTAGATAGTGAACATTTGTGCAAGTCTTACATCATATAGTAACTGATGATTTACTTTTCTCTACTGCTTTTAGAGAAGCTTTATAAAGAGCCCGCGGTCTCTGTACCAACCTTCGCGCGTCTTTCTGAGATCGCAAATAGCCTGGGCTTCGAAATGGGAGAGAGTGAGCTGATGGTTTATCGAGGCAGGAATCTTGGTGATGAGTTACTGGTAATAATTTGATGTAAATTGTTATCTGAGTTCATCAATTTAATTAGTATAATTATTTTGTCAGAGGCAATTTCTAGTACCCTGGCTGATACGTACCAACGGTTGTACGAGTTACCAGACCCCAAACTGCCAGTGAAATATCCACGGACTCCAGGTTACAGACCATCACCAGAAGACAACCCTTACAATGCTTGGTAAGTAAAATGTCAGAGAAACTTATTAATTCAGCGGAAACCCTAATTTATGACAAAGACCCCACTATGATATACTATTAGCGTTGGCTCGTAACTTTTCAATCAAACTCTGCTGCGGCGGGTATTTACTGACAAATTCACATTGTTGATTCTAAATTTATGAATTTGAATCTGGACTTTCCAAGGTTATTAAGTGAAGACATAATCCTCGCAACTGAATTGCAACAGAAGAAATTGCATAGAAAAGAAGTCATACAAGATTCAGGCCCCAAGAGGATTGGAACCTGTCTTTCCCCTCCCAGATACTAAACGGGTGCACTATTACTGAGCTACATCTTTAAAGCGAAGCAGTTATTTGGTGAGATAGTTTCATAAATTGCTTTGCCTCGCTCCAAACATGTGGCTTCGTAGTTCTGTTCACTTAAGCTGTTTTTCAAGCGCAGGTGGAAATATAATTAATTTGATTTTGAGGTACTGACGATGTAACATGAAAGGAGCGTCCAGTGACAAACTTCACGGCAAAACTATGGCGATCGCTTCCAACAAGTGCCATCGTTGCTCTGTTCACTAGACGTCTTTATCTTCCGCATGTCGTAATAAACTAATTTCATTTTCAGGTATTGGCGATGTGACATTAAAGGAGCATCAAGTGGTAAACTTCGCGGCAAAACTGTGGCTATCAAGGACAACACATGTGTGGCAGGGGTACCTATGATGAATGGTTCTCATACCCTGGAAGGATTTGTTCCGGATGTGGATGCTACTGTAGTGTCTCGGATATTGGATGCCGGTGGACACATAGTGGGGAAAAGTGTTTGCGAAGATTTGTGTTGTAGCGGAGGCAGTTTTACTGCTGCCACTGGTCCGGTGGTTAATCCACACAATAAGACGAGAATGTGTGGAGGGTCATCATGAGGTTCTGCAGCTTTGGTGAGTAAGAAAGTACATAGGAAAATAGGAAAACCAAGAAGCAAGAAAAATAATTTCTCCTCTTCTTCAACAAAATCTTATTATCGCAAACAAATGATCTCCAAACTGTCCATCACATTGCTTTCACTCAAAAAATTACATAGCCTTCATAGCTACGTTCGAGAGACGGATCAGGGGCCTTGCTTTATGTCCATTTATTTTCGACTCAGACTAGTTCCGTTCCGAGCACACATTATCTCTCAATAAGAATCGTCTTTTATTCCTACACAAAACTTCGTTTTAAATGTGGCTGCTTCGTGCAGCCACGTTTCTTGATTACGCTCTTGTCTTCTCGTCGTTTTTAAGGTGGCTGGAGGTCAAGTTGACATGGCAACTGGTGGAGACCAAGGAGGTTCCATAAGGATCCCCGCTGCGTGTTGCGGCATTGTGGGTCTGAAACCCACATACGGATTAGTTCCATATACGGGCATTATGCCGATAGAGTTTACTTTGGATCATACTGGACCAATGGCCAGGACTGTGTATGATACAGCTCTAATGTTGGAGGTAGGACAACAAGTTACGACAAATTGTTAAAAGTCCCGCAAATATCTAATCTGCGACTTCCCAATAAAAGTAATCGGTGTCTAACGGCATAAGAATCTTGAATTATCGCATAGTTTTTATTTTCGCTCTACCTGATTTCTTGGTTCAGCAGGAGACTATCAGATCAATCACGATAAGTGGGTGTCGTTTTTAGTCAAAAGTCGTTAGTCGTTTTTAGTTTGAAAATATTTCGAAAACAGCGCGAAATTCATTTATGTAAACGGTATATTAATTGTCTGGTTGCTACCTGTGCATTATTTTAGAGATCACTTCTATTGGGTTTTTAAATGTGGATTTAATCGTTAATAATGTATAATGACTCTTCAATTTTAAAATAGGCTATAGCTGGATATGACGGAGGACTGGACCCTAGACAGCCACGAGATCTCAAAGTGCCTGAGTATACTTTGGGGGTGGGTCTGCTTTTGAATTTCATTGGCGATGAATCATCTATAAGAAATAATATGTTAAATGAACGTTCTATGTCTCTCCTCAGATAAGACTGTCAATTAATTCACATTTTCTTGCTAAATTAGCTTTTGTTCAGTTGTACAAGGAAGATTTTTAATGGAGAGAGACTAGGGGTTATACAGAATTAAACCTAACTTTATAGACGACAAATGGTAAAGGTAAGTTTCCGAACAAACTAGTGCTGTATCGATGTGGGGTATCATAAGATAACTTTGAGTTGACAATGTGAATTAGCCGACGTAGAGCGATTCTAAAGCTGAATTTTTGAGCGTTAGCCCTTCGTCATTCGCTCTGACGAAGAGCTAACGCTTGAAACTTCAGCTTTAGTATTGCCTTGCGATGGTCAATTTGCATTATCAACTAAGTTGATCAAACAAAAGTGAGTCTCTAGAAAGTGGTTGCTGAGAATCTAAGAGCTTCGTGGTTGTGGGACATGCTTCAGTTATGATGAGAGGTCGGATACACACCGTGGTCAACGGTTGACAGCAAAAGAATATCTTGACTTGTGCCATGCTGTAAGCCGGGGGGGGGGACACCCCGACTTTTAAAACTGTTAATGGTGGAAACGGGAGGGGTTGATCGAAATTGAATTGAATCTAATGCCAGTGCTGGTTTGTTTTTGAAAATCCAAATATTATACCTCGGTAGTAATTTTTTGTTTATAAAGCAATGCAATTTTTTGTCAGCTCACAGGAAAAATACACAACTTGAAAATAGGAATCTTGAAAGAAGGCTTTGGATTGAAGACCTCCGAAGCGGATGTTGATAAGACGGTCAGAGAGGCCGCTGAACAGTTGGGTACTGCAGGCGGCGCAACTGTCGAAGAAGTGTCTGTCCCGATGCATTCTGACGGTAACTGAACATTATGGGAATGCTAAAAAACGCACCATAGGAAAGGAGAGGAGAATAGAGTTTCTCATCATTGCGTCCTACTTGAAATAAATGTTTAGAAACACTGTCAAACGTACTTAACTAATCGGTTCACAACTTCATTTAAGAGTGAAAATGAGAATTGTTTGATGTGCGTTTCGGATTTATTTAAACGTAGATTAGACCTTTTAGAGAAGACCTATAATTGTGTTGTGAAAGTTTGTCTTAGCACCACGTTAACTCGTCGAATGTCATAATTTGTTTTTGATTTGTCTCTCTTTTTGTTTTTTTTCTATTGTAATTTTTTTTTCCTTTGGCTTCACGTTTCGACAGGTGTTCGAATCTTTGGGGCCATTCGACATATTGGAGGTGATCGAATGATGTTTGAAGGAGCTGGTGAAAATTCATAATTGATTTCACAGAGAGTTCGAAGGAATCCCCTTCAAATAAAGGGGTGGTTGGCGTTTTGGTGAACATTTGTTCTGAACAATCCCGAATCAAGAATAACAGTAGCTAGATGAGGATTTCCCCTTAAACTCTACGCAAACATTTTAAATTGTATACAATGCTCTTATAATTGCGGCCAAGCCTTTGTGTTCGGCGATGGTAAACAGTAGAGGTTACTTCAACCTTTGCGTCCATCCAATGGCATGTCTAGTAACTTGGAGCTAAATTATGTACGTCGTTAGACTGTCATAACATGTTATGTCGTGTCAAGTTAATAAGATGTGATTGATGTGTTGTCATTGCATGTCATGTCACCTTAGGTCACTCTACGTCATACCATATCGTTTCGAGTCACGCAACCCTAAGTCAAGTCATTTATCATCATTAAGGAATGTTGCACATGAAAATGATTTGTTTTAAAGGGGCTGGAACTGCCGCAAGGATGTATTACGACACCACTCTGCAGGAAGCCTTCTCACGAGGTCTAAAATGCCACTCGAATGACCTGTCAAAGAGAGGCAAACTCATTCGGCTGATGGCGAAGTATTTGCACGAGGATTACCACGGTATCTTTTACGGAAAAGCACAGAACCTCGGTCGAGAGCTTTGCAAGGCGTATGATGCGGCACTTGAAAAATACGATGTGTTGATTCTGCCCACCATCCCCAAGAAGGCACCAGTTTTCCCGCAGGAAAAGCCTCCTCTAAAAGGTCTAATTTTGGCATTTGAATGTATCATTCTTTTGATTATGAATTTGTAAAAAGTAAGACCTTGAAAGGGAAAAGAAATAAGGATAACCCCATGAAATTAGGGAGAAGACTCGCGAGAAAAAGTTAGAATCTATTGTTGGGAAATAAGTTCACATTAAATAACCATCAATACTAAGACACCTTTGGCCATTTATTTTGTAGAATATTTGGAAAGGGCTTCTGAGAGTGCTCCAAACACGTCACCAACTAATGTCACGGGTCACCCAGCTCTATCCATCAACGTCGGCTTCAGTGATGGCTTACCAGTTGGTATGATGATTGTAGGGAGAAAGTTTGACGAGATCACCGTTCTGAATGTCGCCTACGCTTACGAGAAGATCAGAGATGCGGAAAAATAAGATTACAAGATGTCTATAAATAGACTCAGAACTACAAGATTTTTTTCACTCTTGAAAATTCTTGACTGACATTGTCGCACCAAAATCTTGTTCGGTAATCTCTTATAGTTCATTTCAGTTGGAAGATAATACGACTTCAGAATCAGTTTGGAGGGACAAATTCTATGAAATATATTTAATTTACTTTTTACGAGAGAGAAGTTCTAAAGTTCCTAGAATTTTTGAATATATCAGTAGTGCGCAAAAAGGTAAAATATTTCTGCTAAGATTGATTAAGATTTTAACACCAGTAAATTTTTCGCTTCATTTTGCGTTACGTCATCCAGGGGTTCTGAAAGGAGATTGATATCAATGATTTGTTTGAGGAGTAGCTCAAGTGCATCAAGAACTGTCTTGAAGACTGGGAGGAAAAATAGTCACATATAAAGAGGTCCAAAAGGAGCTGAAAAAGGCTTTCCAGAAAACTATTTTTGCCCAAAACTACCTCTAAATGTGAAAGATATTGAGCCAATGTTAGTCAAAGTGCGGAAAAGTGCTAAAAATGCAAACCAGAGCTCTAATAAAAATGCTCAAAAGGTGCTCGACTTCATCAGAAATGGCTTTAGCAAGCAAAATAAAGTAGGTACATTTCGCTGATGCCTCACACTCTTTTTATTCTTTTAAGATACACCTGTTTTCTCTAAAAGCAGTTACGCCGGTAAACCTTAAGGATCTAAAATGTGCTCATCTACAGAACGTTAGCAGGATTTTGTAGGCATCACAAGACCCAGATGATACGCGCCATCACCGGATGTAGATGTTTCCATGAGGGTTGTTGACGTTGGTGAGGTGGTTCAGACTGTTCGTGCCACAAGGATCATGGGTAGGCCAGTTCCCTGTGCGTGTGTTAGACTCGAAATAGTAATACTCCTTTAACCATGAGCTACTTTGAGATCGTATCAGATCCGGTCCCAGAGTAGAACCTGCAGGATTTCCAGCAGCATGAAGAATGAGTTGGTCGGGAACGTAGTTATGACATTTAGAAGCCACGTTCTTTATAATGCGGCATAAAACACTTCCAGTTTTGAATTCCACCAGACTTCCGGTTCCTTCTTTACAAGCGATCCAGTGGTTGATGTTGGATTTCACCATGAACTCACTGCCAAGAGACTTCCACAGGTTGAATTCCATGGCGTTGTAGTCAGTCTCACTTACAGGGGGGGTAGTTGATTGGTAGACATTCCCAACGTGATGGGATATAGGCCAGTTGGGACGTGGTGTAATCGCATTTGAACCATGTCTGAATGCCCTTTTGAAAAATTTAAAGATTGTTCAGTAAATGAATAAATAAATACGCAGACAACTAAACAAGTAGGATGATGAATAAATAGAGAGAGAAATAACAACCTGTAGTTTGTTAATGTGTAGCTATACACTAGAGTCCAGCCTCCGCCATCCGTTTCTTGGTCGCAGTAGGCCTGTACTGTTTGGCCTCCTCCAGGTTTAATCCAGTACACACCGGAAGTTGCATCTTTTCGCTTTTCTTTAATATCTTTACATGACTTTCCTGGGTATTTTTTGATCAGGCCTGTAGAGAAACACATATTATAAAATGATTGAGACGGTGAGCCCACTCTCATTGGTTAATTGGTGTAAACACCGTTGTCACGTCACGCTTTTTGTGTTTCCCCGGCACAATTTGAAAACATTTAAAGCTCAAAGCATTTGCAACGCTCGTAAAGTAATTTCAAGCACGAATAACAAATATTAGAAACGGAGAAAACTTTTCCAAATTTTGCTTTGGAGTCTGGCTATCTCTTTCCCCCTGAACCCGAAGAGAAAAAGAGAAGAAAGAGATAGACGAAATTCAGTGCTTTGCCTCCCTTGTCGAGGGAAAAAAAAATAGAAAAAATGTGCAACGAAATGTGAATTTACTGCGCAGTAACTATGAAGTAAATGCGCATCTTTGGAGATTGCAATGGGTAGAATTCTCGGGTCTCAGCCCCCCCCCCCTTTTCTTGTTTAGATGAGGCGATGTAAACACGGAATAAGTTCTCTATCAGTCTATTACTTAGAATTAATTCAAAGTCTAATTGATGGAAAGGACAGTACCCGAACTCCCCACTAATAATACTGATCTCATGCCAAGCGAACGAACCAAACAACTCAAAATGAAAAACAAAGACAAACAAACACGTAAGCAAAAACATACCATACAACAGTTTCATCTCATCACACTCCGGTTCCTTTTTTTCTGTTTTAAAACAAAAGGAAGATAAGCCGAGCCTTAATCACATAGACATTGACTCAAGCATTAAACCCCCCCCCCCCCCCCCACAATCCCTCCTCGCCGGTGTTTCTTCAAAACAAATCTGAATACGGTGGAAGATTACCCCCCTCCCCTCGGTGATAGATGAGGATAGTCTGTACCTTTTTAACTCAGTGAAAAGTTTCAATTTTCTTGTGTCCCAGTAGCTTAGCAAATAGCTCAGCAACACCTTTTATGAAAATGGTCAAAGAATAGAAGCTTTTACTTGCGTCCTCTTGTTGCAATCCGTACCTAGTTTGACTTACCTTTATCCCCACAATATCTTCCTCGTTTGAGGCAGGCAGGAGGAAGTTTGTAGATAAAGAAACCTGAACATTTCTTGATCGCTATTTCTTGAGTCTTTGCGCAGCAAGTCTTCCCAGTTGTATAGCAAACCGTGGCTTGGGCACTTTCCCCAGGCTTCAAGTTAACAGGGTGTGGCTTGAGAAGATAGGCAGGAAACATGGCCCCACATGCAGGAGACTTCAAGCAGCCACCTCCATTTTGGTCACTAAGATTGAGACGGTTTATTAATTCAGTGCCAGCTTATGTCTCGGCGCAGAGAAGCAAAAAACATTACAGGCTCAGAATTCATGCTTATTTTTGCACATAACATGTAAAGTAAATATCATGACCGACTACATGGCTAATCAGGACATTTATAATAATGCAAACCAAAAAATTACAAGCAAAATGGCATTACTGCGCATTCTCGATTTTTCTTGCCCCTGATTGGTTTGTTTTAGAATTATAACGCCATTCCTGCCGCAATAACTGGCTACCGTACAATGATGACTTCGTCGACAACGATGACAAGAATGATGTAATCTGTCGACATGAAAGGAGAATGGAGTTCCCTCCACCACCCCCGAGAAATCATTCCTCACGACGATTTGAACGTTTTTTAGAACCCTGGGTAGTGGGTAGTGAACACAAATTTGTTTCTCTTCCTCGGGGAGGGGGGAGAGGGGGGGTTGAGTGTCAGTTACACTGCGTCACTGAAGATAAATTCACAATACTGATTTATCACAAAAGAAAGAACTTACATAGTGGCCATTTTGTTTCCTGCATCCCCAGTGAATCGGTACCAATCCTCTTTCCATGCTTTGCGTTTATCTGATTTCTTTGTTAGCTTGTTGAATCCCGCCGCACGATCAGCGCCACGCAGGGTGCGGTAATTAGAACACGGGTCCTTATCGTATCCATCTGTGGAAGACAAGAAAAAAAAGACATATTGCATTTTATAATGATTGCTGGAGAAATTTGTCGAGTATTCACAGACCGATCCAAGAGATAATTGGGAATTCACCTTGATTCAATCTCCAACAGTAATCCTCACTATTGTATGATTCGTGCTCTTTAATCATAAACCACCAGTAGACATGCTCCGTTGTACAATATGATAATGTGGAGGGAGGAGGTGGGGATGGGGAAGAAAGGCCAGAGCTTTCATTCACAATTCAGTCCCTTTGGGAGCGCACGAGGATGGCGAATGATTTTAAAACCATTTTCAAGTTTACACACCACATCCCAAGAGAGTTTTCATAGTATAATAGCGATTTCAAAAGTGCAGTCCGTGGCTTTATCTAGAATAACAATTTCAAAATATTGTAGGGTTTCTATGGGTCCGATGAAAAGACGTGCGTAGGGGGCAGTGATACGGATAAACCAATACACGGAAGAGTTGGGATGTAAATATAAATTGTACGTGACGGGAAAATGGAACAAACAAAAGGAAACAAGATCCTTGATATACATTTGTTTTGAAAGCTTTTCGTTTTAAAATTTTGGCCACAGACCTCAACATGTCTTGAAAATTTTTATATGCCTTATCCTTTGACCTACGACTCTTTCAATACTGAAAATCATATATATATTGTCTTTTTTTTTCATATGAGATTCTGTATTCAACTTACGAGCCACATCCACTTCGGTGAAACAAACTATTAGGAAGAGTACCGTGACAAAGGCCAGTCCCATCTACAAATTAAAAGAAAAAAGGAATAAAATGAAACTTGTAACTAGCATGTAGGAAAATTATCGTCGTGGTGAATCCACATTTTTTTTTCTATGTCTTGCGCCCATGAAAAGAAAAAAAATGGCCTATTTCTTTAACTTAGCCGATTGTTTTTGTGATAGGGTGATGGAAAAGCCTCTCGGTTGTTTTGAAAGCATTGTGTGCTAAGTTCTTTTGTTTTATCTACGGTATGATTTGTCCAGCATCATAAAGTCTTAACTGAAGCAATTAATTTTTCTTCCTACACAACGGCTCATGTTATAGTCGATAAACATTCCACATATCTGCATAAAATTAAATGCTAGCTCATGGTCTGCAAGACATACGAGAAGCAAGCTATTCCTTTCCGCAATGTATTTCTTTGTATTTCTTCTTCTTTAAAGAACCCTACAATCGAAAGTAATCTATAACCGATAAATTCACCCGACACTCAGTTTAGTATTTGAAATTCCTTAGTTTTCTCATGTAAATATAATTTAAAATACACTTTAAAAGCGCACGAAATGTAAATATTTTTTTTTCTTTTTTCCCGTGGGGTAGGGGGTGAATAATTTTAGTAGGGAGGTGTTCGGAAGATTTGAGGATTGAATGCCTTTGAAAGCGTATATCCTCTTCAGTCTGTCTACAATAAGTCCACGCTATATTAACTCAAGACAAAAGCTTCGATCTTTAGGAGAAAAAAATTATATCTCCTCTGAGATCTCTGTACATATTGCGCACGTCAGACCTTAAGGTTAAAACACACGCTACGGCTCCGAACTCCCGGCAGCAATAACCCGAACCCCCGGCAGAACTTAAGCACAACCATGGAATCTAGAATAGACGAGACGCGGAATTCATGTATGCGTGTAAGAAATGATTATTTCAGCTTTTCCCAGTAAATTCATGATATGTAATGCAACTTCAATGCTTTATGGATTTGATGGAAAGAAATACTTTTCTTGTCATAGTATCCTGCAAACGCCCATTCAGTCTACGAGAATGTTAGGATAAGCTCGCGAAAATTTCTTCAATTTAGCGCGAACAAATAAACCGAAGCTGCTTCAGATGTTAAAGAATTCAAGTGAAAGCCATTCAAAGAACGTCACTAATATCAAATATCAAGCTGATGCAATACTCACCGTATCTGTGTTGTTCGTCCCCTCGTCCTTAGAAACAACACAAAGGAAACTGATTTTTTTTTATTTCCACCCTTCTTATTTAATCGTAATTATCTAGGGAGGCCCTATTTGCGCGTCTGTGTACACGTTCCTATTGTTGCATTATTCTGTAATTAAAAGAAATGCCACAGCGATTGACACACAGTGAGTTAAAGTTAGCGCTCAGACGATAACTAAGTGCATATGCATAACTACACGCCGATACATTTCAGAGACAGTTTCCTTAACATTTATGTGAAGCATCTTTAAAAAAAAGCTCTCGTCGCTCTGTTGACAATCACACTATTGAGCTGCAGTAGGATATAGTAAAGCTTTCAGTCATGCAAACGTTTCAACCCGCAATTGCTACATTTTACAATTAGCATAAGGTTGGACAACAGGTGGCATGTAAAATAGCCTAAAACTTGACGCGTCCAGTGCTTACCGCAGACCAGCAAAATGTTGGGAACATACAAACTACGCTATTCTAGACGAAACGCATCTTAAAAGGGCTAAGAGCTATGTTTTTTAGCCAATATTCTGGAAAGCAGCATATTAGGAAGGTTCAAACGAACTTAATTCGTAGTGTCCCTGATGTTCTCGTAAGCACGGGCGACATTCAGAACAGTGGCCTCGTCAAACTTTCTTCCCACAATCATCATACCAACTGGTAAGCTATCACTGAAGTCAGCGTTGATAGATAGAGCTGGGTGTCGTGTGACGTTTGTTGGCGACGTGTTTGGAACACTTTCACAAGCCTTCTCCAAATATTCTGCAAAATAAATTGCAACGGATGTCTTGATACCAATGGAATTTTCAAGTGAATCAATTGCCCAAATACAGATTCTCCCAAAATCTCCAAAGTCTTCGAAATGACTAGTCGATCAACAATCTAAAAACACAGCGTCTGTCAAAAGTGTACGCCAAAAGCAGAATTGAAATCTTTAATGGCGTAAATGAAAAGTTCCGGCCGAAGTAAATTGCGAAAACTAAGATATCCGATGAAGACCTCGCCCAAAAATTAATACTTTTTGTTGCTTGGAAAAAATTGGAGTCTTCCCAACATTTTCAAGAGCTTTAACTTTATTTCTTTACCTTATTCAAGTATTAAAAAGTAATTAATAAATCATTTTTGATATTAATGTGTTGAAATGGTAATGATCGGACCTTGCAACGGAGGGGAGTTTTCGCCATAGGAAAAAAACAAAAGCACAAAAATAGATAAACAAACAAACAGAAAGACAAAAATAAAAATTAAAAACAAATGACTACGTTGAAGGAGTTATCGTGGTCTACAGGCACATTTTCACAATGAGAAAAAGTTACGAATTAGTTGATGTATAATAGGAGCCCATGGGCTCCCTTTTTTTAATGTTGTTGTTACTGCGGTGGACACCTGGTCCCAATCCCAGCTGATGCAACTCAACGCTGACAAGTGCAAAGAGTTAATTATTGACTTTAAAGAAAATCCTCATAACTTTTCTCCACTTGTAGTAGATAGCAAAGCCCTTCCCGTCATCGATTGCGCCAAAATCCTAGGTGTTACCATATCTAGTGATCTCAAATGGAACAATCACGTCGTAGATTGCATTAAGAAGGCAAACAAGTGGATATGTTTCATTGTTCTCCTGAAAAGGGCTCGTGTACCTTGTAATGACATTGTTGATTTCTACTGTACAACAATCAGATCTGTTATAGAATATTGCGCTCCCCTCTTCCATCACGCGCTTCTCGCTTACCTCAGTGAGGATATAGAGAGAATACAGAAAAGAGTTCTTTCCATAATTCTCCCAGATATGTCATATCAGGACTGCTTGGACAGACTAGGCCTTCCAACGCTAAAAGAGAGACGCAATGAACTATGTAAACGACTCTTTGATTCAATCGCCAACAACTCGGGGCATAAACTACACAACTTACTGCCTCCAAGAAATGAACAAAGCTACTGCCTGCGACAACAGAGAACATATAATCTACCACGCTCGCGCACAGACCGCTTTAGACAGTCCTTTGTGTATGCAATGTCCAAAGATGCCTAGCAACAAACAACGCGTAGTACTTAGCTAGTAACTATACATATTTTAATCCCATTAGATAAGTATATTTTTATATCATGTACATATGTTTGTGATTAGTTTTAGCATTTGCCTATTTATATATTTCTCTGTGAAATACGCAATTCAGTCTAATGACTGCGATGTATTTGTGAATAAACAGTCTATCTATCTATCTATCTATCTGAACCCTTTCACCCTCAAGATCTCATAAGTAATTCTCCTTACTGTCTCCCCCCATACAATTCTTGTGATGTTAATTGGGAGAATTTGGGTTTGGATCAACTAATTATCCCGGGTCACTAATTGATATTTTTCTTTATTCTCCTCACTTGTCTGCTTGGTAATGTATTGATATTGTAAGGAGAAATTCTGTCTTGGTCACTTATGGGAGTTAAAGTGTTAAGCCTTAGACTTACGACTATAACAATGCAAAGCATCAAACATTTTATCAAAAGGAGAGAATATTCTTTGATCGTCTCAAGCTATTATGTTTAGTACGTTTATTTAGGCTAGTTACTGTACTGTCTGTAGCAGTCGCTGTCTAACACCGCAGTTTTTGTGATAATTGGTGTTTCATCGATATCATTAATGGTTCAAACCACTTTTTCTACGACCAAGTCGGCTTCAAATTAATAGATAAGGTACTTAAAACTTTCAGCTTGGACCCAGATAACAATAAATAATCTAACACTACCAAAAAAACGTCATTTGGATTCCCACCTCGATAAGCTATCAGCTCAATGCCCTCCATTTTCCAAGCCCAGGCTATTTGCAATCTTAGAGAGACGCGAGAGGGTTGGTACACGGACAGCGGGTCTTTGTAAAGCTTTTCTAAAGGCCACATAGACTAATAAAATGTAAGTGATTATAAGATTTGTAAAAATGTTTACTTTCTGAGGAAACTAGGTGCTAACTAAAATATATCAACAAAATAATTTTTTTAAAATGAAGCTTTAGTTTTGTGGGCGTCGACGCTGCAATCACGAGAAACACCGCAAGAACCACATCGGAAAGAACTGGAGATTGATACGGATCGAGGTTAGACTTCCTAAATAATCTTTATTAGCAAATGCCTTAATATGCTTTATAATTTAATAGCTTGAATTTTTTCCCAAACAGCGCATGCCCCTATTGTTTATTTTGGGGTCACATGATATCCTATTTTGAATGTATTTCCAGTCAGCCTCTGAGAGGGCGGCATTGCAAAATTTATGACATCAGAGAGTAACAATACACTCTTACCCGCGAATGTTGACCGACCCGATTCAGATAAATTATGCCGGTCAGATAAATTATGCTGGCATGATGTTGCAACATATGCCTTAGTCAGAGCATCGAGCATAATGCCAGCATATTGACTTATGCTTCTTAAAAATTTTCTTGACGTTGCTGTTAAACACGAGAGAAATTCTTTTGCTTGAATAACGTCAACATCAAGCCTTCTTTTCTTGCGTGCACTGTAGGAATTTGATCCTGAAACTATCATGTGTTCTGAACTTCTGTAAGCCTTTTATTCTCATTAAGTTTTACTTTTAGGTGTTAAGAATGAGTGAATGGTAATTCTTTTGTTTTTATATTTCAATTGAACGAAATGACAGCTTTTGAGCATATGCCACGTTTTCAGGGGTGACACTAAAAATGTTCGAGCATAATTTAAAGGCGAAAAAGTGGAATGATAGGCTGATGCTGAGGTTGACATACAGAACTGTCTCGTGTAAACTAGGTAGCTTACAGAATGTTAAGGTGAATAGACCACTTGCGCATGCATCTCCAATTATTTAGTCCATTTTATGTCTGCTACTATTGTTTATGTGGTTGAAGTTGTTGTCGTTTTTGTTTGTTCATTCATTTGTTTGTTGTTTTCTTTTTTAACGAGCTTAAAAGGGTGCGTATTGGGAAAGAAGATAGAAATTACTCACTGATAGGGTTGTCTACTTATTACAAATCATGCTTTATGTTTCACACATTATGCTAATTTGTTATGCTCAGTTAAAGCGTGCACATTACAATTCGCATAAAAATACCTAGAAATATTGGGATCCATGTTTATTTTCCTAATTTGTAACCACGCCTGGTCTTGAAATGTAATACCTGGCTACTTTGAAACCAAGCGTAAGCGTGGTCTTAAAAAGATTAAAATTTGTTAAAAAAAAAACGAGCTAGCGGTGTCTCAGTTGGAATTCCTACGTTTCTGGAAAAGTTTTTCTAAAACACAGAGTCCAAAAAAATTTTTTTTTTTAATTTCATTTTTTTCTTATTTATTAAATTTTTTTTGCACTTTTATTGCAACATAATGCTTGATTCTCTTGCCTTATTACTATTCTCAAATAATGCCGGCATAATGTGGACGATCCTACTCACTGAGCTCTTTTAATTTAAGTACTCTTCAGTTTTCTCTCCTTTTATCGCCTTTTGCGTTGTACGACAAACTTTGGCCGTGATTCTTACGAGCCACCCTTCTCACGCAAGCAATAATCCAAAAGCGTAATTACTCTTTGTTGCCAGGTCTCTTGGCGTTCGCGCAATGTTTAAGGAGCCCGCTATTCGCGTACCAAGTTTAGTGCGTCTTAGAGAAATAGCACAAGACACGGGGTTGGATGTTGCTGAATCTGATCTTGGATCATACCAGGGTAAGTAATTAGTTTATCATTTAAACTTAGGAGAGTGTGAACGCAGATACTCACAGGACGATCGGTTAATACCAAATTAAAATAGAGACTTCTTTGACACGTTCCAAGAAACGGTAGTTACAATAACGATGTTCACGACGATAAGGATATAAACAAAGTTTATTGAAGCGAAGCGATGGGACATAGTAGAACTTGGAGATGAAATGTTGCGCAGCGAAGCGATGAAAACAGGCGGAGTAAACGACGTATAAAGCGGTATGAAGCGGTTTCGAAAATTAGGAAGAAAATACAACGAAAAACTATAATTTAAAGGCGAAAAAGTACGGTCAACTTTGGAGAGCAACTTTTCCATTAAAAGATGTGAAAGGTTAAAAGACATCCATATCCGCGTTGGGAATTTTAGAAGTTGTGCCTTAGATCGTTGATGTTAACACGACGAATTGCTAGCCTGAGCTGAGAGTTTTCCTGAACACGTACGATTAACTTTACTCAATAGTACAAAAAAGAAAAAAAAAAGCTACTGAGCAGCACAGAGAATGTTATCTTTGATTGAGAGCAGTATAAAGAGTATTAACTTTAATTATACCATTTAAATAGCTTGAGAAAATATGTCCGTTGTTTGGGCCACAGAAATTCGGAAATATCTATGTAAAGGAAACTCCGAAATACATGAAACGCAAAAGAAAATCACGAAAGGAAATGAAAAAGCCAAAAAAACTACTTTGCAGGAACAGATAGGAAGCACGCAGCAAATGACAAAAATAATTATTTATATTGTATCTTGTATTCTTTTCAAATTGCTGTAAATGCCATTTTTAACCAATTTTAAGTAATTTCTTTTCCCTCTTTTCGGAGGATTTGTGAGGGACGAATTTTAACGAGAAAATATAGTTTTTCTCCCATGGTATTGTTGATATCTTCTAGAGGCTATTTCTACTATTCTGGCAGATACCTACCAACGGTTGTACGAGTTACCAGACACCAAACTGCCTGTGAAATATCCACGGACACCAGGTTACAGACCATCACCAGAAGACAATCCTTACAATGCATGGTTAGTAAAAATAAAAAAAGTTTTCTTCTTAACCTTTTGTTAAAATTGTTTACCTATATTTTTATTCATTTATTTTATTGTTATTATCATTATTAAGTTTATTATTTTGTAACGAACTTAAGAAAATTAACGGCACTTTTAAAATAAAAAAAAACATGTTTTAACAGTTCTTCTGTCATCTTTAGTTCTGAATCATGATAATACAAAGTACAAAGTTGAATTTAAAGGGTGTAACAAAATGCTGATTGGACAAAACAAACAATACTAACAGAACAATGTATGCATTCACAAGGAAAGTTTTAAATTAACGTGATAAAGTTGGTGATTAAGAGTAGGTTTCTCCAATTGAATGTGGCTAGTTTCTTTTATTTTAAGTTGAAAACTTGTGGAAGCGTGATCTAGGATGTTAAAACATTCATCAGAACAAAGAGTGCGACATTGTGGAGAATTGTGTAGATGTCTGAAAATGTGAGGGGCCCTATCACTGACCAAGTGCTCACGTACACGTGTGGATGAATGTCGAGAGGTTTCGCCGACATGGCAGGCATTACAGCCCGCACATAAAAACTTTTACACCTACACAATTTGTTCTGATGAAGTTAATTTCCAGCGACAGTTACAGGGGGTTCTGCAAGTGGTATATAGCTAGTGTCCTATCAGTTTACGTTATTGCTTTGCATAACATCCAGAGCCTGGCTTAATGATTTATCTAACTTGAAGTATCACTTCTCCTGAATGGCATCAATTCGTAGTAGGGTATTGATGCCCAATTTTTAGCATGGTCGGGTTCCATGCTCTTGGAGCTTCAGTTTGTTTGTTGTTGTTGTTGCTTTTTTTTTTTATAAACCTTTGGTTTGGAACGAGTCAGAAAATCGATAAAGTTCACAGAAAATCCTAAACGAATTAAAATGTAACAAACAAAATTGTTTATCTTGGTTTTACTTTTTTTGACAGGTTGCCGGTGGTCACGTGGATATGGCTTTAGGAGGAGATCAAGGGGGCTCCATTAGGATGCCTGCCGCCGCATGTGGAATTGTGGGTCTAAAACCCACCTACGGTTTAGTTCTATATACTGGGATCGTGCAGATGGAATTTACACTGGATCATGTGGGACCAATGGCTAGGACAGTTTATGACACAGCTTTGATGTTGGAGGTAAGGATTTACGAATAGACTTTTCCTTTTCCTTTTCGTTTACATAAACGCACTAGGGATAGGTGAATTTTTAAAGGGAGTATCTTAACTTTATTTACCCTGTCCATTTGTTTACGTTTAGGTGATTGCTAGGCTTGACGGAGACCTCGATCCCAGGCAGCCAAGAGATTTGTACATCGATGAGACATGCACTTCGAAGGTAACTGAAATATTCAAAACGTTTGCGTGATCGGTGTAAGAAGCAAAGCAGTGGTTAGAGATTCACCTTCTTTGCAAGTTAGATGTTGATATCTTCTTTGACAAATCAATGATCGCGAGAGAGAGAGTATAAAGAGAACATCAAATATATATATGTGTGCGCGCGCCGTGATTGGTCAGAAAGAGTTCACTATATTTCCATAAAGCATGCACCTTACGTCACACGAGTGCACTTTTGAGATATAATGCATGCAGCCAAAGTCATCGGTACGAGCGCGCGCAACACGCGATACATTTTATAAAAGAAATAAAAAACCCTGTTCCTTGGGCATTGTTGAGTTATATATGCACTTGGGAATTTTTAAGAACACTCGAGAAGTGCTAGAAGCGCTCGCCTTCGGCTCGTGCATCTCCACACCTCTCTCGTGTTCTTAATAATTCCCGCGTGCTTATAGAACTCAACAATGCACTCGGCGCGTTTTTTTGTCTTAAATATAGCACTGGACTTTATTTTGTAGTTATCAGGTGAAATTTCGCATCTTAAACTCAGGATAAACTCTGTGGCCATGCACTACGAAGGTAGACATGAATTTTTTGTAAAAGTGTTATTTAAGTGGCGAGACAGTCACAGAGTAGTCAGTCAGTCAATAAAACTATTCATTGGTCAATCTGCTTGTCAGGCATGTTTAGCAGTTCTTTCCGTCATTCAACTAGTTGAAGATCTTCCATCCTTCTCATTTATACTCGTTCCTTTATTCTTTACGTTTCATTTTTCCTTTCGTTCATTCTCACTTCTGTACCCAGGAGCAAGCATACTTCAAGGTATATGCGCAGAAGGGGTGACACGAGTGATCTTTGAGGCAGGTATGTTGCTATTTCGCTTTTAAGCGAAAAAATTTTTTTACTGACTCACGCCGCCAATATGTTCCCCGATGTTGCCCTCGCGCTCGGTTTGTAAGTTAGTATTTTCCTTGTTCTTAAGTGAAGTTTCCCTAAAAGTAAGGTACTTCCATTTTTACGAATTCCTGTCTGTCCTTTCTATGAATGATGAATGTGGATTATAAGGAAGGTCTTGCTCAGAAGTAACACTTTAAATTCAATCGACCTGTGCCGCAGAAACCAGAATAAACCTTAGCGGTCATGGACTCAAATACTTATGTCATTAGTGTTCGTGCAATCGCGTTGTGCAGAGTGCTTTTTGATGCGGCATGGTTATTCCAAATGAGAACTGGTAAACTAGTGAGAACTCAAGTGAAACCATGTGAATCACCTGGAGCATGTGATTAAGGCGAGTGACCTTGTCTGTTTGATTGAGAGGTTAGCGAAAGTTCTGTAGACCAATCACAAAACGTTGAGAAGCTAAACAAGCAGAATCATGTTTATTGTTTGTTTGTTTGTTTATTTGTTTCTTTTTTAGACTCCGTTGAACATTACCTTTGGAAGGATAAACAAGAGGCGTTTTATGATCTTTTAGGGTTTGGAACAAGCTCAAAGATGTATTACGACAGAACGCTTCATGAGGCTTTTTCACGAGGCCTGAAGACACACCTGAATGATTTGCCAATCACCATCGAAAAAAACATTTTACTTGGACGCTTCCTTTTAACAGAATATAATGGAACTTTCTACAGCAAGTCGCAAAACTTGGGACGAGAATTGTGTAGAGCATACGACAAAGTTCTTGAAGATTATGATGTGTTGTTGATTCCCAAAAAGGCGCAGTCTTTCCCGCCTGTAAAACCATCAATTGCAGGTATGAAAGTTAATGAATGTAAGAATGAACAAATGGAAAAATAAATTGATGCATAAAAATCTAAACAAAGAGAAAACACATCACACCTTGCTCCTTTTACAATCAAATGCAAGCATTCATTTACTGATCTTTTTGTATTTTACTTTCACTTAAGTCATCCATTAAGCAATCATTGGTGATCCTTGCAATTTGTCCTTACAATCTGATTGCTCTCTGACTCAGTGATGCGATTTATTTACGACTCGTGTTGTTTTTTTGCTTTTCGGCACATTCTTTGACCAGCCGACGAGAAGGCAACGCTAAAACATAACAAGCACTCAGATTTCAAAGCTAGTTTCGAATAACCAATGAAATTTTTAGGAAAATGAAAGACAATTTGAAAGAAGTCATTGAGTGGTGAATCTTGCAACTTTTGTCCCCAAAACTGTCCTTTTTTTCGGTAAAAAAAAATGAATAAATCAAATTTCTCAGAATTCCGGTTCCGCTGACTTTATAAACTGCTTCAGTACTAGGCAAGAGAATGTCAGTTGAAATTCCAGTGGTACTTGATCAATAAATGTATGTTCTGACTAACTCCTATAATTAATAAAATTTGCAAATGCAAATGGTACGTTGTAGCAAAAGGGTAATTGAACTTTGTGTGGTGTATAAACATTGGACAGAAATCATAACAAGAGAAAATAACTATAACCTCTTAATCAAACTTTTGATTTCAAATCTTTTAAATCGTTCTTATGATTTCAAATCATGTGTATGGTTACTGACCAAATTGCTCTCCACTTAGTCCAATTATTATTGCAAATAGAATCTGTAGCAGCAACCGAGATTTTTCCTATTATTTTCCACACACTTTAATTGGTTAGCCTATTATCTGCTGAGTGACATAGTCCAGTTTTTTTGGATGGCTGCTGTAACCGGCGCAGAGGCTGATACTTCAGTTAAGCAATCGGCGTCAGTTTGGTGTTCAAAGGCTACAATCAAGTTACAATCAAGGATTAACTAGACTCGTTCTCTTTCAGATTATTTGAGGAAAGTTTCTTACATTGGCCTCAACACTGCACCTTTCAATGTCACAGGACACCCAGCCCTGTCAATCAACGCCGGCTTCAGTGACGGCTTACCAGTTGGTATGATGATTGTGGGAAGAAAGTTTGACGAGGCCACTGTTCTGAACGTTGCCTACGCTTACGAAAAGATAAGGCACGCCGAAGATAATATATGCTTAATTGAATAAATGCATGGAATAGTCATTTTCTCATGAGTCAGTTTGAGGATTTGCTCCTGTAAAACCACACGAACCTTTCCTATCCTATTTTGACTGGTCATTACTGTTAGCTGGAGTGATAAAGAAAAAGAGGATGATATGAATGTTTATTTCGTCCACTGTCGTCTATGCTCAGGGGTGGGGAATTTTAACCTTGCCCTTCTGGGGTGGAGAATTTGACCCGGGAATTTTAAGTCTTTCCAGCGGAATAAACGTATTTTAACTTTTAACATGGAGGTGTTTAAAAGTGAAAAAATTACTTCGCGAGCAGATGGCTCAGTAGAAATGGTCCACAAGAAAGTCCCTGATACAAGTCATGTCTTTACAACAAAAATGACCATAAAATCCAGCGCTTGGGTGGAGCATTTGAAGCCGATTTCGCCCCGGGGGCGAGAATTTGAACAAACTAATCTTCACAAGTTCAGATGATTGGAGGGTTGCCCGAAAAAAAGGGGGGGGGATGTTGGATCTTTGAATTGATCGAAGCATTACTATAAAATAAACTTAAATTTCCTGTGATTTACCGTTGCAATAAACGATAGGTCTGGCCAACCAGGGTGTTTGTAGTAACCCACTTATGTTTTAAACTTCCATTGATGAGGCTGATGCGGTTCCTAAAACATAGTTATCTCGCAACACCCCCACTGACGCAGCATCATAGCTTCTTTAGAAATCTACCCTTTCATCCCTGACTACAAGGGCTTCACTTAACCTCGCAGTAAGATTAGTCCAGAAACTCGCGCTACCCTCTTGTTAATTAATCAGATCCAAAACTGGAACCACATACGATAATCACTCGCGTTTTCCTTTGTCGTTGTTTTTTTCCTTTAGTTCTCATTGTCATCAGGCAATACTTGTCTTTGTTGAAGTCGACTGTTTTGTAGAAATGGGTTTTGGTTTCAAGACAGTCAATGTCGTGGAATGCAGTATGTGTATATTAATGGTAATACTCGGATGTGGTGTTTAGTTCTGAATTACGTAGATTCTAAAGACGTAAGTCCTTACTCTTTAAGATGTTCACAAGGTAACTAAGTATCATTCGGTGCTTTACTTGATACTTTAAGATATTTACGTTCTTCTTCTTTAATTACTCTCCGTCTGAAGGACGAAGAGCTAGGACGTTGAAGCTAGGACGGTGAAGCTAGGACGTTGTGAAAAATTATGGCTTCTTCTTGGCAAGACAAAGGACACATCATGATAAAACACAATTCCCATAGCAATCCCAAAAGAGCAGCGTTCACGCACACAGTTAGTGTCCAGTACCCGCTGATACAATATCTCTTTTTCGGTTTTGCTCTTCCCGTGAGCATTTCACTTCTTCTGTGAGCCTTTTGATCTTGCCGTGAGTGTTTTTCTTTTGCCGTGGGTTTTTGGTTGTACCGTGAGGTATTTGGATTTACCGTGGGGTATTGGTTTTGCTGTGAAGTATTTGGATTTGCCGTGAAGTAATTGGTTTTGCCGTGAGCTTTTGGTTCTGCCGGAAGCCTGTTGGTTTTGCCGTCAAGTAATTGTTTTTGCCGTGAGGTATTTGGTTTTGCCTTGAAGTAATTGTTTTTGTCGTGAGGAGTTTGGTTTTCCCGTGAAGTATTTTTTATTGCCGTGACAGTTATGGGCCATCGTGGGGACTCGGGTCACGAGTCACAGACATTCAAAAAAGAGCAGCGCTCAAATGCATCGTTTCCTTCGAAAGAAAAAGGGTTAGACGGATTAGGAAATCCCTTCATTGCAAGCCAAACTAGGACTAGCGGACTTGAGAATTTTTTCTCAATGAAATTTATCCAGACAAGTCCTTTATAACATGACAGCTTTCGCAGAATTTTCCACTTGCGTTGCTGAGAATTCCGCACACGCTGGTTCAGTAATCTTGGACTGTATACTTCCTCTTGATTCAGGCTTTATTGACGACAATTCAGCATTTCACGTTCCGTTCTGCAATCTATCTACTCTATAACAATCTAATCCTGGGGTTACAAAAATGTTACATTTATTAGCTGAGGAAATCCACACCCAGATACGTAATTCCGTGTGAGATTCAAGATTCACTCACGTTCTGTAACGATTCATGGGCACTAATTTCCTATTAAACATGGCTTTACTTGACAATCATGCTGCTTAGTTCCTACGCGCTTAAACGCCCTGCAAATACCTAGTTTCGTACATCACTGCTCGCAGAACTAATTTGATTACCCTATGCCGCTCCCAATTACATGCTATTTTTAATTGTAACGGTAACGGAATTATAACTCACTTAATACAAAATTAAATTCATAATAAATCCAGGAAATCAATTCTTGCGTGGAAAAATTTCACAACAACAGGTAAATTGTAAAAAAAAAATGATTGTTTGTTTTGTTAAAATTTGGAAGCCTCACTAGGATGTTGCCCCGGACACTTGATTATATTCAGTACATGTTACTCTAATTTTGTATAACATTGTGGAAACTGCGAGCTGAAGCACGTTTTCTCTCACTGTTGTTTTCCTTCTTTGTTTATTTGTTTGTTTGTTTGTTTTTTTCCAAACGAGCATCAATTCCTCCCAAGTTATTGATTCACTTGAGATCCGCCGTGAATTTTGGTGTTGCCTGTCTCCTTTTCCAGTCGCTCCACGCGAGAAATTGGCCTCAAATACATTTCCATATGTTTATGAGGGCTAAGCAGTTATAGAAAGTATTAGTGTATTCAGAAGTGGTCTGTGATATGTTGCAGGACTATCTGTTAGTAGCGCCATAATAGGGTTTCTTATTTTTAGTAGTTTCTTTCTTTTTAGATAAACAATAAACTTAACTTCTTCCCGTATTCAAACAAAACAACTTACTTAAGCGCCTAACGAGGCTAACAAGACCTTTTGGTTTTTTTGTTTTCTTTTATAATTACTTTTTTTTGTCCACTCTCAACAGCAGTCCCCTGCTCCAGCCCTTCTTGAGTGCCCTTGTTAATTTATAACAGTGCCTGTTTTTTCTTCTGACGGACGTTAAAGAACAAATGCTCATGCGGAATATAAAACTTAGGTTACAAAAGTCGCCCACACGGAAAATGAATTGACAAAATCAAATCGGAGATCACATAGTTAAGAAATGTTCTTATGCCAATATGGCAACTGTTCTAGAGTTGGAAATAGTACTCGTGAAATCATTTGAAAACCCACGACTTGAAACGTTAATTAGTCAAATTCGTTTCACAGTTCTGTCCACTAGCCATGCGTGACAGATTACTTCGACCCGCATGTCATCTATCCATAGAACAGCTGTATCGATTTCAGACGTAATAATTATTCAAGACCTTCCGACTCCTCAGTGCGTCGCTCAAGATGAATTATGATGGGAAATCTGCTAGAGGCAATATACGTCTTGTACCCTTTGTACTTAGCGGCTGTTGTGTATATATTGCATTGGTTTTGGTGTGATAGCAGTCAACATCACGGAATGCGCTCTTTGTACGTTAATACTGGTATTACTAGGATTAACCGCAGCACAAACTCATCAAAATTCGGTACAAAAGGATGTTAAGTCCTTCGACAGGTCGCTTATCAGATTTCAACTAAGTAACTAACCACAACGTCTCAATATTTTTCACAACTGCTTAAATACTTTCTACTGTATAGATATTCATACTGACCAACCTACAGTCATGCATAACAATTCCCACGGCGCGGTAGCGCTGCTAAACGGACAGACACCACAGTGGGAGTTATTTAATACTTCCTATATATTACATTACACTAGGCTGAAGTTCTCGTTTTAATAACATTCAGCACTCGCTCAGTCTTTTTTCATTCCACTTCTTTTTCACCGTCCATATTTCCTTTTCGATGTTTTAAAAACTTTCAGTCATGCACAAATAGAATATTGTCAGGGTCTGGAAGAGTATCCTCGGGATCCGGGATTTGACCAAAATACGGTGCGGGATTCGAGAAAATGCAAAATATCTTGACAGGACTCGGGATTTGATTACTCCCCGGGAAGCGCGACTCGCCAAAATTTGGTTACGGGATGCAGGGATTTTTTGCCTGTATGTCGGGAATTCGGGAAAGCGCCATGACCCAAATAAACGTTCCAGTGGCGAAAGCGAATCAACCAGGCGAGTAGCCTACGTGTAGCCGCACCCTCCCCCGTTTCGCCTTTGGGGGCGAGTGTGCGGCTACACGTAGGCTACCAGGCGAGCGCTGAGTGTGTATGTGGTGTCTCCTTTCAAATCAAACAATAGTGTGTGCCTGGTCAGTAGTTATCTAATTGAAATTGTCAAGAAAATTCCTGGACCCTGAGACAACAAAGGGTGTTTTGTTTTAACCGGATACCAGGAAAGCGCACGTGGTGTAAAAACATATCAGTTATATTGACTCAATGCTCTCAAGCTCTTCACATGACTTCACATCTGTTATCTTGAGCCGCTGAGGGGATTATTTTTAACAATTTGACCGCGAGATATGGCAAATACTGATACCAGTCTTACTTCCTTGAGCAACACTCAACTCAACGCGGTCAGAGTTATGTTGTTATTTTTTGCGGCCACAGAAAAGTGGGACAAGTCTTCTAGCGCTATAAATACCATGGCGATCCACAAAGAAAAGTTTATATTCCGTTAAGTGAAGAACATAGAGAACTGCACAGACTTGAGAACCATTTAAAAACCTTTACTGACCTGGAGAATATCGCACGGAGTAAAGGTCTCGGAGAAAACCCCGATTTCGCCATTGCTGGAGTGCAAAAGGAAGGCACTGGCCTACCTTGAGACTTTTTCTCTGAGGACGCAAGACGCGTGGGAGTACGAGTTTGACACTCTTATCCAGGGAAACGGGATGCTTCAAGGTAACTGTGTGATGTTGCAGGTTCTTGCGTATTTCTCATATTGAATGAATATTTTTATCTTGAAAGGCGCGGCATGCAACCTAAATTAATCAAATTCGTTTCACAGCCTGTTCGATCACTCTCCACAAGCTAGTACGTGACAACGTTCTTCGACGCGCTCGCCATCTATCCATGGAACGATTAACTGATGTACTAAATTTCAGATTCCTCATTTAGGTCCACCCTCCGACTTTCGAATTTGGATTTCGTAAAGCGTCGCTCAAGGAGACTTTTGCCGGATGGAAGCTCTACCAGAGAAAAAAGACGTCATGTGCCTGTCTTTTCACTCGGGCTTTCCGAAGGAAACACCCGAGGTATAAATTCGGCTTCGTTTTTTTTTTTTTTTTGCGTTCAGTCACAAAACGCAGCTCCACTATGCGTGAAGTGTAGGCGCATGCGTAGAATGAACCTTAGGGCGCATGGTTTAAAGCAATGGCTGCCTTCGTGGACAATTTCTTGCTTGATGTACGAGAAAGAAATTCGATGGCTATTACGCCCAATATACATACAAAGTCACACACCGTTTGCGATAGACCCACACTAAAACTTGTGGAGCGTTTTGGGAACGGGTCGGTCCGCGAACTTTACGAGAGATCAATTTACGAGCGATCCTTTACGAGTGAACCTTTTATTGAGAAATATCAAGCGAAACCTGCTATATCAAACGAGTTATCTCATATTATGTTTACGTGTAAACACAACCGTGTATTTAGACGTGATCGAGAACCTAGTAGAATACCAGAAGCTACTCTGAAACGTCTCAGAAGAAAGGGCAGAAAACTGAAGGAATTTGTTTATGAGCGTATTCTTCCAAGCATACCGAAGTCCTCTTGGCTACGTCGTTATTTGAAGGTTAGAAGAGTTACAAAGAATGATTATAAGCTTAATACGAAGAGGGTAAGATTAAATAAAGTTACAAAACATGATAAGAAGTATTTGTTGAATTGTTCCGTAAGGGTATATCAAAGGATAATTAAATTGTATGGAGCAAGGAGGTACTTATCAATGTTTTCTTGTAATAGACCGATGTGTCTTTATAAGAGTCAGACACATGCATCAAACTATTGTAAATTTCAACTGATTTCAGTTATAGGGAAAAACCCTGGTCCTGCTCCAATGTACATTGACCCTAGCAAAACAATAATGGCACCATATAGCAAAGCTAATGAATTGGTATTTGGACAGAATTCAGGACAACAATGTGTTACAATGAGTTTATGCTCTTTGGTTTACAATAACAAACAAGGAATCAATTCTACTAACGATCTCGTTTCAATAATGAATATTGGAAATCAGTTGTATTCAAGTTTGTCTCAGTTAACCAAACAATCATTTTAATGCAGACAGAATTACCCACACTTTTTAATATGTTAGAGACTGACTATGAACTTCAATACAGTGAAAGCTACACTGGTACTATTCATCAAGAAGCTACAGTAGAAGGATATCAGTACTGTACCTCCTTAGATAGAGCCTTTCAATCACCTATATCTGAAAATTTCAACAATTTTGTATTGACAGTAGGATGTACTGCAGTCGCTATCTATTGTAAAGATAATGTGGGCATTAAAAAGTCCTTGAATTTCAACCTTTGACATCTGTAGGAGCCTACTCCTATATGGTAATATATTATTTTGATTGTTTTCTAGTACCATAATTAACATTCATTACACTCCAGCAGACAAAAATAAACACAAGTAGACTTATTCATGACCGGTAATGACGAAATTGCGTGACGACAGTAACAATGGCAATATGGCAGTCCCCTAAAGATAACTCCAGATGAGCGATATTGAAAGCCCGAGTTCACGTAGCTATGCATCTAGTTAAACTAGAAACGCAAACATCACCAATTCCCGTTTTCGATCCTCCACTGTTGACTTATGCGTAAGTATTTTAAGTCTACTTGCTCCAGTACTAAATATTGGTCCAAAAACTGCTTCAAAAAGGGGCCAAAATTGGTCCAAAAAATAGTCCAAAAAATAGTCCAAAAAATAGTCCAAAAATAGTCCAAGGGTCCAAGGGTCCAAGGGTCCAGTGGTCCAGTCCATTTCTTATCTATGCCAACATCGTGTTAATAAAGTAAAAAGAAAGGCTCTAAAATATATTAATTAAGGCCAAGATCAGTTTAATCATTTTCAAAGAGTTAAAATATCACGCGAAAGCCAACAGAAATTAAAAACTTTACAAAAATAAATCCTTTGTTTGACTAAATATTAAGGTTTTGTCAAACAGCCATTAATTCTCTAACAGTCTCGTGACAGTCTCGTGACAGTCTCGTGACGTAGCTGTAAATGTTGTTATGGTAGCTTCTGTAAGAGTAATTTCTGAAAATTTAGAGAATGCTGACAGGCGGTAACAATTTTCATATCTGCGGTGACCCCGGCTAACAATGAAGTAGATTTTGCTCTTACTTGGTGTAGAAGTCACAGTTGAAGTAAAACAATATAGAGAAAAAGAAAAAAGGACGAGAAAAGCGATAAATTAGTGACGTCTCCTGTGTCTTCTACGCTAAGAAGAAGCCGTAATTTTAACAGATATATATATTCTTTCACGCCGTGACGTTTTCCTAATAAGTTTATTTGATCGATCAACACCTTTTGTTGTCATCGGAACGTGGTCTGCGCATATTCAACTAAAAGGTGTCATTCATCTTGAACGACGCACCAAGGAAGCGAAATTGGAAGCTCCAGAATGAGTCTGAAATCGATACAGTAGTTCTATGGATAGATGGTGTGAGTGACGAAGAAAGCGCTCACGAATTGGCACGTGGAAGAGTGACACTAAACAGAACTGTGAAACTAAATTTAGGTCGCAAGTCGCGCCATGAAAATCAGGTGTCACGCTTTCAAGTCGCACGTTTTCAAAGGATTTTCAGTATGGAGCATTTTCCATTTTAAACCTTTATTGAAAGACTTCTCACAAGACCACACCTCATCTTTATAGGACCCTGACAACCCACATGCGAATTAACTTTTGTTTTCTAATTTTGTTCCGCGCGAGAACTTGTTTAGATTACAATCGAAAATCTGTAGCAAAAGGTCATCTCTATTGGACGTTCATGGTCACCCTTGACTGAGTCCTAAAGGCCTGTTTGTATAAAAGAATAAACAGGCGTCATGGAAGAAAATTCACGTCAACAAACAGAGCTAAACTCGTGAATGGAGTGAAAATTGACGCTCACAAATAAATTAATTAAGGTCTAGATATTTAATCCTTTTATTGATTAAAGGGAAGTAAAATAACACGTAAATGTTTATAAGAATTACAAAACCCTTACAGAAATAATCCCCCTGTTTGACTGAAATATCAGTTTTTGTCAAACAACCGTTGCAAGCTCGCTCTCTCGAGAAGTCTGGTAAGCATGCGGTTTTGAGCAAGTGTCATCATCTTTTTTTTACGTATTTTAACAAGCTCTAGGCAGCCTCGTGACGTAAATGCGAGGTGACGGCCAGTAGGGAAGGAGTTTTCCACAGCGTGTTAGTCTCACAAGTTCACTTGGAGTGTGCACTAAAGGGGACTTTCCGCGGAAAGATATTTGCGAAGATATTTTTGCAGAAGCCTTATTGTCCTTCAGACGGTGAGTAACCCTGGTTAAGCTTATTTTTTAAAGTTTCTTGAAGTCATCGCGAGTTGCGCGATCCTTTATCTAAAGCATGGGCGATATGGCTAATGACGTGGCAGCCGAACTATCTTCCTTTTGCTGACCCAGTTCCTTTTTATCTCAGATTCCAAGAACTAGTGTTTCTAACATTAGCTTTTCTTCTTATTTTGTATTGTTTTAAATCGTGAGTGACTACACACGGTACTAAAGTCTCATGTCAAACGACGAAATATATAACACATATTGCAACTTCGCGATACATTGCGATTCGCTGGTTGATTGTTGCTAATGAGGAGGTATACCTATAGCCGTACGTGGTCTGTGTTCAATATGAAACATTGCTTTCCCCTCACGTACTTAATGGAACGAAGAAGAACATATTTACATGTGTTTCACCAGTAGCATTTTTCGAGCTTACACTTCCGCTTTCATATTTGGACCGAGAGCAAGTTTGCAATTTTCAGTCGGTATCGGATTAACACGCCTGACCGCGCCAAGAGCTTTCTGATTTGTCAATAATTTCGCTAGGAAGTATAAGTGAATGTTCGTCGTTACTGAAGGAAAAAAATCATTGAATTTAAGCATTTCCATTGCAGCGAAAGTTCTTCGGATAACATGCTACTTCGAAGAACCCCGATCATATAGATAATTTTAAATTTTACTCAACATTATTGATGTTACATTTGAAAAAAAGTGTATATTGCAACTTAAACGATATCAGAAGCCCATGATTGTTGCAAAGAAGGAAGGTTGCCATGAAAACTCCCTCATAGGACGCCATCAATTTGCAAATATTTGTAAGCTTGACTTGGGCATGTGGAAAGTTCACCTGTCAACAGTTCGGTTCTGACGCCTTTATGAATTTCCTTACTTTGCATTGGTACTGTAGAAGCAAAAACGACTCTTTGTTTCTAGTCTATGAATTTTTGTCTCCTTTTAATTTCTGAAAACACGAGCCCAGCGAAAGTCTGGTGAACACGAAACCGACCCTTGAACTTGAATTTTTTATTTTTATGTTGAGAATAACTGATCAATCATGCGTCACTTGCGTGGTGTTACAAAGACGGCTGAAGGAAAGTTGAGGAACACTTTGAAATTGCTTATTGGAACAAACAAATCCAAACTAGTTCAAAAAATCCAAACTTTAAATTTTTCTACGGATAATTTGCAAGTAGTATTTTTGTGCAGATAATATCTGTTGCTTCGTAGTAATTCATTTCAATCACACTCTACATCTTCGAATTTGATTAATTTTAATGAAAACCCTTTTTTATCTGTAACGGTTTAGGTAACGGAAGGTTATTGGAATTAACTAGAAAATCTAACAAACCATTTTAGGGCTGTTTTCAATACTTAGTTTACGTAGCTTTGTTCTACACGTGGTTATATACCAATGCTGTTAAACTAAAGCTAACTGAATTATAAAAGCCCAGTTATCATTTAATTACAGCTCCATCCATTTGTATAATATCTAAATGGAATTTTTGTTGCTTTTGTCAACACGCAGTTTTTCTCAATTTCGCACTGTTCCGAAAATTTCAGTCCTTAGTTAGAGCGATTACAAAAGCGAATGATGAAACATGCAGAAAATCATACTAAAATGTTCAACTAAAACTTAAAATCTCTATTAACCAGATAACAGAAATGGTAACGGAAGTTACTGACTGAGGGGTCGAATTCTATTTTAGTTAGCCTCTTTTTTTGGCACGATGTTGAGTAAAAAGTTCCTCGATCATGGCAACAGTGTCATCGTGCACCTTGAATTACCTTTTTGTTTTACTGAAGGGGACAGGGGGCTCTGTTATTGCCAGGATAGACTCCAGATCTATCCAAACCTCATCTTCTGGAGTTGGCCACTTTAAGAGTCCAGCTTATTTCCTCAGTGACTCCATGAAGTTTATAAGTGCTCCAGAACTTTGCCCAAATACCACTTCCTCTCAACCCAGTCTCTGGCAACAGGTGTTACTGCTGTATCAGTACACTCCTTTAGGAGGTGCACTCTCCAACCACATGGAGACTCTTGGTTGTATTTCCCATCTGTGACACACTGCTCGCAGGGGCATGAGGTGCTTCTTGCGATGATCTTAATCGGGGAAGGCTGCCACTGCATGGACGGTCATTGTCCCTGTAAAAGTTGTGATTTCCCTAAAGCGATCAATTCACGATTGCGCCTTGAGGCAGGCTCCCTTTGACGCAAGGTAAAGGAGACCGAGCTTGCTGACTGATGGTGCTGCGTCCAGGAAAGGAAGTCAACTGTATCTTTAATTGTGAGCTTTTGCTACCTGACAGCTTCATCAGCCATGTGCTTTACGGAACCTCCAACCCCCTCACAAGAACCTTTTGCTATGGCCGCTTTAAAGTAATTCTAGGATACACTGACATCGAACAGATTTTTGTCGTGACTTAGCAGGTAGAAAATGGTTTTGTTCCTATAATGTGAAGTTGGGCTATCAGTGTAGAAGTTGACATGCTTGATGTTGGGCAGGATGGTTTTTAATTGTGGCATGAGCTCTTTCAGGAAAGCAAAGACCGTGGAAGAATTATGCCCCATTTTGTCAGACACAAATACCATAATCTTGTTGCTGATCTACTTGTCTTCTGACCGGTACTAAGCCACAGCCGGATAGAGGGTTACCATTGAGGCATTCCACTATGCTAACTGTACCTCCTATACGGATTGGCAGGTGTAATTTTTGGCGAAGTCCATTTGAACGATTACCTTATTCGCTGTCTGATTTTCCTTGAGTTACTTCAGCTGCTCGTACTGCGCATGCTCTCTCACCTCCCTAGCATGCCCTCTGAACTTACTTATTTCCTCTTGGAATGTACCTCGAAATTGATTTTTCTCCATATGGAAAGTCAAGATCTTCATCTTCTTCTTTCCATCTACCTATACCCTCTTCCATTGTCTGAACTGAACAGCAATGGGTAGTTGGTCGATCAATTCTTTGACTGCTGCCTCGTCTTTACAATCTTCGATGAACTTGTCCGGGTTCACGCTCACCTTGACCCCAAGTGATTTTATAGCTCGAAGCTTGAGGGACAAGTTCTGGTGGTGTTGACAGAGGCATATGCAGTGGGAGCTGAATGACGTTAAGATAATGTATTTTGGCCTCCCCTCACAAAATGCGGTTTTGCCGAATTTTGCCGATTTTAATGTCGGGGTATTCTGCTGAACTTTGCATGTAAACTATACACGTAGTCGTTCAGATACCTCCTCTGAACCTTTGTGCCATTGAACGTCACAAAGTCAGTCTTCTCTGGCATCATGCGAGAGTTGTCGCTTCTTTCCAAGAAGGCAGTGATTTTTCTGTGATCTCTTGTGACTTTTCAGGAGGTCGTTTCTTTTTCGGATGGGAAAACTTCGTATTAGCTCTTGCTAACAATTTCTCTGCCGATTCCCGTCATTCTGTTAAGGGTTCGCAAGCACTGGTATCTTTTGATGATATTCCCAGATATTACGCTGTCTGTAAGACCGCGTCGGGTGTTGCTTCTCTGCAAATCCCCGTCTTGGACTGCTTGTCCCACTTCTGCTGATATCGCATGAAATAACACCAGTTGCTTTCGGATTTGACGTAGCACATTGCGCGGACTAAATCCAGCCTTCCTCAAATATGAGTTGCATTTGCTTCGAGGAGACTTCTCTGGTTCAGTAGCTATTTCCAATTGCTTCTGTTGTCCCTTCGATTTCCTGTACAACTTCTTCTGCAATGACCATATTTTTCGCTGTAATTTCATGTTTGTCTCCTGTAGTTTTCTGTCTCAAAAGACACCCCGATTAGCTTTGTGCATGGAGCACCTTACTTCCGCTTCAGGAGATTACAATAACATCCGTCACTTATACTCTTTATGAAACCTCCGTTACTAATTTCGTTACTTAGAAGATTCATGCGACTTTAATTCAAAACAAAGGCTCTATGTATATTTAAAGTTTCAAAAGTGCTCTTTCTCTCAAATCTTCGTTCCTGCGAAGGTAACTTAATCCGTGTAAAGTGGTTATTTCGCCTTTTTAAGTTCGCCTTATTAAGTTGAAAATCGTGAGCACACATGCTTCGTGTATCAGATATCACAGCAAGAGACATTTCGCAATGCTTAGAAGTATCAAATAACCTACGCATAGTTGCGTGACTAAGAAACTATACATCTCTGTATTCCCAGTTAGTTTTTAACTAAAAATTGCAGTACTTGGTAAACACATGGTAAAGGAAGTTACGGTAACACTCAGTAACGGAGGTTACTACCCGGATAATTTATGTTCAATATTTCCTCGTAAATGAGTTGAAATGTAATGATTTTTTCTGTTAGACCGTGTTTCGAGGACATCTTTAAAATATTAACACCTGATAGTGCTGCTGCATTTTTATTACTGAGAAATTGAGGTAACGGAGGTCAAGCTCTTATCCATAACCTACCACTTCCTCCATATCTAGAGTACGGCACAAATTTCCATAACCACCAATCCACGATTCATATGGGTTAATCGATTCCCTTAAGAAGTAAGATAAAATAGCTGTAGTAATAGACACCAGTGCCTTAGTTAAATTAGATTATTTAGACTAAGTCGGTTCCTCAGGTAACGGAGGTTACAAAAATTTTGAGGACATTCTTGTCAAAATCCCTAAATCGAGACGATTTTTCAGAAATTAAAGGACGAATCCTCATTGTGAAATTTGTTGAGTGTGCTATATTTTAAAAGGCTAAGGAGGAGAGGAACATTTGGTTCTTAGGAGATATGGATATGGTTTTATAGCTTTATAGAGTGCGGACAACACTATTTTTGACAATCAAGGCAACTTAAGGGTGTAAAAGTCAGAAATCAAGTAAGCTCTTATTAACTTTATATCGAGATTTTGAAGTAAGCATTGTATACTAAAAAAACGATGCAAAAATAGTCCCAGTTTCATAGTTTTAAGTGTAACTAATACCTCAAAGACACGGTTAAATAGTTTTAGCTTGCTTTAAGGGGGATTGGGTGTATATCTATATTAAAGAACAAGGCTGTGCAGGAATATTGCAATAATATTTTGTTTGCTTGTTTTGAAAATGAAATTAGGTTTTATGGTGAGAATTTTCAAAGTGTTCTTGGTACATAATTCGCAGAAGGCCGTTTCACCGGCCAAAATGATCTTTTTAGCTCTCGATTTTTTCGTTTTGTTTCAGTTGGTGATATCATTATCATTTGATAAGTTTGCTGCGCTATGTAAGAGCAGGGGTGAAAAGGGTCTATACATAAGACGTGATTGAGGCCAAAAATTTATATGGGACGACTGAATTTTCTAGCGTGATGAGTAAATTTCTGAGCCTGAGTGAAGAGTAATTTACCTCCTGAAATATGCGTGACCCGAAAGAAAAAAGGCTTTTTTCTTTCATTTCATGAAAGCCTCAAAATTTTGCGATTTGAATGTTCCCATCCTAAATTAGTGGTGCCTTAAATGCTGCTGCGCGTGAATTTTTCGAAAATGAAACGGAATCAGGACCCCGCTTCTCTGCTACACTCATATAAACGATATATGAGTGTTGTCGTTCTTACGTCCGTATGAGTTACTCAAGTTAGGAAACTTCACCTCGATCAATAATTCATGTTGCATAAAGAGATGTTTGCCCAAAAACCAAAAATCCACATTACCAGCCTTGCTGAGTCGTGTTTGATAACCTGGGGTGAAAAGAAAAGAATTAGCCAATAAGACTTTGACTTTTTCCTAATGAAGAACTCTTTTTGTATGCACAAGTTAACAGTATTGACACAGCTTTGACGTCTGTCGGTTAAGTACCAAAAATTTGCCAAACTTGAATGAAAATCGTTTGCTCAGTTCGGTAAATAAATTCCTTTTTGCTAGTTCGTGAATTCAATTCTCTATGTTGTTAAAACAGAATTTTCGGTGGGAAGATCGATGAAATTCTTTGTTACCTTTCCAGACTCCCATTTCCTTCGCCCCGACAAAGTATTTCTTGCCGGCTAAGAGTGAAGAGGTATTCTTTCCTCCTGACTACGAGAAAAGAAGTATCGAAATGCAATCTTAGGTCTGTGGGTAATTGTCATAAATTATAAATTTTCGCCTGCTTTATTTGTCCGCCATATATGGCTACTAAAGTCTACTAAACAAAAAGACATGACTTGCATAATTCATAACTATTCTTATGAAAGGCTTACCCAACAGCTTTGCTCAATCTTATATTCACTGATCCTCAGGAGGTGCGGACCAGAAAATCCTTGAGTGTATATTGAGGTAAAAGTCAAATTTAATAGAAATTTTTATCTGACCTATATTAAGTTGTTCTAATTGCTCTAATCTATAGCCAGTAAATTGTATTTGGATAAAGATATATTTTTTAGTTCCAAGGTGATAAAAACAATTTTAAGGTAACTACCTCACTTTTTTTTTCTTGATTTACCCATCTGGAAAAAAAATTTGCTTTGTCCCGGCAAATTCTTGTATGAAAAACCTTGCTAATGTTCTCTACCTTTTACCATGATCGTTCCTATTTATTTAATCTTTAATCAGTTTTAAAACTTTTCTCAAGAATTCAATTTATCAAACGATGGTTCTCTACTACAGTTGATGAGATGAGTCTACTACCACAGATCGATGACGTGGCAGACTCTTAATAAGTTCACCACTTCTGAACAGTCTCTTAAATCATGGCCTCTTGAAGTCAAGCATGCTTAGGAATGGGCTCTTTTTGATCTCTCAATCCGATTGCATCGCCATGTACAGGGCCTTAACATTTTGTTTGCAGGACGCGTTGTCCTTTGCTTGCATTACGCGAGGGGGGGGGGGGGGGGTACTGATCCTATTTACTGATCCCGTTACGTTTATGAAAGGGAAAACTTCAAATCTCAACGTTCCGGGGAAATATTGAAGTTTTCACATTAGGAAAGAAAAAATCACAGGTCGCATTTATTCCAGGAGGCAAAGGAAGTCTCACACCTGTTCATAATTTTACGCAATCTTGTTATCGCTAGGAAAACAAAAAAGTGTTTAATTTTGCGACATAAAAGGTTGTCAGGATAACATTGAACAGCTCCATTAGTTCCACGCTAATTTTATTTGTTCGAGATTTTAGCTAATATCCTTCAAGGGTTCTCCAATGAAAACTGGTCTGGTTGCTCTAATGTTGTGTTAATTTATGTTGACAATGAAAACTCTAGTTAATTGTACTGAGCTGGTTGAAGAGGGGAACAAAGCAGAGATCCTTATCCTGTTTCACGCATAAATTTTCGAAAACTTCAAGCGTCACGAATATGAAAGGGAAATCGTAAAATCTCTCTTCTTGTTTGAAAGGTTGAAAGGGAAATATCGAGGTTTTCCCAAAATGAGAGAAAAATTAATAGGTCAAATTTATTTCAAGAGGCAAATTACGCTTCACGCTGGTTCATCTACTCGATCATGGAATCACGCTCGCTTTTCTTTAAAATTCACACGTCACATATCAATTAATTCTGGCCTTCACACGTCTCGTAGATACCTTTTCCTACCCTTTTGTAAAGCTTCTGGATGAATTCTAAGGCCTTCTTTCTCAAAAAAAATAATACTAATTAGTCTCTTTTCGGCTGTCAGAGGTGCCGAGAAAAATACCTGAGTTGACCTTTGCTCGCCTTGAACAACATAGTATTAATTTTCGACTCTAATAATTTTACAGCCCGTCTTTATCTTTCCTCTACGTGTTGGCCCCAAAATTATGTTTTTACATAAAACTATAATTAAAAAATCCGTATTCAATTTTGCAATAGAAAAGGTTGCCGTGGCAATCTTTGTGATAGTTTTCTTAGTTTTCCCTCAGCCTGTTGTTTCCTTTCTCTCAATGTGTTGGCCTCTAATATAAATTATTGCTTTCTTCTATGCGTTGGCCCCTAATATTACTGAAATCATACTTTTCAATAAACTTATCGCTAAAAAACCCGCATTTAATTTGCAAAAGGAAAAAGGTTGAAAAAAGAAAAGATTGTCATGGTAAGCTCTATGATAATTTTCTTTGTTCTAGATTTATATTCTTCAAGAAAAATACAAAATAGCTTCTTCTTGGCCCGGGTTTTCTTGCTCTTCTAAGACTTTTTTGCTTATAGTTTGATTTCTGATAGTCTCCTCATGAAATTTTTTCTTTAATTAATAGTTGCAGTGATTTCTTTGGTTTTGGTTTTTTAACAGTAAATCAAAAAGCACCTTCATTTTGAGTTTTACGTTACGTCCTTTGGCTGTGTATTTATATATCTTCATCCTGTACTGCAAGAACACAATTCGTGTGAATCCTTTCAAAATAGTCTGTTAAGCCGTTCTGATCATAACTCTCCTCAGCATCGTTAAATAAAGTAAATGAAAAAGATTAATTTAAATTACATTTGTTACAGGCGTATCTAATTTTTAGGATATAAACTAAAACCTAGAACATAGAAAACTATCATATAGATTGTCATGGCAACCTTTTCTATTGCAAAATTAACTACGGCTTTTTTTTATTAGCAATATAGAAAATCAATTAGTTTATAGAACATGACTGATGGGTTCCAATTGAGTTCAATCAGTGCCTAGGCTCAAGTCACCAAATACGAGCGACGGTTTTATTGAAATTCTTTGTCGTCTTTGGTGGCTTTGAGCCTAAGCGCTTATTAAACTCAGTTGGAGCTTATCAGTCATTTTATGTAAACTGATTGATTCACGGTCTTACGTGGCTCTGGTTAATGTAGTCGCAAATTAGTACAGTATTATTGAGGTAAACACACATTGTCCGAACCATTTTACTGCGTTATATTCAAAATATAGTGTGAAAACAAGAGATTACAAACTAGTTTCTGAACTTTTGCTTACAACAAATCCTTCGGAGTTTGCTCGAAACAGGTTTTGAAAGGAAACGAATTCTTAACACATGTTTATGTCAGACTGAATGCATGCCCAAAATAGTTCCTTGCGGAGTATAATTAAAATAAAGGGCAATTCATAGACTTTCAAGTATTACCTTCCCGTAGTCGCTATTATTGATCTCAATGCAACACCAAGCCAAGACAACTGTGAAACGTATCCTAGGGAGTTCATTAAAACAACGTGTGATACAAAAGAATTTTGTGCGGGCGAAATTCCGAAAGAGCTCAGTCGCTACATTTCGTTTCTAAGAAAAGAAGAAAATTCAGTGCTCTGTGAGGACAGGCCCCTGGCTCTGTCAAATAGGTTTTTTGCGAGTGCGGATCATAGCTCTAGGCCCTAGGCCTTAGGCCCTTTTAGATCATCTGATCACCTGAACTAGCAAAGCCATGTCCGTCGCCAGCGTTATTGTCATTCTGTCATTTTCCTAGCCGGCGATTGGCTTGATCTTCGGTTTCAAAGAACTGAGTTGGGTTCCTTGTGTATCTATACGAATCAAACATAACGATCACACACTTGCAGATTCCCGGCCCAGCTTCTCCAGATTCATTATACTCCACTTTTTTCGGAGAAGTGCTATACTTTTTGAAGCTGTTGCTCGTGTCCACGGGAGTCTTGTGGGTAGGTAATTGCTTGGATTTGCGAATAATTGAGTTTGCAATGACTTCTTAACGTAAGTAGGTGCTCGCTGGCAAAATAACCAGGGTTTGGCGAGCGCCTCGAGAGAAAAGTTAGCTTATTTCAGTCGAATTGTGTTGATTTATGGTCACTGAAGTAGATTTCAAATATGTCAAGCGAATAAGCTTAGATTTATCCTTGGGAAAGAGCCGAAGTGTGGTAACTTTTCAATTTCAGTGCTTACTGAAAGAAACCCCGAGATCAATAAAGATCTAGGCTTGAAGTTTCTGGCGGCGGATACATATGAAACTTTTAATGAGATTCACATTATTTGAAAGAACTTCTAATTGCTGGAAGTTCGTGTTGTGAAATCGGTATATTCTGAAAATCGAGTCACTTTTTCTTTCAGCTCAATATAATTTTATAGATAGATTTTGAACCACCTGGCGATAAGCAAAAACAACGGAAAAGTTTAGCTTTAGTTCCACCGGCTTTTTGTTTTTGCTGTTCTTATCCTTGACAAGTAAACGTAAAAACATCTCTAAAGCACAAAAAGGCAATTATTTTCACTCTAAAGCTGTAGTTGAAAGCCTTTTGCAGAAGTTGAAATTCTTTCTGTGCTGTTCGCGCACACGTGGCGCCAAGAAATTTCTTACCATTCTATCTTGGCTCAACGGAATTCTTCAAAGAAAATTTTTCATGTTTTCTTTAAAACCCTAAAATTTCACCGGCGCAGCTGTCCTTATTCAAGAAAGTTACAGTAATTCTTTTAAACTAGTCCGTTCAGTCTGTGCTTGTCGCGTATGATATTTACATTCAGCTGAAGTCACCTGTCAAACTCATGTCATTATATTTTCAATGCTTCGACGGGGTGATATTCCTTTTAACCAGAACAGCTTTGACATTTACCGTTTATGAAATTTGAGGAAACAGAAATTTTAGGAAACACAAAGTGGATTATAAAGGAGGTATCAAAACAGCTCCAAGGCGGCAACTTGGGTAATCCTATGTTTTAATTGCGAGTTTTCCAAGCTTTCCGAGTTGCCAGGGTAACTAAAAGCCCTAAAGTTGCCGGAGCTGATTTTCGTGATTATCTTATTTTGCCTATATTTATGGTATGGGGTTTAAACTTCAAGTGTTATATCACTGATAAAAGCCAGAAAAAACGCACTGAGCGCTCTCTATTATCAACTTAGAATTCGTACAAAGGTGAGTCCAATTTTTTCAAGCATCGGAATTTGGGAAGAAAGATGAAACTATTCATAAAAATTGATAAAGATACTATAAATGAAGGCAGGTATCTGAACAATGCACTTCCTTATTATATCCATATCTTTATAAAAACAAAAGAGCGAGCATGGTGAAGCGGCCTGACCTGCGAGCCAGTAACACTCTTTCAGCGGTCATTTCTCCGAGGTTTTTTTCGCAGTGATGACTTTTATGGATACGGTTAAAATTTTGGCCATTTTATGAATAACAATTAATTTCTTTCCGTTACGGTTGCCTCAAAAAAATTTTTAAGCCTAACTTTTTAACGACTAACGAATAATGGTAAACCCCGTTGAGACCCCCAGGGAACAACATTTCGCCGGGGAGCGCTTTCCTTGTTTCCATCAGCTCTCTAGTTTGAAATGCTGTGGTGTGGGTGTGTTTGTAAGTGTGTAGAATATGGGCGAATAAAGGAAAAATTGTTCAAAACATTCTTTGGGAAGGCTAGTTAAAGTGTGTGTCCCAGTTAAAACTATGACTCGGTACAATCTCCTCTCAACAAACAAATTGCAGTCCACTTGCGAAGATAATATCTCTGCTTAATTTTTATCTCATCGGAGTCCTCATCCTTGTCTATATTTTAAAGTAAAGTTAAATTCTTTACGTACGGTCTTCGTTTCTTTTTATGGCCCATGCTTACACCTAATTTATATGGTAATTGCAGATCACCTGTCCTTAGCTATAATCATGACAACTCCAGGAGAAGCAAGAGGGGGATACGAGAAGTATTTCACTGGCGGACTACACACTTTACATGCATCATCAACGAAGGAAGAAATTGAAGAATGTTATGATAAGTGGGCTGACGCTTATGACAAGGTAGGTATCTAGATGCGGTCGCAAGAGATTGCTGTGAGCGGTAGATTCTTTTACTTCATCAGCGTGGAAGCGGGCTCTCAGTAGCAAACAACGCCACAACAGGTCTATAAGAAGTCTCGTTATCTTTTCAGAACCCTCGCGCACTCACATTGCTCGTAGGTTCGCAGGCTCCAAACGCATGGCTTTTGCCGCTAGTGTCGTGGCGCCAGTGAAAGCCTAAGCTGCTTCGGCACAAGCGTTTTTTCAACCGTGGGAAATAATGAAGCCTTGAGCACACGAGCCAGCGAGATAGTAAGGTCTGCTAGGGGTCTATAGCACCGGTATTATTAGTACCAGACCGCCCTGGAAACCTCTCCTGTACTCGTCTCAACTCTTCCTCAACTCTTCCTGCGAGGGAAAAACGCGCGACCTGCTGCGCTGATAATGGGGACCTCCTCTCGGGCTCAGTTCGTAGGAAAGAAATTCTACTCTCTCCGCACCTCTACCGCGGAATAGAAATTGCCTCTGGCACTGAAGAGAGGACGCCGTGGGGGAAAACGTCGGTTTTTTTCTATTTTCTTATTGGTTTGTTTATTTGTTCGTTTGTTTGTTTCTTTTTTTGAAGATCTTACATTTAACAACGTACGAGGAACGCACTGACAGTTTATAGGTGATAAAATTGTAGATTGAAGTATTAATTCCAAAAGGAAAATAAAACTAAAGCTAAAACAACAACAGCCTTATGCGCCGCACTCCGAACTTGCTTGCGGCTCTTCGAGGGTTCTGATCTTTCTCTAGTGCTTCTAAGACTTTATACTTGTTATATTTCCCATTTCAGGATCTTGTGTCCGCGGGTTGCGTCAAACATGAACCAATGGTTAGAGTTTTCGACGAAGCAATTAAGATAGCCATGCCAAACAAACCGAAATGCCAAGTCAGAATAATGGACATGGGATCCGGGACTGGACTTCTGGGAGTGGAGCTGAACAAGAGGGGCTACACAAACGTAGACGCCCTAGATGTCACTCAGAAAATGTTGGATGTATCTAGGGAGAAGGGCGTCTACACGAAATTTATATGTGCCCATCTAACGGAGGCGCGGACCCCTGGCATTGAGGATGGTGATTACAATGCCATAATTTCATCTGGAGTGGTTACAGCGGCTTACGGACATATTAAACCACCGGCCTTTTATGAGATGATGAGAGTAATTAGCGATGGTAAGTGTGGTGCTTTCCTTTCCTTTTAGTTCCTCTCTAAGCCATGCTGACTGTGCAAATCAAGTTTTTCTACCAAGAGAGTCTCAATGGAGGTCAACCGAGAACTGTCAGGACCTCTAGCCTTTAGGATTGGCTGTTTTTTTCGGTACCTCTTACTAAACCGAGTTTGAGTTTTGCACTGTAACTTGCGGACCGAGTTATTCCTGCTTGGATTTATACAACAAAAACCGATGTTTACTGCCTGTGTCTTTATTTTTCCAATTAAATTTTATTTGTTTTATAAAGGAGGCGTTATCTATTTCAACGTTCGCACCAAGGAAATTCCTGACTTCCGACCGAGCATGAAAGGGCTAGAAGATAAGGGCCTGTGGACGCTTATCAAGGAAGAACAAGTACCACATTATAATATTGAAGATCCTGCTCTACCAAAAAGTACCACTGTATTTGCGTTTCAAGTTCACCACAAAGAGCGCCACGCTATTTAATGTTGTTGCAATTAGATACTAGATTTTTCGCAAGGAGGTAGTAGGAGGTACAATAAGACTGTATCGAATAATGAAAACGTAAATGTAAGGGATTTAAGGTCATCGGTTTAAAGTCTGTCAGTGAGTATACAGAGAAATTCTCAATTCACTGTCGAAACATTGCTTTGGTTTTGCTTTACTAAGTTTGTGAGATTTAATTGGCTCTTTAAGGTGTTTTCCTTTCTTCTGATAGGACGTACTTTTGGTTTAGGATAATCGATCGAAAAGCGCTTAAGATCAAGCATGAACTGTCATTCTTGTTTTTCTCGCCGTTAGATCGTATTTAAAACTCATAGATGCACTGTAATAAATCGATCCTTGCTATTTATTTTATTCATTTATTTCATCATAGAAAGTAGAAGCTAAGACAAAATAAAGTATGCTTGCTTCAGAGTTGTATTAGATCTGTCCTGGTTCGATTGTGCTTCAAAATCTAATTCGGTTCCCAGAAATCAGTTTGCGTTTATGAGAGCATTCATTCGGTAAAGCTATTGCCTTCAACAAGACTTCAGCCACCGGTCGCTATGACGACACAATATAAGTATATTGACATGCCACCATCTCATTGGACAAGAAGGATCGCCAAATGTTTGGGCTGAACGATTTAAGACTGTATCCCAAGATTAGCATCAGTTTTCATTTACATGTTGATCCACTGGTGACAAGAGATCGCAAAAAGAATCCTTTAATTTTCCCCACGTAAATCGTTCACAATCAACCTGCAACATAAATTCCGTGTTAGATATTTCGTTTTTTTACTCCTCTATCACTGTAGGAACACTCGACAATTTTAAGCAAAGTATGATCCGGATAATTCACAGGAAGCAGATAAATCGTGTTTGACAGCATCTCCTACGACAATCCCCAAACAATTGCATTCGCTCCTGTTGAAATCCAATGCGATACTTTATTCATCTGCCACCACAGTGGTCGATAGGCGAACTTTTCCACTTGCTGAGGCGCGGTGGAAAGTAAAGTTCCACCAACGTTAAGCCCACAATAACTACTCAATGCGGTTTCGTCTTGTGGAAAGGATCCTACCTAGCCTGCGAACTGGCCCTCATTAATGGCGCTGTAAGACGCGCGTATCTCGGTCCGCGTGAAGACTTAAGACGAGTCACCGAGAGGTTTTTCCGGGATCTGGTACTCATTATCAGTGCAGTACCCCTTGCAGACCTTCCGCTGGCTAACGTTGCTGAAGGGCTTATATTTTACCGCGGGCGCAGAGTCGCTCGTGCCCAAGCACCAAATAAGGGCCTACTCCCAAGCTAGGTTTCAACCAACGCATGACGTGATCGTTTGCATAAACAGTCAGTCTTCCAAGATCAAGTTGCGCAATAGTAAACCAGAGTAATTTAATGTTATCAACTAAGTTGATAACGTAAATTGGCCACCGTAAAGAGTTAAAAACTGACGTTTCGAGCGTTAGCCCTTCGTCAGATTCCTCTTAACACTTTAACCCCTTACGGTGATCAATTTTCATCATCAACTCAGTTGATAATATAAAGTTACCCTATTATACTCTCCCACCGAGGCACCACCACAGTTTACTTAGCAACTTAGCCTCTATTTTGCGCAGTAGTAGTCGAATTTCGTATTCTCGGAAATTCTGGGCGAATTCTAGTAGAATTACAGTGGCGGCTCATGGTCAGTGGAGACGAGCGAAAAGGTGGGCGCGTGAGAAATAGCAGGATTGCGATGACAAATTCAAAACGACACGTTTTCCCGAAAACCCCAACCACCGCATCCACTTGACTTGCGAGATTCACTGGGGTTATCAGGAATCTCGCATTTAACCTCGTCTACACTTACAGCTCGGCATAGGCTGAGATGCCGTGTCTTAATGACTTACTGCGACTTTGTGAGATCTCACGTGTCTTGGATTTCTACAGAAGTATCGTAGCTTCTTGGATAACTGTTGAGGTGTTGAGTACAAATACTCTGCTGGAAAGGAAAAGAAGACAAATGATAAAAGTCACATAAAATTCGTATTTTGTCCCTCGGCTTTTCACGTAAAACTGATGCTGAATAATAGCTTCAAAATTCTAACATATAATATTATTCTAGTTAAATGTGGATATACTTTCCAACAACGAGGTGCACGGAATAGATTAATAAACGACGTATCTACTAACATGGAAATATTTCAGGATAAACCAACTTGTTTGGACAAAGTGGATAACAACCATATTGCACAGCCTCTAACCTAAAAAAAAAAATTATGATTTTAAAATAATCACCACTACATTTAACAGGTTTATGGAAAAAAACCTCTCTACACAACAGTATTCATCTATTCTGTTCACGAATTACACTCAAAAATACCTGAGGGTGTTAGGGGAGGGAGGGGACATAGAGCAAGCAAGATCAGGGAGGGATGGCACATAGAGCAAGCAAGTAATCAAACGTGGCCATGAGAATAGCCTCGTGAACTCAAGAATCTCTTGATTGTTGGAGAACCTCCTCGTAAGTATCATAAGAAATCACAGCAACTTGGAAAAAAGCACATGGCAATCCCTTTTCAAACCTCCCTGGAGCTTCTCCACATCACGTCAGTGAAAGCCCTGAATTGATTTGGGTTTAACCTTGCTTAAATTACAGTTCGTCTCAAAAAAACAACGACAACTACAACAACATATTCAATTCATAGAAACTTACATCGATACACCGAAAAATTCATGCTCTGCAGTGGACACTGCTACATCAGCAGCCTTCAGTATGGAGATATATACCTTGCGAGATTCCTGATAACCCCAGTGAAGGATATGATCATGGATTCGTCTACAAGCTTCCTCAAAAATACCTAGTGTGTTATGATAGGGATGGCACATAAATTACAAGTTCCAACAAAATGTTCATCCCTTTCTCAAGACAATTCTGAGTGTGTCACGAGTACCCATGGCTTTTAAATTTTTCAGATTTTGATCTCCTGTTCTAAGCCAGCATATTCATCAATAGCTCAAGCTAGGTGGGGCCTAGAATGGATAAAATCTCAAAGACAATCTATAGCACACAGCCTCAAGCCTGAAGTCTCTCAGTGCATGGAAAACACTGTTCAACCAAAGACAGACAGATGAATGGTTCCTCTTACCTTACCTTCTCACCCTCAAATTGTAGAGGTAATAAACTCACTAACAAGTCATGTCCACTTACAGGGCTTTCATTAGAAAATATAATAGATGCATGATCTGAACTGATTAGTTGGCTGACTTGAATTACTCTAACGTAGCAACAGGCCCTTTCTGGTCCTGGAGGCCCAAGGACAAATTCAAACTTTGAGTTGTGATTTCTAGCATTCCGGGACACAGAGCATTCTGGGGGACCAGCATTCTGGGTAACTTTTTTTTGCAAAACATTGTTGTTAGAAAATGTTGAATAATACTTATTTTCTGCTTTGAGTAGGTCTGGTCTGATAATGGGAAGGTTTCTGCCAACTACCACCTTCTCACAACGACTGAGTCATACATGTATGTTCACCCACTGATATGGATTGGGTGCAGTGTACTATTGTGACACAAATACCTGGAGCTTCAGAGAATGTTTCTCCCAATACAGAAACCTTGAAATCCAATCCTTGCTCAGCCAACTGATACAGGGTGCGAAAGAACAGCTCAGGACCTTTGTCATGTTCCCTAATAACACCAATAAAAACAATAACTTAAACAAACTAAAAAAATCCAACTTGTACACTGGCCTTTATAGCTAGTGTTAAGTAGTGTGCTTAGTATAACATTTTTTCAGTACAAGAAGTCAAAATAAATGTACAGTTATACTGGATTACAAGATTTGCTTTTTGACCTCTAGGCTCCTCTGTATATTATGATTTTGCTATGGCTACCCATGTCTTTGACAAAGCAGCCAAAAATAACACTGGCTAAAACTTTTTGGAACACCAAAAAAGAATCTGGTATGAACTGGTTTGTACAAATTTAACCAATCAGCTATCTACCTTTTAACTAGTTAATATGGTTATCTAATTCAGATGTAAACTAGGATCCATAGAGACTCTAATACTTTAAGTAGTTTTGTTAATTAAATCTAGCTACCCAAAGTTTGGTATAGTAATACATGTAGGAACACCTAGAAAAAAACATCAATGCATACAGCCTATTTGTAGTTTCACTTGCAATGAGAACAAACCCATGCCTTGGCAATTTTGGATCAGTGGTTTAGAATATAGCCACCACAGATATGTAGAGGACACAGTACCTCATGTTTGACTTTTTTTCATGTTTTACTACGTACACATTGGTACTTCAAAAGTATTTCTGAGTACTGAACCACTGATTCAACATATTATCTGTCTATATCCCCACAAAATTTTATAATTTGAAAATTCAGAGTACATGCAGATGAACACTCAATATTTCAGTAATTTTCTTCAATAGGCAATTACATGTACAAATAGTGCAATGGGTCACTGTGATGTAAGGCAAAACCCAAACATGAGAGCCTAAACAGAGGCAGTGAGAGGTCCTATAGGCAGCACTAAACTGCTGCTAATGGGCTCTTGTTTAACCCTTCAAACCCAAAAGAGTGACTAAAATCTAATTTCTCCCTACAATATCACCCCTGAATTACACATTAAGGTCATGAGAATGAAGGAAATAGTACCCAACAAAAGAAGCTTTTGATCAGTAAACAAATTCTCCTTGTCAGCACCTTAGGAAATGTGTAAAGAACAGTATGGAGAATATGCATACTGATTTTAGGGTCTAAAAGGTTAAAACCTGAGTTTTAACATGCAGTAAAATTAATGTTATGACATTCTCTACCTTTAAGGAAAGACCAGGTAAAATCTATTGACATAAACCTACCATCTGTGAGCCCAAACAACATGCAAAGGTCTTGACACTGTTGAGTCCACTGGCTGATCAAGTTCTTCATCTTTAGCATCTAAAGTTTGTTCCAAAGGAATGCTGATATGTCATCAAGTATCCATTTGTAGATTCAAGTAAGAGATACAGAGTATTGAAATGGTGGAAATTACATCTTTCATGCCAAGGCACAATTAAGAAGTAATTTGTCCCTATAATATCCATACACTGTCCAACAAAAGGTGATGATGTTGAAGACAAAATATCTCCTTGCTTAAAAGTACCTTGTCTAAATAGGGATTGGTAAAGAGAACTGACATGACAAGAAATGTATTGTAGATATCAAGGAAAATTGTCCTTAACATAATGGAAGTAAAGGGGTTTAGAGTTAGTCAATTGTACATTGTAGTGGGAAAATATGACCTACATGTAATCCTTATGACATTCACTACAACACAAATTTTCAGTTTTATGGGACAGTACATAGGAGGAGTTATTTCAAAGCTAAATGTACACTGAAGAATACACCTTGATGTGTAGAATGCAAAAAAACTAAGAACTGTAAACAGCCACTTACAAGGTACCTCATTATCTATCCAAATCTCATGTTATTTCTCCAAGCAATATTTTTTATTTAACCCTTTACACCCTAACATCAGTATGCATATTCTCCATACTGTTCTCTACACATTTCCTAAGCTGCTGACAAGGAGAATTTGTTTAACAATCAAGAGCTACCTTGATGTTTGATGTAGGGGTGATACTGTTGGGAGACCTTGGATGTTTAAATCACTTATAGGGGTAAATAATGGTAATAGGACTGAGTGGAGTCTAATATGGTCAGTAATCATACTAGTGATAAACAAAATCTAACTTCTGTGAAGCTTGAGTCTGATTCATCTGAATTGGACAAACCAAAGTCCTATTGGCAATAAATCATGACCCTCACAATTTCCAAAACAACAAAATACATTAAGGACAAATATCTCCAGTAGAGAGAATGTCTAGACTAAAAAATTCCACATTTTTTTTTAGGATAAGTGGCTGCTGCTGTGATTATTGTGATCAATTCTGTGATTGGTGCATTTGACTGAAAGAACTTAGTATGATTGGCTGCTTCAGCTGTCCTATTACAAGTGTCTGATTACAGCCAAATGTCTAATTACATTGTCCAATTACAACTGTACAGAATGATTATTGAAAAAAGTTAAGCAGCTGATTCACCAATCACATTTTAGGAAATTGCAATGGTTAAGATTAATAGGTTAAAAGCTTCTCATATTGCTCACCTTTGTATTCTGCTGTACCCATTTCAGGTTCCATCAAAGGAAAGTGCACAACCCTGCATTTTGGTCTGATTATTTGGTCTAATTCCTTGGGTCGATTATCTGGCATTAGTTTCAGAAAGCTTTTGATAGATGATAAAAATGATTCCATGTTGAACTGTGAGTTAAATACCACTACATCAGCAACAAGACTGTCGGAGAAAAATCAAGAAATCAATTTAAACCTTAACATCCTACAACAGCATGCATGTTCTCCATACTATTATCCACTGAGTGGATAAGTAGATGTAAATTGGCCGCTGCCAAGAGATGTAAAGCTGACATTTTGAATGTTATAGCCTTTCATCCTTCACTCTGATCAAGGGTGAATCCTAAAAACGTCAGCTTTCATACTCCTTACAGTGGCCAATTTATGCTATCAACTTAGTTGATAATACTAAATTGTCCTGTTATAGTCTCTCACCAACACAGCACCACAGTTTCTTTAGAAACTTATCCTCTTTATACTCCATACTGTTCTCCATATATTTCTTAAAAGGTGAGATGAGAAGAATTTGTGTTACAATCAAGATCATGTTTATTTGGTGATAATTTCCTTTACTCTTATGACATTATTGTTTGATTCAGGAGTGATTTGTATTGGAAAATTAGATAGTAGTCACTTTTAGGGGTCAAACAGTCAACAGAATAAGTAAAAAACAAACAAACACATTATTGTTTGATTCAGGAGTGATTTGTATTGGAAAATTAGATAGTAGTCACTCTTAGGGGTCAAACAGTCAACAGAATAAGTAAAAAACAAACAAACACATTATTGTTTGATTCAGGAGTGATTTGTATTGGAAAATTAGATAGTAGTCACTCTTAGGGGTCAAACAGTCAACAGAATAAGTAAAAAACAAACAAACACATTATTGTTTAATTCAGGAGTGATTTGTATTGGAAAATTAGATAGTAGTCACTCTAAGGGGTCAAACAGTCAACAGAATAAGTAAAAAACAAACAAACACATTTAATTTATTGTTTGATTCAGGAGTGATTTGTATTGGAAAATTAGATAGTAGTCACTCTTAGGGGTCAAACAGTCAACAGAATAAGTAAAAAACAAACAAACACAATTATGCAAACAGAAATAAAGATACATGTACAAGTAACAAAAAAAGTTAAAAAATTGATGACTTGCTAGAGAGAGCAAGTTAAAATAAGTAATAGTAATAATTATTATAATAGTAAAGGTAAAAATAATGACAACAACAACAAGAAGATGGAAAAAAACAAACACACAATGAATGTACACGTCTTGATGATAATAGACACCTTCGTGCATTTCTACATATTGATTACCTCATTTGAAACAGTCCCAAAGGGGATGAAACAAACACTAATACAAACATTGAAAATTTACTACATTAAAATAATTATGGTTGCTTATGTACAGCAGTATCAAGATTACAACTTTCAGACAACATAACATTCTATTTTTCACATTACACACACATACCATACTCAATCCCCTTAAGTCCAGCCACAGTAAAACTGCCTTGATGTACATGCCCTAGAGTCTATTGGGAGTTCTTATCTTAGGCCAGAATCTAGAAGGTGTACATCACAGCACATAGGCTTCTACTGCTCATGTCTTCTGCTGTCACTGCATAAATAATATGAAATTTTAAATTCATTTAAGTTTCTATTAGTAATTGTTTTCATTGTTCTCACCATGACAAAATCTGATTATATCCATACTGAAAGTCTCTTTCCTGTTGCTTCCTGACTGGGTAAATCAGCTGATTCTCATGGAAGTAAAGAACTTTCTTTAACTGAGTAAGATCTGGTCTCAGTGCCATTAGTTCTGCTAAATTCAAGACAGAGCTGGCAAACAACACCCTCAAGAAAAAACAAAATACAACAAAAATAAGAATAAAAAAGAAACAACTCAAAACTCTTTGGGCAATTTAAGGACAATGTACAGTATGCATTGTCAACTGTGGGAGTAATCCGGGGTTTTGGTAATTTTTTCCATAAGCAGCTGTGGATGGTATAATGGGCATCTGTGCTTGAGCATACTTGTCCATTACATCCAATCTGAATTGATTCATCTACAGTAGTTGACAAATCAACTCACTGGAAGTGCAATCATTGGTTTACATGCTGGAAGTCAAGGGGCATGAGCAATATGAGAAAATGAGTAGCATGAGAAAATGATAACATGAACCTTCCTCGTTCTTAAACTGTGATAGAGCTGGAAGTCCATTGGCTGAAGGTTACAGACAAGACAGATGAATCTTCCTTGTTCTTAAGGTGTTAGAAGGGGGTAAGATATTTTGAGGAATGGACATTATTCACACAAGTGGATTTGAATTGCCTACATTTAGGTCCATCCGTCTCACTGGATGTTGATTTGCAGAGGAACACATTTCACTCTAATGCATTAAATGAGGGTATTAAATTTTGACCAATCAATGCAATTTGCATGGGTTGACCCAACTCATCATTAGCTAGGTTGATTCACAGAAGAACACAATAAACACTCATTCATTAAATAGGGGTATGTAATGTTAACAAATCAACATGATACATACATATATATATATATATATATATATATATGGTGATATATATATAAATATGCCCGAGGCCGTATATATATATACAGTTTTTCACCATATATATATATATATATATATATTGTTTTTAAACTTGACGAAATTCTTTCCGAAAGAACCCAAATGATTTATGGACGTAAGATCTTCTTTATGGCAAGATCTTCCATAAACTGAACAATTTTTGAGTGGGTAAATGGTAGTTAAAATAGAGGTGATGCAAATTTAAGAGAGATGCCTCAGCAAAACATTTTCATTTCCGTAACGATAAAGGTGATTTAAAAGGCTTCCAAACAAACTTTGAAACATTATTTTTACAAGTATCTGTCACAATCTGACACCTGTCAATAAGAGAGCGCGCAAGAAAAAAAAAAACGTAGGAACATTTGAAAACAAACAGAACTAGTTTGGCAAGGACTGTCACGACAATGTTTTCTTCAAAAAAAGTCATTCATCTTACGGAAATTCACTCTCATCTACGATTAATTCATGTACGAAAATTTACCTCTGTTCATTCGGTAAACGGCGAGGAAAGTAATTGTGAGTAAATTCAATTTTTTTATTTTGAAGTTGTGAGAGTTTGCTCGTTTGTTTGCTGTAATGGCGTGTTTAACTCTGATCTTTCCTTCACAAAAACTAAATTCGAACGGCACACTCCAACGAGACACAAGGGAATGTAATGCGGCCTTTTCTCAAAAAATTCCTTCAATTTCTGTTGTGCAATTTAAGGTACAAATGTCCAAATTGAACGGAATTGGAAAGACTCACCAGGAGCGTATATTTGTTGTAGAACTTAAATTAAAACTTCGCTCGCTCTTTCACTATGAACAAATTGCTCGAGAAAATTCAGATATTAAATGAATGAAAGTTCCATCGTTCAGTTTAACTGTAACCAAATACCTCACGTTTCAACTTTCTGGGTACTTTTTGTGAACTTGTACGTGCTGTTGCAAGCAGCCGGTATATTCTGGTAAAAATAAAGTGCACTAGTTCTCATTCTCCAATGCCATTTCTTCGCAGGTAAAGAGTACAACTTGCAGCCTGGTACTTCTTTAATGAGCAAATCAACTAATTGTTTGTGTGATCCACCATAGAACGGCTCGATAAGGAGGACTATTCCCTGGTGGACATCACAGTTTTCTGTGTTATCATTGCCAGACAAATCCGACGGTTTACCATCGCATGACGACAGCTCCATCAGGCAAGCTATATGGAAGGTTCTAATTGTCAGGGGAGATCCACAGCTTAGGGAGCCATCAGGACGTTGCGGACGGAAAAGGCCATCACACTTCCCTTGTTTTTAACAATGACATGATTCAATGTCTGTTCTCTTTTCCTTTTCCAACTTCTATACCAGCTAATGCTACTCACCCTCATCTTCATCGCCTCGTCCGCCATCTTGATTGTTTAGCATGTAAAACGCATGTCCAACTAGGGAGAAAATTTTAAAATTGCAGGCTCATGATATTCTAGTTTCAAGATGGCGGCCCAATCGAGCGAAAGCGAATTAGAATTTCCATTCAATACCAGTCGAGAATTCGAACTGAGACTTGGAAGTAGTTTTCATTCTAAAGGAGGACCGAAAATGGCCTTTCATACAATCAGATGTGAGCTCACTTATTTGTCACTTTCCATTCTTTTTCGTGAAACAAAACCTTTTTTTCTCATGCGCATTGGCAATTGACTACATTTTCAAGTTGTGAACGAACAGCTGAATTCAATGACTTTTTCCGTTAACATATTCATTTACACTTTCCTATTTCGAAGTAATTTTTTTGTCTTTATTCCCTAAATATTCTGTGGAGTAATAGTGCGTCGAAAAATTCTTTAAAACCCTCGGTACTGCTGTAGTTCAACAATAAGCTCAATAAACCCGAAAATATTGTATTAAATAGTGAATGATCGTGTCTTCCTTGCTGAAACTCATGAATTTTGGCCTTTTTATCCATTTCAAACTTTTTATCAATAAGTTATGTATAACCTAATTTATTCATTTGTGGTTCAGTTATGCATTTGACATTTACCACAGATGACTTCAAACCAGCCTCAGTAGACACCTCGAGACCGGCAGAGCTTGTTGTAGGTGACAAAAATGAGGTCACAGTCACTGTTCCTAATGTACAGGTACTATATGAATTCATCTAAGTGCTTAAAACTTATTGGCCGCTGTCAAATCCCTTTAGTAGCCATCTTTCAAAAGTAATATCCCTGGAAAAGTTGTATTTTTCACTAAGAAAATAGAAGTAACAGGGTAACCAAACAACCTCTTTGATTTCGTAAGTACAAACTCTGAAGGAAAAAGTTGAATAACACAGCTAGCTCTAACTGTGAAATATTTTTTATTCTTATTAAAAATAGTGCATTATTTTTTTTGTTTGATTTTCTTGATTTTAAATGGCCCATGTATGTTTTAAGTTGAAAAAAGATATAGCCATGCTTCAAAAGTGAAAAAAAAAACATTTAAATTGGACAAGAGTCTGAAGACCTTTGGAAGTTTATGGTTAATAATACCTGTAGATTTTTGTTATACTAAGTTCAATTTTTTAAAACTGTTGAAACATTATTGACAAGTGTATTTAAATTACTTATTTGTGTCATCTTACTCAAGGTCTTTTTTTATATTGATATTCTTGCATAATTTTATAGGATTCTGGTAACACTGTTTATCGTGGTTCCAAAAGAAGTTGTACGAAGGAATTTATTTTGGTGGTAGATAAAGAAAAAAAGGTATAAACCTACGGTAATTACATTGTCATGATAGTAATGAGGTCTATGTAGCAGTTCGTCAATGTTTTGTTTTTATTGTGGAGGCCTTGACTAAACAGTTGATGTGGTGGACTCTTGAGTTGAGGTTCTTATTGGAGACCTGGCAAAGTCAATGTGTTGTGTTTTATGGGCTGAAGACACTTTATTCTCATCATGCCTGACTCTTCAATAGAGTAGAAAATCATGCTAGCAAACTGTCAGGGAAAGCTGACCAAATGTCTGGGGAGTAGTCAATACTTGCTGGATCATCAAGATCACTTGGCTTGAGAACAGACTTTACCTTATGCCTGCCTACCTTGTTTTCAATAGTCAATGTGATAATGAGCAAAATTTTTGATGCAATCTCTATTAAGTGGTAGTTCTATAGAATGATGTAGCTCCTGTATCAATTTCTTTCAGACATTTACACTGGAGAGAATTGAGTCTACTGTTCCTCAGCTCAAGAAAGTTAGGTAAGCTTAAAGCTTTAAACGGTCAATAGTTGATAGCGAGGGGGAGGGAGGGGTCATTTTTACTAGTTACCAGTCTTGGTAGGAAGATGATATGGCGGCCGCCTTGAACATACAATGTACTCTTTTGACTTTAGTCAACAAAGGATGTAAGTTTATCTAGTCTCTTGAATCGTAAAACGTCAATCGCTTCTACAAGGAAATAATCTGCACTGAACAGAAGTATGGTTAACTATGGCAACTTTTTCACATTATGCTGATATTTGTGTTTTGTTCCACAATTAGGTATCCCCACAAGCTTGGAGTTTTTTGGAAAAAAAGAAAGGTGAAATACAGTACAATGGTAGTCAATTTAAACTTGAGATCACTATTCTTTCTCTCTTAGCTCATTAAACGTTATTGATTTCTGAGTTTGAGTTAAAGAAATATTTCTTTCGATTACTTTTGCTTTCAGCCAGTTAAGTATGGTTTGGAGGTATTGAAAATGGTTATCGTGGTGTTCATTTTTGGCTTGAGCCTGATCCAGTGGATACCAAATTTACTCTCCTTAGGGTAAGTTTAAGCAAAGGTAAAATGAAATAAAAACTTGGAACAGATTTCCCTAAAGTACCACAGCATTCACAAATTGTGGTCTAAAAGACTTGCTTTTGTGATTGTTTTCTTTATCCAAGATATCTATTCATAATAAAGTATGGGGCAGTGCGGAAATCATGGCCAACCTTGTTGAAACCTTAGGTATTGTAAACATGCTACACCCACTTACTGAAGTTTTCCATCTTTTGTTGTTGAGAGTTTCAAAGCTGCAAAGTTTTATCGCTTTGCCTCTTGCATTGGATTCACTATATGTAATATCATATTGAGTCTTAATGCTAAAGCTATTATAATTTTCATTGTAAGAGTTAAAAGCAGAACCACTGGAAAAGAAAAAAAAAGAATATGAAAGAATCCTGATTGTATTTAACATTTTGCTGCAACATACCATCACATGAACTTTATTTCACAACAAGGCTCTTTTGAGATTAGAAAATTCTGCGTAGAAAAAAAAAATAAGCTTTAAGCATTCAGAACAGTGATGCCAAAGGAAGACATTGACTGAAAAATGAATGTGAGTGGCATTAAGTTCCATATCGAGACTGAAATAATTTTCTGTCAGTATTCCTGTATATACAGACCATGCCAAATTTGATTCCTTGTTGTTTGGCCCAAGACAGCTTCATCACAAACAAAGTTCTAAACACTAGTGCTTAGCTATTGTTCTGCTCATTTGATCTTTTGTTTAGCCACATCTTCATTTCTGTTGCTCTTATGGTTTGTTCAAGGTCCCTAATATTATTGTTATCAAATTTTTTTCTCTATTTTTGAAACAATATTTATTGTGTTCATAGAACCCGGAAGATGAAATGACAGAATATCAAGAAAAGCAGTGGAAAATTTTCATCTGTAATGTAACCTTTTCCCTTTTCATTTTTTACATGAGCATGCAGATGCTCTTTGCCTTTGATATTATATTCACTTCACACAGTTTGGAGTAAATCTGAACACTGTTCATCTTCCTCTTGCTTCTCTGAAATCAATAGGTGTCCTGCAGTGGTCGTTATATGAGCTTCTGGCCACTGGCTGTATTGATATCAGCAATTACATTGCAAAGACGCCTGGGAAAGTGGATGTTACTGTCACCCTTAAGCCAGCAATCAAGAAAGTTGTTTCTGGTAAAATTGAATTTGAATTATCCTGGGTTATGCAGGAAGATTCTTCATTTATTTTCATAGTTAGTTACTGTAATGATGATCTAGCTTATGAGTGGCATTTAAAAGTCAATTACTCTATCATAATGTTATATTTTAGATCAATGAACTTGATCAATAAACTTTCAAAATGAGACATTATCATTTTTGCTGCATGAGCACAAGAGTTGACTATGATTTGAAGTTTATTTTGTCAATGGTTTTTATTCATATAATTATTATTTTTCCTCTCTAAAAGTAATTGTATTTTAAAATTCCATCAACTCTTTTGCTGTTGAATATGCTTGATATTTGTATTACCTTTACAGTCCCACAGATGAAGAGATATGGGAAGAGATAATGCAGGAGGTCAGGGAGGAACAAGCAAGAAGAAGAGCTGAGGGAAAGGCAGCAAATTATTAAAAGCTTTAAAATAAAAGGAAACATGGCTGCTTAAATAATACAGACATTGCTGCTGAGAAAGACAGAAAACAAGATAAAAACAACAAAGTTGGCAGCTCAAATGGTACAGGCATTGCCCCTGAGGAAGACAGAAAGAAATCTAAAAACAGTGAAGTTGGCTGCTCAAGTGGTACAGAAATTACTGCTGAGGAAGACAAAAAAACTTATGAGCAATAAGGTGGCTTCTTCCCAAATGATGAACCTCAGGTGGATTCCTCATCTGGCAGCAATACCAAAGTGGGGTCAGGAAAGGTTAGGAGGCAGGCTTCACCTCATCATGCTCATCTTAGTCCTGTTTCACCCCAAACACACCCACCTGCTAGCCAGGGTCTGCCATTAGAGAGTGAAGAGAAAAAAGAGGTGCAGAGTAAAAGGAACCTTCATAAAACTGTCAGGTTTCAAATTGATGAACAGCCTGAGGTATTACATCCTGTAGTAGATGATGAAGAAGCCGTGGACTCCTTATCTGTGTTGTCCCCAACTGTTTACAGGGAAACAGTTTTCATTGAGAAAGATGAAGTTGCAACAAAAGAGAAGTGCATTCCCAAGAGAGATGAAAATTCATGTAAGTTCTGTTTTGTTTTCCAGCCTCCCATGCCAAAGGGTCAGGGGCTTAAATTTGGTTATTTTTTTTTCCTGTTTGATCTGACTTATTTTCAAGCAAACAGTTTTATTGTAAGACTCTAGGAACCCTGAGTTATAGGCACTGAATAAAATCCATAACTTTACATAATGTTTTATTCTGAACTATTTTGTTGATGAGTGATGTTAACTTTTTTGTTCAGCCTCATTAGTGGAAGCCAGCTTCTCTCAGAGTTGGCCAGTTATGTTGAAATGAAGCTTGGTCAAGATGAATTATTGTCTTCGGAAAAAGTCTGCTCAAAAGTAAAACTTGAAATACAGAGAGCCAATTGTCATCAGGTGTGTGATCCATTTCCAATATGATAAAGTGAAATGCCTGGGAATTTCAAATCATACTATTAATATGTTGCATTCACATGTTGAGTCAAATTTCAGAGCAGTCATTCCTTCATTGAAAAACTTATGTTAAGTTCTTTTCCCCATTAATGAGTTATTATTTTACTCCAGGATCTTTATAGTAATTCTCATTACTGCCTGCAGCACAATTCTTATGATGTTAGATCAGAGAATTTGGTATTGGATGGACTAATAACCTGCTTTATATTGTTTTGATATTGCAAGGAGAAATTCTGTCTTGGTCACTCCTAGAAGTGAAATTGCTAAAACAATTGTTAAAAAACAGCTATTCACTTAAGTAGAGAATATACCGCAGGTTTTTACTCTTATTTCAGGTGTTATAAGCCATGCTTAACTTACACAGCCCAACAATGTATTTGTTTACTTTTGTCTGTAGACCACATAGAAGAGTTTGAAAGCTTAAACCAAGGCTGGCTTATATTGGATAGCTTCCATTCCAAAGTGATGAAAAGAAAAGAAGACCTTCTTGCCCTGTAAGTAATAATGACTTATTTTAGAAATGAAATAAATATTACTTTTATGACATAAAATGTGGTCTTACATTGTAATCCATGATTCAAAAACTCTGCACAGGTACTTATATATGTTAACCTGCTCCCTTTAATATGGGATAACTGATCTATCTATCATATATCCTTAATTAGTTTCGCTGGATTCATTTTCATTATTGTTAGTAATGAAAAATGTGAGCAATGGAATGAATAATTGATTTACTGATCAAGAATTTCCACTGTTTGTCATTGTTATTTATTTGGGTTTTTCACAGACTGTAGTGGTTCTGCTTAACTAAAGGTTGTATTTAGCTTGAGGCAAGATTTACTTGATTTTCTGTTTTCCTTTCACCAATATAGTGACAAAGGAAAAAACATTGAAAATTGTCTTAACTTGCTGTGTTCAGATTTGAGACGCCTTTCAGAAGTGGAAGGTAAGTATTCAGTTGTTTCTCCTCCTTTTTCTCAGTTTAGTGTTATTGGGACTGGTTTAGTGAACCTTGATTCTTAACCCTTTACACCCTAACATCATTCTGTGTATATAATACCAAACTGTTCTCTTTATATTTCCTATGGTGCTGACAGGTGAATTTGTGTAACAACCTTGATTTTTTTTTAGATAGTGATCATTTCCTTTATCATTATGATATTCTAAATAGAAATTAGATGCTATTCACTCTTCAAGGTCAAATGATATATATGTGGATGAACAAAACAAGGTTGTGTGTTTTGATTTTAGGCTGGTGGAAAATAGATGAGAACAAAGCTCATGAAAAAAGAGTTGCTGGACTCATTGCTGCAATTAGCCAGCAGAGCCTTCATGCCTTAAATAATGGTAAGAAACTGTAATCTTAACTAATTTGAAATGCAAGTTATTAATTGTGGCTCTAACACTTCCTATGATAACAATCAATATTATATCTAAATAATGGTATGAAACAGTAATCTTTAGTAAGATGAATTGCAAGGCTCTAACACTTCCTATGATAACAATCAATATTCTATCTAAATAATGGTAAGAAACAGTAATCTTTAGTAAGATGAGTTGCAAGGCTCTAACACTTCCTATGATAAATATATGTTATTTGCCGGCTGGGAGGTCCGTATGGTGAAAAACTGTGACCGAGGTCTTGATTTTCAAGACCGAGGTCACAGTTTTTCACCATACGGACCGACCCTTAGCCGGTAAATAACATATTTATTGTTTTTAAACTTGACGAAATTCTTTCCGAAAGAACCCGAATGATTTATGGCCGTAAATACGGCAAGATCTTCATAAACTGAACAATTTTTGAGTGAGTAAATGGTAGTTAAAATAGAAGTGATGCAAATTTAAGAGAGATGCCTCAGCGAAACATTTTCATTTCCGTAACGATGAAGGTGATTTAAAAGGCTTCCAAACAAAGTTGGAAACATTATTTTTAAAACTATCTGTCACAATCTGACACCTGTCAATTAGAGAGCGCGTAAGAAAAAAAAAGCGCAAGAAGATTTGAAAAACAACGGAACTAGTAGACAAGGACTGTCACGACAATGGTTTCTTCAAAAACGGTCAATGATCTAACTGAAAGTATTATTCACTCTCATCGACGATTAATTCATGTACGCAGATTTACCTTTGTTCATTAAGTAAACGGCGAGGAAAGTAATTAAAGTAAATGGTTTGAACCCAGGAGTATCAGTAGTTTGTGTAGTGTGATCGTCCGGGTGTGTGTAGTTCTGAAAAGAACTGTTGTTGGTGACTGACGTTTCGACTATCTGTATCGTTAACGTTAAAGACAAAGACGAACCCAACAACAGACAGGGAGCGATTTATAAGATCGAATGCTCCGACTGCCAGGCCTCCTACATTGGTGAGACTGGTAGAAACCTTAACACGCGACTAACTGAACACAAACGAGCAACTAGAAATGGCGATGCAAACAATCACATTTCTGAACATCACCGACAAACTAATCACAGAATCGACTGGGACTCTGCTAAATGCTTAACCTACAGTACAAACTATTTTCAACGACTGACTCTGGAAAGCTGGTTCACTAACTTAGAACAGACGCCTCTCAACAGATGTCAACAATTACCAGCACCTTACAAACGACTCATTAACGACGTGAACAAACCGACAAACAGACCGACAAACAACAGACGGATCGAAACCGACCAATGACTGTTAACAACTCTACACGAGTCTTCCAGCCAATCACATCACGGCTAAACAGACCAATCACGTTCAACAGACCAGACCTTATAACATCATCGACTGACAACTACTCCTCACTTGACTCTGAAGATGACTATCGCACAGATAGTCGAAACGTCAGTCACCAACAACAGTTCTTTTCAGAACTACACACACCCGGACGATCACACTACACAAACTAGGAAAGTAATTGTGAGTAAATTCAAATTTTTTTATTTTGAAGTTGTGAGAGTTTGCTCGTTTGTTTGCTGCAACGGCGTGTGTAAATCTGGTCTTTCTTCCACAAAAACTGAATTCGAACGGCACACTCCAACGAGACACAAGGGGATTTAATGCGGCCTTTTCTCAATAAATTCCTTCAGTTTCTGTTGTGCAATTTATGGTCCAAATGTCCAAATTGAACGGACTTTGAAAGACTCACCGAGAGCGTATATTTATTGTCGAACTGAAATTAAAACTTCGCTCGCTCTTTTACTACGAACAAATTGTTTGAGAAAATTCAGACATTAAATGAATGAAAGTTTCATTGTTCAGTTTACCTGTAACCAAATACCTCGCGTTTTAACTTTCTAAGTACTTTTTGTGAATGATTAAAATCAATTGCAGACGGTTTTTAGGCCGCTTGTCAACCGACGTAATGACACCATTGCCTATACAAATTCATTCTGAAACCAATATTTTTTTGTCAACTAAATTGATTTGAGAGAGAGAAAGAGAGGATTCATAAGTCGGCTTGAGGTAGTGACCGATGTGTTTGCTTAAAAATACTGCCCAGCGGGCAAAACGAGGTATATTTATGAAAAATGGCAACGAAAGTTGAGATGTACACGGCGACTCACGAAAGCGTTACCGTGGCCCGTGGGCAGAGATAGGAAAATACTGACCGGGTAAAGAACCAATCAGATTGCAGGATTCGTTACCGTGCCCTCTAAAAAAACAATAACAATCAATATTCTATCTAAATAATGGTAAGAAACAATAATCTTTAGAAAGATGAATTGCAAGGCTCTAACACTTCCTATGATAACAATCAATATTCTATCTAAATAATGGTAAGAAACAATAATCTTTAGAAAGATGAATTGCAAGGCTCTAACACTTCCTATGATAACAATGAATATTCTATCTAAATAATGGTAAGAAACAGTAATCTTCAGTAAGATGAATTGCAAGGCTCTAACACTTCCTATGATAACAATCAATATTCTATCTAAATAATGGTAAGAAACAGTAATCCTTAATAAGATGAATTGCAAGGCTCTAACACTTCCTATGATAACAATGAATATTCTATCTAAATAATGGTAAGAAACAGTAATCTTCAGTAAGATGAATTGCAAGGCTCTAACACTTCCTATGATAACAGTCAATATTCTATCTAAATAATGGTAAGAAACAGTAATCTTCAGTAAGATGAATTGCAAGGCTCTAACACTTCCTATGATAACAATCAATATTCTATCTAAATAATGGTAAGAAACAGTAATCCTTAATAAGATGAATTGCAAGGCTCTAACACTTCCTATGATAACAATCAATATTCTATCTAAATAATGGTAGGAAACGGTAATCTTTAATAAGATGAATTGCAAGGCTCTAACACTTCCTATGATAACAATCAATATTCTATCTTAATTAGTTGAAATGCAAGGCATATAGCTAATTTAATTTTTAGTGTTTTTTGTTTAATACAATTTAGCAATAAAACATACTGTCTATAATTCTGTCATATGAAGTGATGCAGATGTTCTTATGTTGGTTTATTTTCTTTTTTACATTTCAGTCTGAATGAAAATACATCTACTATTTTTGAATATTGGTCATTTGCATTTTGGATTCTTGTGAAAAAATTTTCGCTAAAGAACATGCTGCTGCTCTTTTTTAAACAAAGTGTTCAGATATAAAGACACTGCACGTGACTTACGATGTTTTTCTCGTATGCTAATTTCTAACGTTCACAAAAGCATAATTGTTATGAACTCTCTTGACACACGCTTTTCCAAGAATGTTTTTGAAGCCGTTCAAAAAACTCGCAGCACGTGTTTTATCGGGTCAAAAACCCGATAAAACACTCCTGCTCGTTTTTTAAACATTACATAACTAGTTGATCGGATTTGAATCGGATCAAGAATCAGAGCGGCTAAAGAGCATCGAAGCGTGTGAAGTCATTTTGTTGTAACTAGGATTGTATTACAGAGAGAGATCAAGAAGACCGTAAAGGGCAAGTCGAGAGTCCTTGATGCCTTTTCCTAGGCGAAGTCCGCTCTGCACCTAGCTTTTCTCCAAAACACGCGACAACTTAACAATGATATTTGCTATTGGTAGTTAAAATTTTTGAGACGCAGAAATTTGAATTTTGTTATTGTACACTACAGATCTCCAGGATGCGTCACAAAGAAAACGGGGAACCAATCAGTTCCCAACAATTTCCACTAAAATTAATACAGACGTGCAGCACACCTCATTTTGTGACTAACCGAAGGAAACTTTGCAGTTTTTCAGTCGAAGCTGAGCGCAACAGTAATTAAGCCTATATCAAAGAAAGCCGACTTACTGACCGAACTAACGAAAGGTCCGTCGATATGAAAGTGGAAGATCTTAAATGGTACAGTCCTTTTGTGTTCTTTGTTGGAGCTATTTTAAGTTTCGCTGATCCCATCACCGACATACTCACACTGGTGGAATTCTACCGCGCGGATCACAAGGCATGGTTTGGTGTGGGACTTACTTTTGTTTTATTGCCATGTTTGGCGTTTCTAGTACTGTTCTATACCCTACGTCATGCTTCACTTTCAAAAACTGCTCTTTGTGCATTGCATCCATTTTCAGCAGCCTTCGCGAGACTAGAAGCTTTTCTTTTCGGTCTCAAGAAATGCTGGTCTAGACATGAAATCGACCCGGTCAGCTCTGAACGAGCTGGAGGTGTACTCTATCACATGGACTTTGCTGTGCTCTTTGAGGCAGTCTTTGAATCCGCTCCACAATTTATAATTCAGTTGTACGCCATCAGTGTTCAGGAGGAGCCAGCTGCAATTATCCATATCATTTCTCTACCTATCTCTTTCCTCACGCTGGCATGGGCCTTCACAGCCACTGATGAGAGGTCTCTTGACGAGCGCAAAGTAATACCAAGTAGCGGTGGCCTGAATGTTAAACACAAACTGGCATTGTATGTAACTCACCTACTTCTCCTGAGTAGTCGACTGTTTGCCATCTGTTATTTCACCGTCAGCTACAAGTGGTGGGTTATTGTTGTGTTAATGTTTCATTCTTGTGTGGTGGTAATAGCGACTGTTATTCAGAAGAGAGGCGCAGTTAACTGTGATGTCTTCTACGTTTTCTTAACTATATTGTTTATGGGCATTCACTGTCTAAGAGATGACTTTGTAGAATTATCGATGGATTTAGAAATAACTGGTCTGACCATGAGTGTGTATTTATCACATATTTTGTTTGCATTAGAAAACTTCTTTATGATCCTAATGTTTTATTTCACTTATCACCCCAACGCTTGGTACTCTTTACCTGTCACTGTTTGTGTTTGTGGGTTCACTGTTCTTGGCTCCACGATGAGAATTTGCCTACTTCGTCGGCTAAGGAAGAAAACTGCCAGAGTTTCACCAGCCGAGTAGCAGTGTTGTGAATACTTGTTGAATATTATGTTAGTTCAGTATAATCTAGTTATTCCCTAATATTTTGTCTGTTGCTACTATTTGAATTTGATGTCCGATAGTAGGTTTAGGCTATCGAGATGAGTTTCGAAGTTGTGGCTATCTTGTTTAACTTCCATCACTGGACGTGCGTAGTTGGAGAACTGGCCTTGGCCATGACCCGCACGAAAGTTGAGTCTTGTTTTGGCTTATGCAGTCAAAGAGGAGGGCCCAAATTAGACTTTTCCAATGCTGTGTCCCGCTGCTATTTTCCATCTCATTTCGCCATCCAGCTGCAATGAGGAGTTTCATTCCGAATTCGCCTGGTTAAACCAAATTTGCTTTAGTACACCGCCTTATGCAACTACTGATGGATAAATCAAAGCCCTTGGCAATATTGACAATGTCTCCAGTCTGTTATTCGGAATAGAAGAGCAGTTCACTGCGGTGATTGCTACGTTTTCTTAACTATATTGTTTCTGGACATTCACTGTCTAAGAGATGACTATGTAGAATTATCGATGGGTGTAGAGGTAATTGGTTTAACCATGAGCGCGTAATTCTCACATATTTTGTTTGTATTAGAAACCTTATTTATGATCCTATTGTTATGAATGAATGGATGAATGAATGAATGAATGAATGAAGGACTTTATTAAAGTTTCAATAGTATTTAGCTTGAAGAAAACTAATTGGAAACACTGTTTATGCATGACAATATATATAATCTACATAAAGTTAAAATTATTTACACTTTAATTCATAGTTTATAGAATAGATAGATAAATTAAAAAGTAAATGAAACATAAGAACTTAGCAAAATAAGCTTAGATGATATCAAATATATATAAAATGTAAAGTTCAAAGCGGCCTAGCAGCATATATCACCGTTTTTGCAGTTATTTATTAAGAGTGATAGGTCTTTGCTCGAAGTCTGATGTTAGGTTTAAGCTGTCGAGACCAAACTGCAGAGACGAAGTTGACTGTGATGTCTTCTACGTTTTCTTAACTATATTGTTTATGGGCATTCACTGTCCAAGAGATGACTTTTTAGAATTATCGATAGCTGTAAAAGTAATCGGTCCAACCATGAGTGCGTTTTTCTCACATATTTTGTTTGTATAAGAAACTTCTTTATAATCCTAATGTTTTATTTCATTTATCACCCCAACACTTGGTACTCTTTACCTGTCACTGTGTGTTTGTGTGTTCAGTGTTCCTGGCTCCACAAAGAGAATTTGCTTACTTCGTTTGCTGAGCAAGAAGACTGCCGACGGTTCACCAGCCGCGAGTAGCAGTGATGTGAATACATGCTAAATGTTAGTTCAGTATAATCTAGTCATTCGTTTTCATTTAGTCTGTAGCTGGTATTTGAATTTGAAGTCCGAAGTTACGTTTAGGCTATCGAGATGAGTTTCGAAGTTGTGACTCTCTTGTTTAACTTCCATCACTGGACGTGGGTAGTTGGACTACTGTCCTTGGCCATGAACCTCACGAAAGTTTTAGTCTTGTTTTGGCTTACGCAGTTAAAGATGAGCGTCCAATCCTGTATCCCGCCGCTATTTTTCATTTCTTCCGCCATCCCGCTGCAATGAAAATTTTCATCCCGATCTCGCCTAGTTAAACCCAAGTTGCTTTAGTTCACCGCCTTATTGAACCAGTGATGGATAAATTAGAGCCTTTGCAATATGAATAATTTCCTTTTATTACGGAGAAAGACAAAGAGTTAATTGCTTAAGGCATATTTAGCCAGCTTAAAAGACGGTTGCTCCTCGGTGTGTTTATAGTCTCTATAAGAGGGACGTAAAATCTCCACCTACAGGAGGACCAACAGAAAAGCTATTCTGTTACATAGATGATATTTTTTTCAGCCAATCGCACGCCTCAGAGACGCAACAGAATTCATCAATGTTATAGAAAAAAAAGCTCATGTTTTGGCTTACACTCTCAAAGATTGATTCTGTTGATGGGAAGCATTCAGTGCGTTGTTTTTCATTTTGTGAGATTCTAATATAAAAGAGTTTGGATTACTGAGATTTCTGACAACAAATGTTTAATCGATCTTCCAAGGTCAGTTGGCCAGCATGCCCGCTCATTTCCACCAATAACAAATATATAAGCATGTACTTTAGAGTTTACTCAGCCAAAGTCATTGAGCCAGTAGTCAGTGGTCAGCGGTCAGTAGTCAGAGAGAAGTAGAAGAGTGAGAATAAAACTGTGAGTAACAAAGACAGATTAATCAGAGTCAGAGCCAGACGACCAGGACGGCCAGAGTTGAACAGAGTGAGGCAAAATTGAAGATTGATAACACTCAGAGCTAGGAGTTTCTACTCGTTTTCATTTATTAGTTCAAATTGCTAGATGTGATAGATACTTTTAAATTTGAAACTCAAAATGTAGAGGGAATAAAATAAACGCAACAAGCTGCGAATAATGGATGGATATTATGGAGTAGATTGCAGTTACTTTTTAAAATACTCGGTTTTAGCTTGGAGTAAGTGGTTTAGAGGTTTTGATACTTTCAACGAGTTTAGAATTATGAATTGAGAACTTTGACTTATGTTGATATAGAATTTGACTCTCATGCTAAATAATATGTTGATTTGCATTTAGCGCAGCACTTTAAGGTGTCTAGTTTCTCGCAGTATTTAATTATAAATAAAGCTATGTACAAGTTGATAGTTTGTAAAACAAGAATTAGAATAAAAGTTATTCACTTTTAACAAGAAAACAAATACACTCTTTTGAGTACTGAGAATGTCTCAAGATCATGGCGTTTCAAAATCTGTAAATGGAAATAACTGAAGGTTACTGATCCGAATCGTTAAACATACAGTGTAAGACTGTATGTGGCTACTGATATAGCTCAATTTTTATAGCATCGAAGAGGACTAGAAGTTGTCTAATGACGCCAGATGGTAGTGTTGAAGAATATTTATTCCACATTCAAAGCAGAAAAGCTGCCGCATCCCACATATACACATATTTATGAGTGGCCTATTGCACAAGAGAAATATGATCTAAGAATATAGTGACCACTTGACATGCAACCAATGATTAAATGATAACAAATAATCATATTAACAATAACAATAATAATGATAACCATAGTAATATTAATAATAATGTAAAGGGGCGAGTTAAAAAACGTCAATGTTCCTCTATTCTCAAAGCCCCCAAAAATGATTAAACTAAGATTCTTTAATTTTGCCTGTTCATTATAAATTATTTTCTGATTTTATAACAATTCCATTTTTTGTAACACTTTTGTTTCATGCAACAAGACATTCCGTGTTTAAGGATATTCTGCCATTTCGCCATCTCACCATTCCACCGTTCCATCATTTTTTCAAATAGGAAAAAGATGAAAATTCTGGGAAGGAAGCTTTTTGCAAACAAGGTCTAGTAATTGAACTGGGTGATAGCCAACAGCGTACTGGAAACCGATGCCTTGAAGACCAATTTTCGCCTGGTTGTCAGCAGTAAATTTCCAAATCGGACATGGTTTATCCATTTCGGCTGTCACGGGGTAATACCCTTTTCTTAGAATGCATGCCATATGCTTTTTTTTTCGCAATTTGGTATGCGGCGAAGCAGAAGGTCATGATCACCTTAAACTACAACGTGAAGCATTGGGTGAGTACTTAAATTAAAATTGATCATTTTATATTCTTACTGACAGACTTTGACGGTAAGAGCAGTTTACAGGATTGAATTTGAAATTCGTTTCAATTCATTTTGCAATGTGTTTTTATTGGAAAAACAGTTGAATGTTCCTCTCAGCTTAATTAAACATTCAGCAGGCGATTGTTTAAAAGCTAATTCCAATTACTTGCCGTAAAAAAACTATGACATTTCCCTGAATATAGTAATGAGGAATTTTTGAGACTCAAAAGTTTTGATTTTATCATGGACATCCTGGCTCTCCCAGATTGTGTCCGAGAAACAATCTGAGAACTTATCAGTTTTTAGGATCTCGTGTATTACACTAAAATTGATACAGACGACAACCCCCATTCCATGGTATCTGGTGTGAAATCAGGCAATCAGTCTCAGCCTACGCGAGACTTGAAGTTTTTCTTTTCTGTCTCAAGAAATGGTGGTACAAAGATGAAATCGACTGGGACCGCTCTGGCGAGGCAGTCCTTGAATCCGCTCCACAATTTATAATTCAGTTATACGCCATCAGTGTTCAGGAGGAACCAGCTGCAATTATTCAAATCATTACTCTACCTATTTCTTTCCTCACTCAGGCCTGGGCCTTCACAGTCATTGATAGGAGCTCTCTTGACGAGCTCGAAATATTATCAAGTAGCAGTGACCTGAATGTTAAACACCAGCTTGCATTGTATGTAACTCACTACTTCTCTTGAGCAGTCGACTGTTCATCACCATCTGTTATTTCACCGTCAGCTACAAGTGGTGGGTTATTGATGTTTTAATGTTTCATTCTTGTGCGGTAGCAATAGCGACTGTTATTCAAAATAGAGAAGAAGTTGACAGCGATGCTTCCCACGTTTTCTTAATATTCATGTTTATGGGCATTCACTGTCTATGAGAAGACTTTTTAGAATTATCGATAAATGTAAACGCAATTAGTCTAACATAAGTGTGTATTTCTCACATGTTTTGTTTGTATTAGAAAACTCCTCTATGATTCTCATACTTAATATTACTTATCATCCCAACGCTTGGTACTCTTCACCTGTCACTGTCACATTTGAACTTAAATGTTGTCGAATAGTTACAATTTATCGAGTGATATTGACATTAAACATGTTAGTAAGGTAAATTGCTCAAATGTAAGGAATATGGTGCTTTGCCTCAACGTATGCGGCGAAGAAGAGGTCATGATCACCTTGAACAACCCTGGTGACAACGTGAGGCATTGCGTGAGTACCGCACTAAAATGTTTTATGTTCTGACTGACAGAATTTGAGCGGTAAGGTCAGTTTACTGGATTGAATTTGTCATTCGTTTGTACCTAATTTTCCATATGTGTCAGTTTTACTTGGAAAAACAGTTGAATATCCCGCACAGCTTAATTAAGCATGTACCAGGCGGTTGTTTGAAAGCTAATTGCAATTACTTACCGTAAAATTACTATGGTATTCACCTGAATATACTTATGAGGACTTTTTAGACTCGGAAGTTTTGATTTTATCAGGGACATTCTAGCTCTCCCAGATTGTGTTAGAAAAATAATCTGAGAACCAATCAGTTTTCAATATCTCGTGTATTAAACTGAAATTGATACAGACGGCAAACCTCATTCCTTGACTGTTAATGCGAAACCATACTAAACCAAGGAATCTTTGCATTTTTTTAGTCGAAAGCTGAGCGCAAGAGCCTCTGACCAACAGAGCAGCAATCTATTTCAGTAACTGAGCCTGTGTCGATAAGAGCCGTTCTGCTGGGCGAACAAACGAGTACTACGTCGATATGGAAGTGAAAGATCTTAAGTGGTACAGTCCTTTCGTGTACTTTGTTGGAGCTATTTTAAGTTTTGCTGATCCCATCACCGACATACTCACACTGGTGGAATTCTACCGCGGGGGTCACAAAACATGGTTTGGTGTGGGGCTAACTTTTGTTTTATTGCCATGTTTGGCGTTTCCAGTATTGTTCGTCCGGCTGCGTGCCCAATTGACTGCTTCACCTTCTAATTGGGCAAAAACTGCTCTGTGTGCATTGCATCCATTTTCAGCAGCCTTCGCGAGAGTAGAAGCTTTTCTTTTCTGTCTCAAGAAATGGTGGTCTGGAGGTGAAATCAACCCGGTCCGCTCCGTAAAAGCTGACAATGTACTCTATTACATTGACTTTGTTGTGCTCTTTGAGGCAGTCCTTGAGTCCGCTCCACATTTTATAATTCAGTTGTACGCCATCAGTGTTCAGGAGGAACCAGCTGCAATTATCCAAATCATTTCTCTACCGATCTCTTTCCTCACTCTGGCATGGGCCTTCACAGCCACCGATAGGAGGTCTCTTGCCATGCGCAAAATAATATCCAGGAGCGGTGACCTGAATGTTAAACACCAACTGGCATTGTATGTAACTCACCTACTTCTCCTGAGCAGTCGACTGTTCGCCATCTGTTATTTCACCGTCAGCTACAAGTGGTGGGTTATTGCTGTGTTAATGTTTCATTCTTGTGTGGTATTAATGGCGAAGTTTATTCAGAATAGAGACAAACTTGAATGTTATGCCTGCTGCGTTTTCTCAACTATATTTTTCATGGGCATTCACTGTCTAAGAGACGACTTTGTAGAATTTTCGTCAAAAGTAGAAGTAATTGGTCCAACCTTGATTGTGTTTTTGTCACATATTTTGTTTGTATCAGAAAACCTCTTTATGATCCTGATGTTTTTTCTCTCTCATCATTCCAACGCTTGGTACTCTTTACCAGTTACTGTTTGTGTTAGTGTGTTCAGTGTTCTTGGCTCCACAATGAGAATTTGCTTACTTCGTTGGCTAAGCAAGAAACCTGCCGGCGGTTCACCAGCTGCAAGCAGCGGTGATGTGAATGCATGTGTTGCGAAGTATTTTGTTAGTTCAGTATAATCAAGTCATTCGCTTGTATTTAGTCTGTAGCTACTATTTGAATTCGAAGTCCGAAGTTAGGTTTAAGCTATCAAGATGAGTTTCGAAGTTGTGACTATCTTGTTTAACTTCCATCACTAAACGTGCGTAGTTGGACTACTGGCCTTGGGAGGCTATTTTTCATTCCATTCCACCATCCCGCTACAATGAAAATTTTCATCGCGATCTTGCCTGGTTAAACCTAAGTTGTATTAGCACACCGCCTTATTGAACTAGTGATTGATAAATTAATTATAAAGCTTTTACAATACTGACCATGTCCTCTCATTATGGACAAAGGCAAATACTTGCTTAAGGCATATTTAGCCGGCGTACAAGACGGTTGTTCCTCGGTGTGTTTATCGTATTTATAAGTGAAACACTAAATCTGCATCTACAGACGGACCAACCAAAAAGAGCACATGTTGTGGTTTACAAGGTCAAAGATCGATTCTGTTTATCGAAAGTATTAAGTGTGTTTTTTTTTTTCATTTTATGAGATTCTTATAAACGAGTTTGGGTCAGCGTTCTGACGACGAATGTTTAATCTTCCAAGGCCAGTTGGCCAGCATGCGCGCTCATGCCCACCGATAGCAAATATATAAGCATGTACTTTAGAATTTACTTCGCCAAGGTCATTGAGTCAGTAGTTAGTGATCAGTGAGAAGTCGAAGAGTGAGAATCAAATTGTAAGTCTGTGTATTGACACAGGTTTAGTTACTGAAATAGATTGCTGCACTGTTAGTCAGAGGCTTTTGCGCTCAGCTTTCAGTAGCAGTGACCTAAATGCTAAACCGTCACCAAGTAGCACTGTATGTAACTCATTTACTTGTCCTGAGCAGTCGACTGTTCGCCATCTGTTATTTCACTGACAGCTACAAGTGGTGGGTTATTGCGGTGTTAATGTTTCATTCTTGTGTGGTAGTAATAGCGACTGTTATTCAGAATAGAGACAAAGTTGACTGTGATGCCTCTAATGTTTCCTTAGCTATATTGTTTATGGGCATTCACTGTCTAAGAGAATACGACTTAGTAGAATTATCGATAAGTGTAGAAGAAATTGGTCACCATGAGACCACCATGAGAGTGTTTTCCTCACATATTTTGTTTGTATTAGAAAACTTTTTATGATCGTAATGCTTTATTTCACTTATCACCCCAATACAGTTGGTACTCTTTACCTGTGTGTGTGTGCGTTTGTGTGTTCAGTGTTCTTGGCTCTACAATGAGGATTTGTTTACTCTTTCGGCGAAGAGGGAAAACTATCGCCGTTTCGCCAGTGGCGAACAGCAGTGATATGACTATAGAAGCAGATTTAAAACAATAGAATGTCACCTCATTTTGTCGTAAATTAAACAAGCGCTAAAACGGCGACGATGTAAGTTGATACACAGTAGATGTTTATTCATGAGTAATTGTAATGGCAAAAGGAGTAAAATAAACACGTAACAAGTAGCGAATAGTGGATGGATAAAATAGAGTGCTACGTACTTAATACAATATTCAGTTTTAGTTTGGAGTGAATGGTTTAGAAGTCTGACACTTTTTACGAACTTTCCATAATGACTTAAAGATTTTTGCTGATGTTGATCTAGATTTGTTCCCTTCCTCATACTTAGCCAGATATTAACTTGTGTTTGGCTTCGGTGTCCCTTTAAATTGTGTTACTTCCTGCAGGATTCATTTGGGTTTAAAGCTCTGTAGGAGGCGTCATTTTGTAAAATGAAGAGTTGGAATAAAAGTTAGCGAGGAGAAAAGATTACTTGGGAAAATTTGTTTGCAATGATATGTTAAAGATAACTGTTTAAATCATGATTGTTGAGAGCAAATGTGGCCAAAAATGAAACATTTTCAAAATATGGTCACCCCCCCTCACTCAGAAGTGATTGAGAACGAAAAGCGCACATGTCCTCACAGAATGCTCGTGAATATGTTCAAAGAAACAAAACTGACTCAAAGATTGCTTATCCTCTCAAAGGGGTTCGTGGAAAATATATTTTGGGTTTCTTGGATAAGACTGTGTGCTACACTCTAAAATTGTTCCGACGAGTTTTCGTCATAAACCCAAGATAAATTTTCAGTTATTTTATAATACTTGCTGTTGCATTTGAAAGTTTAAGCTCCAAAGTAAGGACAAGAGATCGTTTAAAGCACTCAAGAATTCCCCGAGTTTTTTCCCTTTTAATTCCGGTGAAAAGTTGGCCGACCTTTACATAAAATGTTCGACGCAAAGTTGAGAGAGCGAAACGAAAACAACGATGACAAGTTTTTCTGCGCAAGGAATTTATTTCCAAATAAATTGGATCCCAAGAATATGGTGTTAATACAAATATATTGAGATACGACCAATCCAAGGCTATCTTCTCTGGACTTTGTTCATCTTACGTTTGCCGGCAAACATATGTTTAGGCATTTTGGTAGCGATCTTTCTGTCAGCTTCACCTGTGGAACGAAAACGCATGATAATCTGTAACAGTGTCAAATATTGAACAAGGTTTAACTTCGTTTTAATTTTTCTGCGATAGAATCTATGAAACATTTGATTGAAAGAGACTCTGGATATGGACATTATCATAACGAACCGCTAGAGTAAGAGAAGGAGATGGGGAATGCGAAAAAGGGACGGAAGAGGAAGAGCGGCCTGGAGGGAAGAAAGAAAAAATGAAGACGACGACGAGCAAAAGGATACAGAGAAGGAGGGCGAAACAGTGGACGTAGAACGAAGAAGGACGGGAAGAGTGGGAAAGAGTTGAAGAAAAAGGGGGCAAATGGCTGCTCACAGTAACCTCTCTAAATGAATCATTTACACTTTCCTGGTGACCACAGGGTTTCCCTAAATAAAACCGACAGTTATCATGAAGAAAAGGCATTTCTTTCGTCCACCAAAATCCTACCTGCTTTGCCCATACGGTTAATGCCTCTTTGAACAACCTTTGACAGTTTCTTTGCTTTCTTCTTTTTCTATTTTAAAACAAAACAAAGTCAGGAATTAACACGAGAAAACTCTTACATAGTTTACTTCAAAGAGCCACAACCTACTTCCGTTGGAGACGAGATTAAGTGTTCAATTATTATAAGGCGTCCTTTCACGTTTACCCTACACTCATCAGCTCGTTTCGTTTGACCAGCGTGCCGCCACTGCAGGTTTTTCGGCGAGCGTAAGGTCAAAAATGCCTCCGGTTTAAGGGTTGTCGGGCAGGCTTTCGTCCAGTTTTGTCCTCTTCACAAATTTCACTCCTACATTCTTACCCTGTCTTCCTACAAATTACATCTACGATACAGTTCTTTAAATCGAGACGCAACTAAACTTTTGAAATACGCTACTTTTTGCGCAAAAAAGTAGCCCTCTTCTTTACTCACCTTTGGTTCCAAAAAAATTTTAATGCTGAATGTTTCTGCTCTATGTTTTTTGATGAAATTAATTTCACTTGATTCATCTTAGTTGTCAAAATATTTTTCAGAAGATTTAAACCGTAATTTACATGGTGAGTACTTATAAATTTCATGTTGTTGGTTCAATCGATATTAGATAACGGCTGTCATCGTCATCATTACCGTCATCATCAGTAAAAATTTATCAATCGAAATTTTAGTTCACTGATGCGAGGGAAAGCTAACTGAGAGGGACAATGAAAAGCCTAAAGAGTTTAATAATCTCGTTATTTTCATCACATGAATATTTCCTTCAACCAAGAAGTACAGAAACTGGAGCGCAAGTGCAACAAGAGAAAGATTTTTAAAACAGTTTCAGCCTCCCCTTTCACATAGCTTCTCACCTCGGGAGAACTGATGCCTGATTGGTCACGTGGTGGACGTGATAAGCTGCGTGCGCCGTTGCTGGCTGCTCTCTTTCTTTTACGGCTCATCGGGGTCTGAGAACGAGATCTTTTTTCGGCCACGTCTCCCTGGAAACAACCAACGAATCAATCAAACTACTGTACTGTATCAATCAACTATTCTATCAGTTAAGAGATGCGACCAAAAATAACAATAAACAAACGAAATACTTAAAAGTGAACTGACAGTATCTGGCATGAAAGACGTCGACAAAGCATTCTACCTGTTCTCACTGATACTGCAGAGCAAAACACACATATAAAGGCAAAACAAAACAAAAACAAGGAATCAAGCAATAAACATCAACAACAACAACAACAGCAACAACTCTGTAGCCCACCTCCTCAATGCCTTCCATCTCTACATCTCCACCAACCTCTTCTGTGATGTTTTTTCTGCTGCGAGCGGCTTGAGCCTTAACGTAGAAGAAACAAAACAGATATCAGACAGTAGGACACATGTATCTATATGATAAAACTACAAAGAAAATCTAACATAACGCTACGAAGGCAATCTAAGTGAAAGTAAGAGAGGACCAGCTTGACAGGAAGTTCCCTTTGTTGGTTGGTAATCAATCAGGTTGCAAGACAACTAAAACTCTCTAACTACCTAGTGCCGTCTAAAATCTTGTGACGGTCCTCGGCAACGACAAAATCGTCGGAGAATTTTAAGTGATTCAAGTGTGTCATTCAAAATTTTGTAGTTATAATCAAAGTCCTTGAAATTAAAGGAGGATTTTTCCACTATCAGATAGGCCGGAAAAAATTTCCCACCGACCTTTGTTAGCAAGATCTATGGACGTCGAAGCATTTGAAAAATATATTAAGAGCTTTATCACATATATTAACAACAGTCCATAAGGTTTACTCTGAAAGTTAAAAATGATGAGGAAAATGAGCGCAAACAACAAAATTAGAATGCACTAGTCGTTAGCAAAAATCCTGCCGTGTTAAGGTTTTCTTCAGAGAGAACGCATCAAATAGAAGAGATTAAAGTGCAATAAAAGGCCTGAAAAACTGACCGTGAAAAAAACCGACCTTCAAAAATGTAGAACGTGGCAACTTCGCCCTGTTGTTTCTCGGTTTCATCTCACGATGTGCTTGGACGATCAGCTTCTTTTTCTCTCGAATTCTACGAAAAAATATATTAAGAAAATAATCAGCAAAAAAGTATTTTTAAAACTAGACAGGGTTGAATTCGAATCCACAGAAACTCGAGTCACATGCTAACTCAAACTGATATTATTTCCTAGTATAAGATACCCTCATAATTAAATTACTTCAAATAACGCGAGGTAATATTTTGTCATCTGATAACTTCCTCCACAGTTTTTCCTTTCAGATAAATCGCCTCGCTAAAGTTTAGTAATTAAGTTTCTTTTTTGTATTCTTTTCACTCCTTAAGGTTCGTTTTCTTGGAAAAACATCTTTCAGTTCTAAGCTTTTTCATAGTTCAACTCTATTCAAATCCATTGCTTGAAACTACGTGTATAAATTAAAATCTGTGATCAATACCAATTGTAGTTGTTCCGCCTCACACAACGTATTTAAATCGATCTGAATCTGTCACCTAATCTCGCTCAGTGTATTACATGTACTTCTAGATATACGAGATAGCAAAACTTTTACATCCACTCATAAAAACGGAGTTACGAATTCGCGTCGATACAAGGCTTATTTGAAGTAAAACAATTCCGAAAACATATAAAATGCATGAAGAACAATCTAAGAACTCACTGCTGTGCTGTTTTCCTGATTTCCTCTTGTTCAGGGGTTAGTTCTTCCTGAAAAAATAAAAATTAAAAATTATGATAATACATAAAAAATAGAAAAAGAGGGAAAAAGGCTACAGCACAATACCTCTGTAGAGATTTGTCTTCGGTTGTTATGGTTTCTTTGATTAGAGAATTCTTATTTAGGAGTTAAAGACTGACCGCTATCACAGTAGAGAAGTGTTTCACTAAATACCCACTGAGTGAATATCTATAATTATAATCTGTCCGTCACTCACAGACTCTGAGTCGTAAAGTCCTGCAGCTTCACGCAGCTCTTCCTCTTTCTCCAACTCTTCTAGTTTCTGTAACAAACGACACAAATTAGCACGTACGTGAGGTAAAAAGTAAAAAAAAAAAAACATTTTTGGAGTGCATGCTCAAATGAAGGAGTATCACTCTAATAACTGACCGCAACCTTTGCCTTTTTTTTAGGTCGATACTTTATCCAGGTATCTCGGTATGGAGAAATTTAGGTTTACCACTGCTTCCACCAACATTCATTCTGAAGTTTCGAGAGCAGTCCTTAATCAAGGCGTTAACCGTTTGCTCATTATTTATTTCAGACTTAAAGCCTTCAACATCGAGTCGACACTTCATATAGAGTATTGGGAATCGAGGGTGTCAAAATGTGACACTCGTTTCTCGCGAGTCCAGCGTGTCGACATCCTCCTCACGCGATACTCGTGCCACTTGAAAAAGCAAACTCTAACAAATAAACTTGTACCTGCACTTTTGTTAAGAATTAAACCTGGTTTCCTCACTAACATATCATCCAAAAATACCACTTAAAATTCACCTTCATAATGTCTGGGTCGATAAAGTCAGCTACATTCTTTCCTAGGTAGATCTCGGGTATAATGTCATGTTTTTCCTCATCGTTCTTCAAGTCCCAGTGTTGCCGCAAGTCCATATAATAATATTCTCCCAGTTCGTTCTCAAGATCCTTTGCAAGTTTCCTCTTAGGTTCCGCTCCTTCCACTGACATGGCTTGTCTCTTTTCAAGAACAGCCTAAGGGTACAGTTAACCAAACAGTTACAAAAAGTTGGGTTACACCTCGTTGTAATATACAACGTTTATTCAGCGAATATGGCTAGTCGCACGAGAGGAGTTACTTCAGGTGCGGATCAAGACATTACAAGTGAATACTGCTGATATTCTGCCGGCGATGAAGTCGACTTACAGTTATCTTGCTTCGCCTCATGCAGCGTTATGCTCTACTGCAATTGCTGAGTGATTTTAGCAGCTGTAATTGGCGCATTTATGTTTCCTGAGATAATCGAAATGCGCCAATCACAACTAAATGTAGGTTTTCGATTGGGAAGATGGGATATACGGTCAATTAAAATATTCATACTGCATAAGAAAACCACTAGCTTCAGTCTTAGAGACAAAAATTGCAAAAGTACGACTCTTGTTTAATTTCATTCAAACTCCTTCGGAATAACAGACCCCTTAACTGGTCAATCGTAAAACAAATCACGAATCACTAAGCTCTTTGTTTTTTAATATGCATTTACAATTTTGCATCATGACTATACACAATACAAACATGTAAATGAACTGCTGGAGCACAATTTACAAATAATTTACCTGTGGTATGCATGGAGGTCTTTCTTTCTGATCTCGCTGCGTTGGCATGGCAACATGAAGTCTGTTCATGACATCCTTAGCTTTTTTACTTTTCATTTTAACCTCAACCCTCTGAGCCAAGAGCTGATCACATGCCTCAGTTTTGACTGTCATTATTCCTTCCTCACTAACGGTGCTCATGGAAAGAAGTGTCACTCCTAATAAAACAAATACATAACATATAAAACAATAATAAAATAAAACAAATAGTAAAACCCACAATAAACTCAACTCAAATGTTGTGCCACTGAGTCCAGGAATCAAACCCAGGCTACAGCAGAAGGAGATGATCATTCTTGCCACTGTACACTTCTCTTTTTCACACTAGATATCACATTGATCAAACTGAAGCTTCAACATCTACCCCCCTCCCCCCCCCCTCCAATGCAACCCCATGGCATTTAAACTTTTGAAGATTGGTTTCCCAGGACAAAAATTGCATTCAAATGACCCACTCCAGTACAATTTTTTCATTGAATAATTCTTTGTGTGATCAACTAATGTTGTAGAATTTGGCAGCACTATGTATTAGTTTATTGGTGCATATGTATAGTTGTTTCCTTGTACACTCAAGTGGACTCTTTATTTATAAACTTCTCCATAGTTAAAATTAGAACACATGTACCAGTTCAGATTCCTTACCCTACTCAGGCAAGGTTTTAATTTCCCACCCCCAGGGCACAACAAACAGTCATGCTGAGAAAATCATGAGAAAATCCAACTTCTGTGTGAGAGATTATTCAGCATTAATTGATTTCCAGTTGATTTTTTGCAATAAGTGACAGATGATTGAACAATAGGATCATATCATATATTTAAAAATGAGAGAGACCAGTGCATGAGATGAAAATGGTGAAAGAGAGAGGGAGACCAAGATGACTTTATAAATAAAACATGAAGTTTTGGCAGATTCTTGGCAGATTCTTAAGTCCCATTTCCGACACAGATGTGCAATGGATTTCAAAGTATTATAAGTAACAGACAAGTTTTCATTGGGAGAGACAACCTTGACAAACCTTAATAATGAAGGGTGATCACATGCATGAAGCTGTACATGTGTGTCTACATGGCCACATAAACTTACCGTCCTGATTGAAAACGTTGAGCAGTTCTCTCTTCTCTTCAGTCAGTTCCTCTGGTCTGATTACATCCACCTTGTTCAGCACCACTATCAGTGGTTTGTTAGCAAAGAGAGGTTTAATACCATTAAACAGTTCAATCTGTTCCTCAAGCGTGTGCCCACACTGCTCGGAAACATCCATAATGTAAAGAATGGCAGCACGCAGATGAGCAAGGGCTGTGATGGCCTGGTGAAAGACAAAAAAGTTAATTGAATAAAAAGAATAAAAAAGTTTTGAATTCATGTCCAGTAAAAGTAATTTTGACCCATTTACTTTCTTTTCATTCATCTGTTCACATCTAACAAGTGGTGAAATGGAAGACCTACATACTGTGGCTGAGTACTATCTTCAGCGATCTTAATCTTAACCCTTTAACTCCCAAGATCTCATTAGTAATTCTCCTTACTGTCTGCCATACAGTTCTTGTGATGTTAGTTTGCAGAATTTGGTATTGGATCAACTTATAATCTCCTAACTGATATTTTTCTTTATTCTCATCACTTATCTGCTTGATATTGTATTGATATTGTAAGGAGAAATTCTGTTTTGGTCACTCATGGTAGTTATGCAAAAATGCTGAAAGAGTGTTTGAAAGAGAGTGTTGAGATATTCATTTAAAAAGTTTTTAAATGCTCAATTTTTCTTTTCTTATCTATTATTATTTTTCTTGTTTCATTTTTGGGCTTCTTACCCTGCGCGGCTTACATGTATCTTCAATGTTGTGATTATCAAAAAGCAGAGAAAAAGATGCCCCTCACCTGCATCTCTATTGTGTTACGCTCCTCTAAGGAGTGGTCAAGGATTCCTGGTGTATCAACAACCTAATTTCAAAAGAAATTTTTATTTGCTGAAACATTAAGAAATTGCCTGCACAAATTTCAATTATCAATATAGCTGTTGTATTGTATATCATCACAATCATTTTTGACATAAAATGCAGCTAGAGTATCTGATTTATAATGTAAATAAATGATTGCATTAAAAAAAAAGGGACACAACATTCCATGTATTTCCACTATAAATAAGACAATGATATCCTTTCAGCAAACTAACTTCAGAGAAGAAAGGAATAAAAAAACAAACAAAGATAAACAGGGATGACTAAGGTCGGGGAAGGTTAATTAAGACAGGTTGCAATTAACAAATGTAACTCTTTAACTCCCAAGATCTGATTGTTCATTGTCCCCTCTAGATGCTCCACATTTCCTTGCAAATTAGTAGGGAGAATTTGGAATTTGGTTTTGAATCTATACGTAGATGTTCCTGGTAAGTTTGAGTACTCTCATTACATATTTGCTGGATAATGTATGAATAACACAGGGAGATATTGAATGTTGATCACTTCTGGGAGTTTAAGGGTTAAACAATTTAGTTGAATTTTTTCACAATTCACACAGAGCTTCATAGCTCCTTCAAATGAAAGGCTAATAGTTTGTTCATAAGAAGGAACTCAGAATTGAGTAACTTCATAGCTATAAAATGTTAACATTATTCATTCCACTGATACAGTGTTAAAGTCACTTGACAGTAATGTATATGTATAAGTAGTCCTCACCTGCCACCTGAGGTACTTGTAATCCATGTGACCAACAAACAAAGACTTGGTTGTAAAAGCATAAGGTTGGACTTCCACATCTGCACGAGTCACCTACAGTACCATTCAAAAGTAAGTTGGAGGACTTAATGGAAACTTGATTCGCAATACTCGAAACTATCGAGAATCAAGGCTCGAGTATCGAGTATCAAGTACTAAGGATTGATATGCTTAAAGACCTTTTTGAAGATCTTGATTCACAGTTTTGAGAAAATGATCTAAATATTGCACACAAAACAATAGTGAAGGACAAAGAGCTCAACACACAACTTGTCTTAAAACACAAACAAATACACATGCAAATATGTTCATATCATACAAAACTCCAGTTTTAGCCAAGCCCTGACTTAGTGTTGTTAATATCATTTACATCTACAAAACTTAATTTTAGAACACGTGAACTTTAGGCATACAAGTGTTAGCAATCTTCTTTGATCACAGTATAATCAACCAACCAATAAAAATGTAAACAAAAATATTTCCACTGAAGCTATTATTTAAACATTTGATGATAATTCGTTCCTTTTCCCTGTAGACAATGCTTTTTAATGATGGAGGATAAATGTGGCTGATTTGAGATTTATTTCAAAATGCACAAAACATGGCTCAGTACATGTAGCTCTTCTCATAAATTATCATATACAAAATAAATGTTCTCCTAAGGCTTGGAAAATATTGCTTAAAATCCCCTTAACTTCCCCATGAAATAATGGATCTCCCAAATTTTGCTACATATAGATTTCCATATCTTGTAAAGTTTACTTTAAATAAACTAACAGTAACTACAAAGTACATCCATGTAATTACATGAATATGATTGTATGAATATGAATTTGTGTTTCATTTACACAATCATGTATCTTACCTTATTCATGAAGCTTGATTTACCCACATTTGGAAAGCTGAAAAGTATGACACACCTCTTAAAATTTCACAAATATCTTGTTTGAATTTTTTTTAGTTTCCTTATTAGTACATGTATCTATCACATAAGAAGAGATTTGGAGAAACATTTGCCTGTGAAGTTCAATGCTAAAGCTTATGTATTTAGAGGTTTCTTTGTACACTGTACATGTATTCTAATAAAGTTCTAGCATTGAAATTTAAACACAGGTACCTATCAGTAGAGTTATGACTTACCCACAGACCAGTAGAGTTCTTGTGTTTGGGTCTATTGATGGAAGTCTTGCCACATGCTGTCGAACTGCACGTAAGCAGAAATAAAATGATAATAAATAGTAATAAAAGGATAGTTAATAAACAGTCATTTAAGTGTGATCATTGTAAACAATGGATGACACATATGTCACCCTTTTTACCTCTGTTTACCAGTATTATTTATATAAGTTGCAATTTTTCAGTACGGTAGAGTGCAATGCATGTAATAATTAAGTTATATCATTTCTATCAAGATTTAGTCATCATTAATAATGGTAACTGAACTGAGTGGAGTGCAATTTGGGCTGAAATCATACACATGATTTCAAAATTGAACGAGCACACTGTGCAAGTTTGATTTGAAATCACAAGTATGATTTCAGACCAAAATTGCACAACAAGAAGTTCAATTACCACTTTATTGCATCCATTTTGAAATCGCCCACGTACAGGATTTGGTCAGTTCAAATATGTTATTAATGTAGTACTGAGCTGGTTTGAAATTAAATCTTCCATTTTTTGGGGGTAAAAAATAAGAGTTTTGGAAACAAAAGTTGCAAAATTTGCCACATGATATTCTTTGTCTTTCATTTTCCTGCAATTTGATTGATTACTTAAAACAAGCCTTGAAATCTAATCACTTGTTTGTTTTTAGTGTAACCTCCTCATTGGCTGGGAAAAAGATGTGATTTAAGGCAAAAAATGGTGTAATTCATGAATAAATCGCACCAGTTAGAGCCAATCAGATTACAGGGACCACCAGTGATTTCAAAATGGGTGTAATAAAACATGTAACATATGCCATTGATGCAGAAACATCACAGATGTATACAAGCCTGCAGAATCAATTCTGATCAGTAAATGTCTTTCACATAAGTTAAACAAATCAATAAAGATATTTTGCTATCCTCCAAGAATATTTTGAAATCCAGCAAACTAGCTGCTGATAGGTCAGTAAAAACAATCTAACCTTGTTCCAGGTATTGCAAGCTCTGATTCTGCCTCTTCATAATTGTACACATCCTTAGAAGAAAATCAACATGAAAATTAATAACTGCCAACATTGTTGAGGTTAAACAGCACTCCTTACATGTACTTTTAAATGGTACACTTCAAGGCCGTAAAGCATATTTATGACAATTAAAACCTTCGGTATACTTAATATTACAAAGAGATACATGTATGTGTATTAGTGTGATAGGGTCAATGTCAGTATCTCAACAGAGCACACCTACCCCTCCCCTAATCCAAACTTAACCCTAACTTGGTATCAGTAGAGTGTTTTTGGGATAGAGGAGGGATACCTGAATGGTTGCTCAGAGACCAACATTGATGTGTGCAATAAATGATTGCTGCGAAATAATGTATTGATCTCTGCTGTTTTATTGTTTAACATGTACACTGTACATGCATCATACCATTTTACGATAAGGTTAGTCTGACAGAACAGTAGAGTGCAGATCTGATACAAAATACAGACTAATTATTAAAGAAAATATCACAGTTAAGTCTTGCACAGGATACCTACCTTCCCAAAGCTGCTCGTTTTAACTGTTTACATCTGTACAGTGAATCCCCGTACTTCATAAGCCTCACATAATCCTTAGCAACACTGTAAAGTAAAATTAACAGAAAAGAAACATGAACAAAATTAGATTGATCAGTTTGAAGATTGAAGTTTTACATTGGAATTCAATCTCTTAGATCATTGGCAACTGATTACTACCAAAGTCCAAATTTTGGAAATGTTCTTAAGTGACGATACTATGCTCATGTTTGTGCTCATCTTATTATTCAAGACCAAAAGTTGTGTTCACAGAATGGAGAATTGGCCATCAAGAGAAGAGTCCCAAAACAAAGGTTCCCACCATACTTACTGTTTATTCAAATATGCTTACTTGTCAATCAAGTGCCTGGCGGTGTTGATTTGTCCTAAAGCCAGCTTGTAATGATCTTTGTCGTAGAGTACATTCATCAAATCAGCATAGAAAGGATGGATATCCTGAAAAACACAACTTTCATTTAATTTATTGTTTGTATAGGTGTAAGTCAGACAGAGTTATAATTGGTTAAAATTGAAGTCACTGATTGCCTCAGGATCACCTGAGTAACTGACTACAGTTAAAATTAATTATCCAATGCACAATTACCTCTAGTCTTGGAAAATCTGTGATGATTTGTGTCAATTTGTCATGATAATTCTGTTGGGTGTACTTGATTTTTCTCATGTAAAAACCACGAATCCGGCTGATTTTGTAGTGTCTAGCAGAAAAACAAGAAGTTGATTCTAATCAAATATACAGTGAATGATAAAAACAAGAAAATATCAGTAATGAGTGTGATTGTCCAATTGCAATGGAATGAGCAATGTGAAGGTCAACTCTGGTTGATTTAAACTCGTTTTGTCGAAAAAATCAGTTACATGTGAGCTTTAACTGCCTCAGAGAACAGTTCTTTTTCACAGCTATGGTATACATCAAGAAAACTATATTAAATTGTCAACTTGGAATTCTTCACCACTGGAACCTATGAAAAAAAGTGATTCCAGTACTTGTACGGACAAAAATAAAAATTTTCTCTTAATTTCAGATTTAATACGTCTTTTCTGCGAGGTAACAGAGACACTAGGAAATGCATGTAGCTAAAACTTTATAGCAATTTACAAGTATCATTAAAGACTGTATGTCTGATTGATGATACAAATTGAACTGGAAGTTACTTCTAGTTCAAGAAAAAATGCTACTTATCAGCCGCTTCAAGAAATAAAAGAACATTTTGGAGAAAGAGTAAGACTGATTGAGTAGGAAAAATTTTGTTGTACAATAAGCTTACGCTAGCTCGAACTCAAGTCGACGAATGAAAGGCACACAGGTTTAAATAAGCTAATCAAACAAGTCAGAAAACAAAAATAATTTAATAGGCTTGTGTACCAAGATTTCAGCAATTACCCAGGCCAAAATCGCACTGAATTCGATGCGTTTTATCCCAACCAAAAATAACAGCTGACGCTAAAGATAAACAACTTACCGATGAATTACGGTCGGTGTTTTCCGCTGGGTTCTGGAGAGAACGATATCGACAAAATCCTTGAATAGAAAACGGGTTTTTTAGATACTTATCAACTCGAAAAAGAGCTATAATTGTCGTTCGATCCCTACCTTTGCCGAAGGTACAACTGTGATCTTCTTGAAGTTGTAGTGCGCCATGATGGAAAGCACACGTGAAAGGAACAACTTTCGTAATGCATCCGCTGAAGAGACTGAAGGCGCCGAAAGGAAACGATAGGGACGCAATGCGTACATAGTCATAGACGAATACTGAAAGAACCTAATCAAACTGGTACTGAAATCAAATTATAAACTATTTCGGGAAAATTTCCCTCACATGAAAAAAAATTATGTGGTCTTCTGATAAAAAAGATAGTTAAACATTCGAATATGACAAAGCCGAACTATCTAGGACTAGCATCATCCTCAGAGACCCGAAAGTATTTAGAAAAGGCTAAAGGAAGATAGAACAGCTGTTTCGATGGACAAAGGACGTTTTTATTTCCCTCCCACCCGATCATTAAACCCTGGGTTACGAGGACGGGCTTGCACACTAAGAGAAAAACGAACAAAGAAGATTGAATTTCTTTGAGGTGAGCGGAGACACTCTACTGAACTACTTTAAAATCTTTCTAAGATGATACAAAGTGCCTTTTTTCCCTCAAAAATAATATATTTTGTGATGATTTAAGAAAGTGGCATATTCCACGAATAACACCGTCAGCAACCGGCCGTTGCCCATTAAGAAGTTGACAGATGTCTACCGCCCAAGTTTCTAGAATTAGATGATTTACATCTTGTTTTAGGCTCGAGTCAGAGCCAGAAATCCCAAAAGACTCAAACAATCAGAATAAAAGCTTCTAACTAATTCTACGATTGAATTAGGATACATTATATGTTTATTAATAAGCTCTTAATCGTAAATGCCCTCAAGAAAACTAGGCCTCAGGCCTTACTGATCCATTGGAAATGTTTACTAGCTATATGGGATAATGTCAAGAGACGATGGGTTCAAAAACACGACTTTTAAGCACAAAGATATTGTGACTAAACCCAGATAAAATTCACGGCAGGTCACCACCAAGAAATCCATCGGGTGAAATTTTGTGACGAGGGAAAACAAAGCAACATCAAATAGTAAAAATAAAAACAGTAACAACAACGATAGCCTGTGAACCCGCCAGGAGCGAGATGGCAAACAAAGCAGAACCGGTTTTGCCGCAGCACTAATGTGAGCTTGCTGAAACAACAACAGCAACAACTTCAGATAACAGCAACAATAACAAAAACTACTACAACGAACAACCACGAAAGAGTGAAGTGGGACCAGGATGAAGCAGGGCAAAATGAAATCATAACTATTTAGTTGATTGCGTCGATTTTATTGAATAAATTCATGACAATAACTTAGCTTCTGTCTATACCAGTAATGCTCGATTACCAGAATGTTAACTATTTCAAAATCTTTTCATTCATTTTCTCTTTTCATTAACATCTCCTGTGCGGTATAATCTATTGAGCGTTTTTTTTTGCCTTCCAATCTGCCGTTTTAGATCGTGATTTTCTGAAGCATTAACACGAGAGTCGCGGACAAAACTGTTGAGACAACTACGCCAAGTGTAAATGGGGTAACGGTTTCTAAAGAAACTGTGGTGTTGCATCAGTGGAGGGTAGTACAAGATATTTGGTTTTATCAATTGCCGAGGCGATAATCTGAATTGGCTACCATAAAGAGTAGACCTACAGTAAACCTTTTTTCAATCCTGGTTCATATATGGCACTTTTCTTGGCCTTTGTGCCTCATTCATTGTTGTTTGCGTTATTTGTCCTCGCCGGCGAAACATACATTTGACATATTGGGTCAAGGAGGGCGCAGTGAGGAGGGGTGTGATTTTTGTTCTTTTCCAGTGAGATTTGAGAAGCGAGACTATCATAAATGAACATCCTGTCCAAACATGTTTCGTCCGCGATTGTAGCATACCTATTGTTTATTTCTCTTTGAAGTCTAACAAAAAAAATTCGATTCCGGTGTTCTACCGATGAGCCTTCAGTACCAGATTAAATCTCATGTATTTCTTTTATCACAAAATGACACAACAACTTTGTCCACCTGAAAGGCAACAAAAAAATACATATATAACACAGATCGTAGAAAAAAGAGTAAATTCTTTCACACCGAATTTTCGTTGAGGCTCTAAACGACCAACACTAAAAGTACGTTACGTCGTTACGTGCAGCTGAAGAAGTGACGGCACGATACGGTGGAACCTCCACCTCAAAAAAAGCGATCGCCTGCAATGTAAAGTCTGCATATGCACTTGAGATGAGTCGGGCCGCAGGGAGTCAAAAATTAAAAAAAAAAAAAAAAGAGAGAGGGGCTCATTATCCATTGTTAAAGGTGGAGGGGTTCGAAAAGACAGCGCCGGGTTAGATGGGAGAGTTATAGGTTAATCAGAAGAGAGAATCATGGATCAAATTCTCGGAGCCATTGAGTAAAAAATTCAGAGTGTCGAAGGAAAGCCTGAGCGTTTTAATTGCTGCTGAAAAATATCATTTTTCAAGTATTTTACAAAGACCTAAATCACAAAAATTGGACTTTATTACTCACCTCCCCCTCCGGTCCCTGCCGGTTTGACATTTTCGGGGAACTGCCCCCGGACATTCCCTGGGGGCTGATATCGCGCCACGACAAATTGTGCTCCGCTTGAACTGACAGCTTTTCCGGCTCCCATTTCTTTAGAACTTTGCCAGACTATCTGGGTAAAATGGCCGGTAGTCGAAGAAAACCCTGGGTTTCTGAAGCTGTATTTGTCGTGTTCCTCGTACCACATATCAGTTACCTTTCTCCCTGTCAGTTGCCCTCCTACGACACACACAAAAAAAAATCAGTTAATAAATAAGGCGGATTCATTGAGTAAATTATCGAACATACCAAGTAGTAAACAAATGAGGAAAATCATAGGTCGAGATAGAGGAAAGTTCTAAAATTCGCTTCACTTAGATCACTGAATGTTTCTTTCAATCTTCTCAATGTATCTTTCATGTGAAAAACGGCGCGTGCCAAATTCCATTATATTTCAAATTACTTACAAAGGCAACAATGAAATCGAATATAGAAATTCTATAAAATAGGGTCAGTAGTAAGCTAGATTGTTTTCATTTCATTCGTTGTTCCATCGATGTTTTCAGTTAATTTTTTTACAAGTGCCAACTTTGCTCGCGTTTTGCAGAGTTTTGCAGTCTTACAGGTTTATCTTTGCCGTAGGTGATTTTTTGTCTCAAAATCTTTGAGGAATTCGAGTTTTATCACAGTGACGACATGATTTACCATGGTATCTAAGTTAAAAGGAACCGAGACCGCCTAATGACCAGCTAAAACGTCCGGGATGCCGCGCACGAGAAAAGACACGCGAGTGGTCCACGACTTGCGTGCGTTTTCCCTCTCATTCTCTTTTCTTGCGCGCAACTGGTAATTCAGTTGTTCCTGGATGTATAAACTGCAGAAAATCTAAATATCTATCTTACCGGACATATAAGCAATATTCTCTCCGTAGTCATTTGAGCTGCTGGGCTGTATACAGTTCCTACTTGCCAAATCTTCTGCCCAAGATTGTGCCTCCGCAGCCAGTTTCGAATTCCATTTCAGAGAAGGTGCACCATGTTGGGTGCGGATTTCGTTGTGTGACTTGAGAAGTTCATTCTTGAATTCCCTGGTGCTTTCTAGTTCAGAAAATGAACGATATTAATGAGTTACGTAGGAAAAGAAGGAGTTCAAAAGAACAATTATAAGAGGATATCAGGTAGCTGAGACAAGTCTTTGCGACAAACCATTCATCTGGACTTCATCCAAAACAGATTCGTACGATCAATTGCTTTGATTATCGCATTCAAACAAAACAGTCTGGATTTGCGCCATTTGCTTTGGGGATAAGATTCTGCAGCAAGGTTGAGATTTTCACAAAAATTCTCTGCGGAATACGAAGTGAATGATTGGTTGTTGCGACTTATCAGCATGATAACAAGCAAAATGAAAACAACCAAAATCCAACAACAAACCCATGAATGAGATTTGTAACCTCTCGTAACCTGTAACCTGTCCCGGGATACACTAAAACTAGCGAAAAAAAAACCCGTATCGCGAGAAAATTTTATTCCCAAGGCAGCGTTTGGTACCAGCGTTTGCATCGCAAAAGATTGGAGCATTTTTCCTTGCATTCCCATATCTTCCCCTCTCGGTGCACATTGCTTATTTAAGTACAAAGGAAACCTTCAGACCAAGATCGAAATCCGGAGTAGAGTTTTAGATAACCAGTCATTAGAACAAATGAACATTAGTTCGGAAAAACGTCGTCAAACTCACGTGGTTTGTCAGTAGCGCCTTTGGTATTGACGGTGACTTGCACTTTCCCACCCACTGGCCTGCTACCTCGAGGCTGTTCCGTCTTCTTACCAGCATTTTTGGAAATCTTAGACCCTTTGGGCTGGACATTTTCCGGAAAGCGCCCCAGAACGTTCCCAGCAGGGTAGTACCGTGCAACTACAAATTGTGTGCCATTAGCGTTGCTTGCTTTGGCGACCCCCACCTCCTGCGAGCCTACCCATATAACTTGGGTAAAGTGGCCTGTTCCTGAAGAAAATCCAGGGTTGCCAAAGTTGTAGTCTTTGATCTCTTCGTACCACATATCTACGGCTCTCTGACCTGTTAGTTCATAGCCTTGGAGAGAAGTATCAAAATCATCAAAGTTTGACGCAGTAGAATAAATTCAACATGTTTGGATGCGAGTAAACTATAGAGACGTCATACTGTGAAACGACAACCTCTACTTGTTTAGCCGCTGTTTTCATGGACGCAGCAGCAGGAAAACGACAAAAACTTCTATGGTAGGACCTTACTTAATGATATGAAAGGCCATATGGATCAAGTCAAACCACGAAAGAGAAAACTCTGCTGTCTCAATTTAATTAATTTCTTTGGGCGGAAAGTTTAACACCAAACCTCGACTTGATTACCTCGAGCAAGTTCTCCTCGATCGAATCTAAATACATGCCAGGTGGGGTTTATTATATCGATTCACTTCCAATCAGTTTTTTTCCTGTCTTTCCCATGTTTTTACGCATTTGCGTCACCAATACGTAGGGTTTGCCTTTGCAACATATAATTTTCCTATCGGACATAGTGAGCTTTCCTAATTTTCTCTTGGTGCTAGGCAACGCACCAAAAATCAGCATATGGTAAAGGAGTCACTAAACTAGCGGAAACGAACGTGACAACTTTGTTGTTCCACTCGTGAAAAGAACACAATACAAACAAACGATAAATTTCAGCTCACAGAGGTTCCAATTCCTCGTGTCATGTAATAACCTGCGGTAGAAATGTAGCTTCGGAATGAAAAGAACGAGGAAAGTATGGGTCGGGTCGCGACCTCCCTCGTTTTTTCACTCCACTGCTTCTATCGCGCCGTTTATTATCTCACTTCGTCTTACCAACTGAACCTTAGGAACAGGCTAGTCTCGTACCCAGACCTACCACGACCAAGCGGTTGTAAGATCCTACATTTCAGTTTGTAGGACCCGAGTAGGAGAATAGGTAAAGTCTATGTGTGCATGTGAGGGATGTGAGGCGAAGGAAACAAACAAACATACAAAAACAAAAAATCCTGATATGTTTACCTGAAGCATACGCAAGATTTTCGCCATCATCTCCAGTGTGATGTTGAAGGCGATTTAACTTCACCAGTTGTTTAGCCCATTTCTCCGCATCGGACGCAAGTTTTGAGGACCATTTCAATGGTGGGGCACCATGTTGAGCGCGGTATTGATTGTGCGCGTCTAAGCTCTCCTTCTGAAACTGGTTAGGCATGGCTGAAAAAAAAAATTAACTAGGTGAATAAACGTAAACAAACAATTAAATGACAATGAAACACTGTAAAATCAAGTTTAGAAGAACTTTCAAACCACAGGGGCGAGCAAACAAACAAGGATTGATCTGCAAACGCATTTCAAGCCGATGACGACGTGTCAAGCCACGAATTTCTATTTCGAACCGTGTTGGTCGTTGTCGAAGTTGGGCTATTGGCCAATATCGACCAATGGGTCTGTACGTGTCGCTAGGGTTGGTTACCTCAATATTGTGTTGACAATTAAAGACGACAAATAAAGGAAAAATATAAAAAAAGCAGCGGAAGTTCGTACTGTATTTTGCGACATGAAAGTTTTTTACGGAAATGACCATGTTTTTTCAAAAGCCTCTACAAGTCCGTCGGCGGTATGATGCTGAACTCTGCCAAAAATAATCAACTTCGGATATTGGTAAAATCTCGTGAGTCCCACATGATTGATGATATTTTACAGGGAAATGAACATGTTAATTAACCTAAGGAAGATTAAAGGATCATGTTCGTCCAAAATAATCCACTTATACCGTCTACTTTAAAGGGGATTCAAATATTTTCCCGTTAAAATTACGAAACGGACTTATAGAAATTCCGTCAGTAAATTAAAGGCTACTGCATACAAGCTAAATTTAGACAGTGAACAAATAACTCGGAGAAACATAGATTAAGAAGAATGGACTTTTAAACATCGCGCATTTAGTTTGAAGACACGTTGTTTAAACTTCAGAGTGATGTATAATTGTTACCAAATACCATCTCTGAAACCACTAAGCAATATTCACAAATTCATCAAACGCTGGCAATCCTAGACAGAATCAAAACTGAAACTAGCTTTCACCAGGCAATATCACTTGATGAACAAATATTTTAGAATTGTGATTGAATCGATGAGTTTCGAAACCGTATCTTTCACAATATTAAGTAATTTTCGAGTTTCACTCCGATTATAAAGGAGTGAAGTTTGCCTTGCCTCACCTTCTCTTAATGACTCGAAACAAATGCTACTCCTCTGGCGCAATGTGGACTCAAACTGTTCAGAATTGATATCCAGCCCTTCGCTCTATATATAATTAAAACTGTCTGATAACTCAATAAATTTTAGCCCGTTTAAAGGCATGCCGGAAATGGGACTTCTCAGCTCTGACGTCATAAGGTGTCACGCAATCACACAAGAGTAGTTTTGCGCAATCAGGCGTTTCTTCGTCATCAATTAAGTATTTTTTCCATAAAAAACATTACAGTATTAAACCACTCATTCTTTGAGGGCTTATGATTTTGCTTAAATTGCCAAGTTCCACATTTCGATGCAAAGCGTGAGAAGATCTCAACACAGGAAGTGCGTAAAACCAAAAGTAAGGAAGGTCATGTGCTCTCAGGTGCTGTGCACTTTCTGTTTTGTTGCGTGACAGAATGCGAATTTAAATCATAATAGAAAGTGATAGAGCTGTATAAAACATGGCGTACCAAACAAATAGATAAATAACAAAATTTCTTGCTTTAGTGATTTCATGACTGATCAACAGCCTGAAAAAATTCCTTGAGGCATTTAAAGCCTTCTTTGCAAACACCACATAAATAGTGCAATGCTCAGTAAATGTTTTGATATTATCAGAAACAACACAGAGCAAATACCTGTGGCTAACTGATAATTTAAAAGTTATTGTAAGGGTCGTGCGCAGATCTTTTGTAACAAGAAGACGCAAGAATAACACGCTTGGGATTTATTTCCCAGATTCAAAGCGACATTTTTCAGTCATTTCACACACCTACTGTATAATAATACTTGAAAGGACGATGATACAACATTCAAACAGCATTTAAGATTGTACCCTAATTATGGTCGATGCAATGCGCCAATTATTGACTAAGTTTGGTGCTCGCCGTCAAAATGTCAGCAGCAACTCAAAGTTCCGAGTCAAGTTGTTTACCTTAATATTGCTCCGTTCATTCGGACATGTTTTTAAAAGTTGTAATTAGCACGCGTTCATCCGTTCCTAAAGGTCTTCTAATTTTAGTATAGCAAGTTATTTTCTTTCATGGTTCTTTGCAAGTTATTTACCTCTCCTTTGTTTGCGGTTATAACAGCACTCATTTAACGCCTCGGTGAGCATTAAAGCTAGTTTATATTCTAAAATACGAACACTGCGTGTGGCAACTTGTTTTTTGTTCCGCAGTAAATTGATTTGTTTCATTCACAGCTGTGGACCTCCGTGTATAATAACTATTTTTTTCTTGATTAACGAACATACTCCATGCTACGGTAATTTAATGAAGCGAGTCATGCCCTATTAAAATGATAATTGTTTGCAGTTTGGACATTTCGAAGTTACAACTTTGATTCTCGCTTTGTACACTTCTCTTAGAGAAGAATTTGAGACACTGATTCTCCTCAAATCGGTGAGGTAATAAATTGGTCATTTGTGACTTATAAAATTCGCTTAGAGCTCAGCTGCTGAAACTTACGGGTGATAATTGAGTAACTTTAGCTTCAGCTTATAGTCATAAACAGTGAAGACAACTCACCTTAGACAACTAAATTCGCGTCCAACAACTATTATCGATTTTGAACCAGCTTAAACGCTTCTGTAGCTGAATACAGGATCTCGATTTGCGGTAAATAATTTACGAAAAATTTCCAATTCCGCAATAAGCTATGTCACGCGGTCGCACAGAGAATAAAATTTGACAGCTAATAACCTTTAGTTGACATACTTTGCTTTGAATTGTAAATGGACATCGGATTTGATTGGCCAATTGGACTCGAGAGAGCCAATCATTCTGCTTTGATGCACACACATTATTAACACGGTCGACATCTGAAACAATACAAAACTTGGAAGAACAACACGTTATCGCGAAAGGAACACAAATGACAAAGAGAGTAATGGTGGGGGGAGGGGGAGGGGGGAGGGAAGAGGAGAACGGAGCAAGTGTGCTGTGTTTCTTCTGACATTTCTTGATTTTATTTGTGCACCAATCGAATTTATTTGATTACTCAATCAATCGAAAAAGTGATGCTTGTCAACGGAACGGTATTTTGAAATACTTGACTGTTGTATTCCTTTCTATTCGTCAGTGTCATCCGGTTGCGATCTCAACATGCCCTGGGGATATTTTACAGCGGCCTATGGAAACGCTTAAACAAGATTGCAAACTCAAATTGAAAATAAAATAACTGAAAGCAGACAACAACAGACGGAGCCCGCTGTTCGACTGAGGGGTCAGAGGAAGGAGAGGAAGTAACGGTTTGTTCAAGCTTCGCTCAGCCGCAAAAATTATATTTATTTCCGTTTTGTACCCCCTTCTAAAACTGATAGACAGAGAAACAACTTTTGCTTGACAAAAAAACCAGTCCATGTTCATAAGTCCAGTCCATGTTCTTGCTCTTCCAGAATTCATAAGAGTGTTTTTGCCCGTTAGAAAGTCTTTTTTTGTTTGTTTTTTGTTTTTTGCAAGAGATTATAAACTGTTTACAATCACCTATTTTTGGTTGATGAAACTGATAATTATAATAAAAATGTGGTTTCAACTCCAAAACAAAACAAGTATTGCTAAGCTAATGGGAAGTGGATGATAAACCCCTTGAGGTCCAGCGAGAATAATTTTGAGGGGATCGGCATCGACAGCTTTACCAGTTGGAGGCAACAGGTACCTGCTCAAGCTGAGCCCACAGGCATCTGTCAGTGGAGGCTACTGTCAATATTAGCAAATAAAATAGGCTGTTATCTTCGCTAACATGATTAGCACCGCTGACAATTTCGCGGTCTGATGCTCTACAACTTGGCCTAACATAAAACTTTACTTTGCGTATAAGCATAATCATAGTGTTTCACTTTTCCTAACCCATTAAGACCGGTACCGATGTTTGTCGTAATATCAAAACCATTGTGTTTACAACAGCCAAATCAGAACAAATGAAAGGGCGGCCAACTAGAACCGTAAGTAAAAAAAAAAAAGGAAAACTGCCTGAAGCGCGGGAAAAATGGGAATGAACAAGTCGTGGTTTGTCTTAGTTTTGAATCTAATTGGTTGACAAAGTAGCGCAAGTTTTCGGAACCAATTACGGAGCGAATTAAAACAAACCAAAGAAATCCCAGCTTACTTTCATGATTCAATTCAAAATTTCCTCAAACTTGACCATATCAGAGCGTGACAATTGTTTACACCGCGGTTATTACCTGATAATATTGTACAGAAGCTCTCTACGCAAGTTTTCGGAACCAATTACGGAGCGAATTAAAACAAACCAAAGAAATCCCAGCTTACTTTCATGATTCAATTCAAAATTTCCTCAAACTTGACCATATCAGAGCGTGACAATTTTTTACACCGCGGTTATTACCTGATAATATTGTACAGAAGCTCTCTAGCGAAGTATTGGATTGGTAATTGCATTTCTATATTCGTACATATTTCACGGCAACAAAACATGCTGAGAGGTGTAAGTTATGCAACACGGGTTTCGAAAATAATTTTTGTTAAGAGAATATAAACTGTTCTCGTGTTTTTCTGAGTGCACTTTGAAACCTATGCACCATGCAACCAAGAATAATCAAATTATCGAGGAAAAAGAGTATTTACCACTAGAAAAGGAATAATTTTCCATGTTACTTTAGCGACAGTGAAGTGCTTTTATTTTCAGTTTTTTAGTTACTGACAGCAGTTTGACTTATTTATCACCTAATGGTAGAAAAGGTTAGTAATGTTTCATTTGAGAAGTAGATAGCTCATCGAAAGAGAGCACTCTGTGTATAGAAGAACGCTTTTCAAACAAGTGTAATAAAGATATTTTAAGAGCAAGTCATCTTGTGTCCGCACGTCCATTACGTATATGATTCTAGATCACTTTCGTACGTTTAAAATTATTTGAATTTGACTTTTTGTAAAGTATTAAGTGTTTTACACTTACTCTCTTATCGGATAGGTTGTCAAAAAAATCTTTCAGCAATCAAAAATAACACAGTAAAGGCAACGATTTTATGTTAAGTTGAGAGAGGATAAAAATTCAACTAAAGGTGAGATCGCAAATTTTGAAGGATGTGAAAACATGTGTCAAATGATGAAAGATGTGTTTTCGATGTGAATCAATGATGCTCCAGAAATGCCTCTCACAGCGGTCAACATTCACTCAGCCACACTCCTTTTCACTATTACTACGATTTTTGCAAATCCAGAGTCAATCCTTCCAGACGAAGATTATCAGGAGATCGTCTCCTTCCTAATTCTCCAAATAGCACGCTGCAATCCATGGAGGTAACAGTAAATACACTTAAATTGTCTCGAGGTCTCAGCCATTAGTCCAACGGTTTTAGTACGGGGAACCGATAAGAAAATTCTATTAAGGCGATGAAGGAGGAAAAGTCCAAAGATACAAAAAGAAACAAAAACAAAATGAAAATTGATGATTGTAAAAAACAATTGCGTGAAAAGCATTCATCCCCAGAAATAAGCTCAGAATGAAAACAATTAGGTGAAAGAAAATGAAAAGAACTTGTCAAAAATCGAACCAACGAAAGGCACTTTCAGTAGTCTTGTATAGGTAATAACATGATTTCGAATGCAATTTGGTGTTAATAAACAAAGCTAACAAAATTGTTCGAGCCCGTAGCGCGAGTGCAGTTTGTAGTCTTTGAAAAATTTATAGGTGCTTATTAACACCAAATTGCACTCGAAATCATGTTGTTACTTTTTAATAATTTACGTGAGAAACGCATCCTAGAAAGTCAAGACGGACAAAATTTTGGCAACCCATGCTATTTGCAGTTTGCAGTCTTGTTACAACTCAGCACTCGTGTTCCACGAAAAATGCACTCGGTTTCAGCCAATCAGATGCGCATAATTTTTTCATGTATTACAACTTGAAATCGGACGCAGAGAACAATTTGCATGCAAGGGCTGGGGCTTGAAGTAATGGCGTTATTGTTTCTTTCTTGTTTTGTATTCTTTTATTCCCTTTATTTAAAATTGAAACGATAGTAATTGCCTGAGAAGCTTTTAGGACAAACAAATTGTTTCCCACCTCGCCGCTATAGCTATAGGCCTCATTACATCTGTATTTTCAATTTATTTTCACACGAAAAGAAAGAAAAAATCGCATTTTTCAAGGTATAGTGGATAACTTAGCTTCGAAATAGAATCAGGAATGGTCGTGACGACAAGAAACCAAAAGACTCGGTAAGGTCATGTAAGCGGTTTGCTGTACAACTTTCTTTTACTTTTTGCGAAATATTTTTCCAGCTATGAACGTAATCTTTTTCTTAATTGAGCCAAATTTCGAGAGAACGGGGTTAAACGTATTTGAAAATTGCAGGTACCACAAACTCTACGGTGATGGGTATGGAAAACGAGCGAAAAATTAAGAATGAGGAAAAATTAAACAAGATCTCGATTACTGTATATGAAAAAAAGGGGCGAATAAAGTGAGCTGACTACAAGTCAGATAAGATAAGATAAGCTGTTGTTTGAAAAAGGATACCTTTCTTTTTCTGGTTCAGAGATTTGGATTGAAGATTTCATGAACGGCTAATGGAGCACACACCTCCCAAAAAAGGTTTTTATCCTTACTGAACTGGCTGATTTATTTCATCTTATAAATTATCGCCTCGTTTATCGAAAGGACGTCTGTATCATTACAATTTAATAAGTCTAAGGGTAACATGAAGTGGAAATGTTATGGAAACGACGAGGTGAAGGAATGACATGAACATATAGTTTTTTTTTTTTTTCTTTTGGCAAATGAGAATCAATTGCAGTAAAAGATGTCCAAACTTTCTATGTACATCACAGTAAAATTTCTGGAAAATCATTTACTAAGGTTTAAATATTTCACATTCATTCAAGGGCGTTTCGTATATCTTAAGATGGATAACTGCTAGCAACTTGAGCTGAGAACCAAACCGACTAGCAATCTAAGAGGAAAGGTTTTTTAGACGGAAGCCGAAGGTTTGATCTTTGTGATATCGTAAGTAATATCTCTCTCCCAGATAAGAATTCAAAATACAAAAGTTGAGCAACATGACCGGTCTTCAATTTTCCGTCATCCGAGTTATCTTCATACTGATGCAGCTTTCCAAAGTGACCACGACGAATTGTGGGAGAGAATCGTCTATCCATGGCATGATGCTTCGCGGTCACACATTCAAGACTCTTGAGGCTAAAAGCCTCTCAGAATGCGTGCAGGAATGCAACGAAGACGACAAATGCCAAAGCTTAAACCTTGTCCCATTAAAGGACATTTGTGAGTTGAATAAACGAACAAAGGAGGCTAGGCCAGAGGACTTTGTCACAAATAAAGAATGCCTTTACGTGAGGCGATGGAAAAAGAGAGGTAACTAATAACAGATTTCGCAAATCTGGAACATACGTGTTTATTGTGCGAAGTGATTTCGGATTCGGAGATAAATTTGAGTCACGAAATTCTATTGCAACAGACAGTTCGACAACAGTTTTTATTTTTTCTCGTCCCTGTTTTTTTCCTTTTTTCCTCTTATTTTTTTTATTTTTCCCCTAGTTCCTCTGGGTTCTATCCCTGAGTTACCCGCAGAATCTTGTGCAGAAATAAAACGAAGTGAAGGAGCAGCTATGAGAAGCGGTGGATTCTGGATACAATCGTCTGTTAATTCAGGAAAAGCGAGTTTGTTAAATTGTGATGTCGGCGAATCAAAT